TTTCTCAAAATTATTTTCTTCTTAATAATTTCACATTTAATTAGAGAAGAAAAAAATTTTCTTTATACAAAAATTGTTTCTCTTTTTTATTTAATTATTCACTATAATTGCAATTAATTTTAGTATTTTTTTATGGGGAAAAAAATTGTTTTTTTTTTTTATGGAAGTAAGAAAATTATATAATGAAGATAAATACCAATTCTTTGCAAATTAATAAAACAATTAGCTTTCTTTTCTTTTTTTTTTTTTTTTAATGAAACGAAAATAGTTTTGTGTTTACTGAAAGACTTATATAAGACGTAATTTCAACAAAAGTTTATAGAAGTTTAGAAAACGTATAACTTTTCAAAAGTTATATATATATATTTAACTGGGTCATTAACTATTGATGGATAAATTGTGTGTTTACTCAAAATAAAGGAACTCTCATCATCTCACTATAACTTGATTCAAGTTTGTTTAGTTGAGTGATAAATTTCCTTCAAATGGGTCGCAGGTGAAGAGAATTTTTTCTAAATTGGATCTTAGAAAAATATTCCTTGAAAGGAAAATATTTAAGTAATTTTTTATTCTTATCCCTCAAAATCCAGGTAGAAAATTATTTTCTTTTTTTATTGTTTTTCTCTTTTTTTGAAAAAGAAACTTATTTTCCCCACAGGAAATTTGTTTATTTATAAGATATTTAATATAATAAATTAAAATATTTAATTTAAAATAAATATTTATAAATGAATTTTTTAATTTTTTTTTTCTTTATTATTTGTTTTTTTAAACTTATTTTCCGTACAAGAAAATAATTTTTAATTGATCGTGATTATTCTTATATATTTGCATCAAATAATTTTTATTTGCTCGAATTATTTTTATTTGCATTAAATAATTTTTATTCGAATCAAATTATTTTTTATTTGCATCAGATAATTTTTATTTGTGTCAAATAATTTTTTTTTCTGTTTTTTGGTCGAATAATTTTTATTTGATCGAATTATTCTTATTTCAGGTATCAAATAATTTTTATTCCGATCAAATAATTTTTACTCGAATCAAATTATTTTTTTTATTAGCATCAAATAATTTTTTATTTACAAAAAATATAATTTTTAATTTGTATCAAATAATTATTATTTGATTGAATTATTTTTATTTTGCATCAAATAATTTTTATTTGCTCGAATTATTTTTATTTGCATTAAATAATTTTTATTTGCATTAAATAATTTTTATTCGAATCAAATTATTTTTTATTTGCATCAGATAATTTTTATTCGAATCAAATTATTTTTTATTTGCATCAGATAATTTTTATTTGTGTCAAATCATTTTTTTTTTTTTGTTGGTCGAATTATTTTTATTTGCATCAAATAATTATATTATTCGTATTAAATAATTTTTATTCAGATCAAATAAATTTTTTTCTTCAATGTAATTTGAAAATAAATAAATTATTTGCATCAAATAAAATTTTTTTTATTTGAAATTAAAAATGAAATTTGAAATTAAATGGACTAATTGAATGAAATAAATTTTTTTTCTTCGTATAACTTGGATAAAATTGTTGTATATTTTGAATAGCAATTTTTTTTTTTCATATTTATATTTTCATGGAATGTGAAAATTATGAGGAAATGAAAAAGGGGGGAGGGTATATATATATATATATATATATATATATATACGGTTTCTGATGTGGTCCACGAGAAGCATAAAGTCGGGTACTACGGCAGTAACGGGTCGATACGACAGTCATCTACCCCCTATATTCTACAAGGCGGGCGTTGCCTTCCTCTACAAGCTTTTGCAACAGTTAGACACCCCTCGAGTCACCCACTCAGTTCCAAAAGAACAAATGAAAAAAAAAAAATACAAAGGTGAAGAACGAAGCTGAATTCTAACTCTGCCCTCCCCCTCTTCGTCTCTCCTCTCTTTTTTTTCTCTCTCTCTTCCCCCCCCTCGGGCTTCTTATACTTGTACCACCTTCAACGTTCAACCCTTTTTGCGTTAAGAATCTCATACTCTTAAGTTTCACCAAAATTCTTGTCAGAGACACGAGTCTCCTTTAAACTTTTGCCCATCGATTTCTGTCCCCGATCTTTATTCTCTTGTGGGTGAAAATTACAGAGGGGAAACTTTGACTTGAGGAATTTTCTAGTCGCAGACTGGAATTTATTCTCTAGAGCAAAAAAAACAAAAAAAAAAAAAAGAATTAAATATATTTAAAAGTCAAATTCAATTATTTGAATAATTTTCTACATTGAAAAAGAAAATTATTCAAATAATAATTGGTTATTTGTATCCAAAAAAATGTTTTTATTTTGAAACAAATAAAATTTTGAATTATAAATAAAAATATATTTTTCTCAGAGATTAATATCTTTTTTTCTTTGTTTTAAACAGAAAAATTTTATTAAGGGCAAATAAATTTTTTATTTTACACTGAAAAAAATTATTTAATTCAAATAATCGATTACTTGACTATTATCAAATATATATATTCTTATAAAAATTTAATTGGATTAAGTAAATATTTATTTATTTCTCAAAATTTATATAAGTATTTGCATCAAATAATTTTTATTTGCATTAAATAATTTTTATTCGAATCAAATTATTTATTTGCATCAGATAATTTTTATTTGTGTCAAATAATTTTTTTTTTTGGTCGAATTATTTTTATTTGCATCAAATAATTTTTATTTGCTCGAATTATTTTTATTTGCATTAAATAATTTTTATTCGAATCAAATTATTTTTTATTTGAATCAAATAATTTTTATTCGTATCAAATAATTTTTATTCAGATCAAATAAATTTACTTGACTATTATCAAATATATTTTCTTGAATTAAATAAATTTTTGAGTCAAATTTTATTTTAAAATAAGGAAATTATTGGTTTAAATACGATTTAAATTCTTAAAAAATTTAATTGGATTAAGTATAAATATTTATTTATTTCCCAAAATTTATATAAGTGAAGTAATCGATTATTTGAATCAAATAAATTTTTTTTTTTTGTAAATCTGCTCTTGTTATTAAAAATTTTTTTTCTTCTTTTTTAATTTCCGCTTATAAATATATAATTCTCTGTTTAATTATTCTATTGTGAGTTTTCATCTTATTAAACTTAATTACTTTGAGAAAATGAAGGAATGAATTTCTTTTATATTATAAACTTGTTTTTAAGTAAGTTCATTATTTTTTTTTTAATTCATACCTTTCGTTTTAATTTCTTCTTAAATAAATTTTAAAATTTACAATTATTTTATTTTTATATAATTATATTTTTTTAATTGCTTATTATTTTTTTCATTAATTTGTAAATTTTTTTTTTTACTAAATATTTTAGTTTTAACAGTTCAAATACATTTTTTTTTATAACAAAAAAACATTTCTTTTATAATTTTCATTTTTTGAATTTATAATTCCGTTTTAAATTTATTTTTCAAGTTGGTATTAAATTGTTTTTTTTTGTTTTTAATTTTAAATTCAATTTTCATTGGTATATATTTAATATTTTCTATTGTTATATACTTCGCTTGGAGCCATTTCACTCTTAATTTCATTTTTATACGCATCTGTGGATTTTAATATTATCCAAAACTTTATTATTTCTCTGAAAAATACATAAAAATCGTTTATTTTCCTTAAATTAAAAATATATTTTTATTTCTCTTTTTGGACAAGAAAAATAATTTTTATAAAGAAATAATTTTTTTTTTTTTATCTCATAACATATTTATTTTTTCTTGAAAGAAAAATTTTATGCTTGAGTTGTGGAAAAAAAACGATTTAAAAATTACGACTGAAAATAAATTAAAAATTAAATTTATCTCAGAGTCAGATAAATATTTATTTATTGCAAATAAATTTATTTAAAAAAATTTATTTATTATAAATAAAATTTTTATTTACTCCAAATAAATGGGTCGAGAGAAATATACGTTTATTTAACTTAAGTATATTTTATTTGGTTCAAATAAAAAATTTCTTCGTATAGAGAAAATGTATCAAAAATTTAGCAATTATTTAAAATTTAGAAAAAGATTTTTTTTTAAAGGCATCATTTTTTGTATGCAAAATTATTATTTATATATTCACAGAAAGTTATAAGGTATTAAAATAAACTGCAACGTTTATTATTTTAATCCAATTTTTGCTTATTTTTTAATACCAAAATGGATTAAAATAAGCAAAATTGGATTAAAATAATAAGCATTGCAGCTTATTTTAATGACTTTTAATTTTCTGTGTTAGAAATGAAATTTCTAAAATATAAAATATAATTTTCAGAAAAAATCAAATGTACAGAAATTCGTTACAGAAAATTGAAAATTGAGATGAATTTCCGATCGAATTCGCAATTCAATTCTCGATATCATAAATCAATAATCCTTTAATTATTCAGTTCAAAAGTTATATATACGTATATATAGAGAGTTCAGTTTAAAGTTTGATAGATTTTACAATATATATATATATATATATATACGAAACTTGATTTCTCCTTTTGCATCTTCTCCTCATATACCCTTTTGGATTGAAATCTTGCTATAAGGAAGGTAATACCCAGGATATCGATTCAGGTGTTGTATACTTCAAACGTATATATATATATTTTAGATCAGACGTAGTGTCATTCAAGTTGAATTTCAAAAAAAATTTCTTTATAGACTTTTTTTTATACCCACTTTACTGACAGCCAGATAGGAAAAATAATTATTTTTTATACAAATCGTACCAAAAAAAACAAATTTCTAAATCTTTCTCTCTCTCTTTCTTTCTCTCTTGAAAAAAATTATTTTTCTATTAATTTAATTTCCAAAAAAAAAATTGTACACAAATCTAATTGTCAAAAAAAAATATTTATAATGCATTGAAAAAAATTGAAAAAAAAAATTTTTCCTAAAAAAAAATTGCCCCCAATTGGAAAAGCGCCAATCAAGAAGAGTATTTTTTTTTTCCCCCGAAGAGAGCTTATTGAGTTTTTCTTCATTTCTTCAGGTCTCCAGTTAAAAATTATCCTCCAAATAAACCTCAATTAACATCAGTGACATCGCAGAATTCGGGATTTATCCAGAGGATAACTTTCAACTGGAGGTCAAGACCCGGACGTGTGAAAAAATTCTTTATCTGTTAAGTATATGGGCAATATTTTTTTTTTTTTAAATATTTGTAGATTTGATTTGTATCGAAAATTTAAAAAAAAAAAAAAAAGGAAACAAAAAAAATATGTTCCCCAAAGCACAGTAGTTTTCCACCCACTTATTAAATGTGTTATCACCCCCCCCCCAAACCCCCACCTACTACCCCCCCTTGTTCCCCCCTCATATCGAAATATATATTTATAGCGTTAAAAAGTAGGTCAAATTTCCATTGTATATTTTTATCCGATTACCCCCGTATTAAAAAAAAGGAAAATTCCACCACATAGAAAAACCATATTAGAGAAATACAAAAAAAAAAAATTCCAAATCGTGTAGGTTTGAAAAAAGGGTTTTTTGTAAATACCTTTTTCGAATTTTTGTAAATATAAATTTGATATTATTCGTTATCAAATTAGAGACATTTTTCCAGAAAAAAATAATTTTATTTTCAATTAAAATAAAAAAGAAAATAGAAAATAGTAGGAAATACTTTTTACTATTTTTTGTTATTTTTTTTTTTTTACTATTTTTCTGTGAAAAAAAAATTGCCTTTAACTTGATAACGAACCAAATTTTTTGCAATTTAGTAAAAGTTTCTAATTAATCCGATTTAAATGTTTCAGATTCTAACTTGGATTGTTTAGTTTGTCCTTTCTTATCACTCTTAGTTTAACCCTATGATTTGAACTTAATATATAATTTTAAGCCAGTTTCAAATCAATTTTCCGCCTACTCACTTTTTCTCTCTACAAAAAAAGAAAAATAAAAGAAACGACTGACTAAAAAAAAAATTAAAACAAACGTAACTGAAACAAAATTTATTTCTTCTTCACTGAAATATTTAATCTTCGATAATAATAATAAGAATAATAACAACAGTAACAAGAACAAAAAAAAAAAAAAGTGATAAGGAAACTGGAAACTAAAAAATAATCAAAGTTCTTCACTAATAACGCAGTCGATTAAAAAGAAACCATCAAAATTACCGGACGCGGCGCGTGTGCCAAGTATTGTGGTCCTTCTCAATCACCCGGCAACATTTCATTCTCCAGCTTCCGCCAGTCATTCACCACCAATGTTAACTACCTGAAACGAAGGTAAGTGGAAATTTTATTAAAAAAAAAAAAAAACAAACAAAATTAAAAACAAAAAAATATTTTAAAAAAGATTTAAAATTTTCTACTTTCACTCAGAAAACAATCTTACACCCAAAGAAATTATTTATTTGTCTCACAAATACTTAATTCAAATAAATTTTTATTTGATTTAAATAAAAAAAATTTATTTACATCAAATTAATGCAATATAAATAAAAGGAGTTGTATTTTAACTCCCTTCGGGATGCTATAAAAGTCCCACCCTTTTGGAGTTAAAGCAAAGGAGTTAATTTTTTACGAGTTAATTTTATACCTAGGGAGTTGGTTTCAAGGAGTTAATTTAATTATTAACTGTTTGAGTTGATTTTTAACTCGAAAAATTTAACTCCTAGTGCTTTTAACTCCCTATTTTTTTTACAGTGTGGACTCTGAGACAAATAAACTCCTTAAAATTAACTCCCTAGGCAAAAAATTAACTCGTGAATCATTAACTCCCTTCACTTCCAACTCCAAAAGGATGGGAGCACTTTTATAGCATCTCCAAGGGAGTTAAAATTCAACTCCTTTTTTTATAGTGTAGACTGTAAAAAAATTAGGGAGTTAACGTTACTGGGAGTTAAATTTTTCGAGTTAAAAATCAACTCAAAAAAGGAGTTAATAATCAAATTAACTCCTTAAAATCAACTCCCTGTATAAAATTAACTCGAAAAGCATTAACTCCCTTCGCTTCAATTATATATTTGTCTCACAGCGTAATAAATATTTAATTCAAATAAATTTTTATTTGATTTAAATAAAAAAAATTTATTTACATCAAATTAATGCACTATAAATAAAAGGAGTTGTATTTTAACTTCCTTCGGGATGCTATAAAAGTCCCACCCTTTTGGAGTTAAAGCAAAGGGAGTTAATTCTTTACGGGTTAATTTTATACCTAGGGAGTTGGTTTTAAGGAGTTAATTTAATTATTAACTCGAAAAATTTAACTCCCAGTGCTTTTAACTCCCTATTTTGTTTACAGTGTGGACTCTGAGACAAATAAACTCCTTAAAATTAACTCCTTAGGCAAAAAATTAATTCGTGAATCATTAACTCCCTTCACTTCCAACTCCAAAAGGATGGGAGCACTTTTATAGCATCCCCAAGGGAATTAAAATTCAACTCCTTTTTTTATAGTGTACACTGTCAAAAAATTAGGGAGTTAACGTTACTGGGAGTTAAATTTTTCGAGTTAAAATTCAACTCAAAAAAGGAGTTAATAATGAAATTCACTTCTTAGAACCAACTCCCTAGGCATAAAATTAACTCGAAAAGTATTAACTCCCTTCGCTTCAACTCCAAAAGGGTGGGACATTTAAAGCATCCCCTAGGGAGTTGAAATTCAACTCCTTTTTTTTAGAAAAAATTTCAGAAAAAATTTCAGAGAAATGGTATATTTGTCTTCGAGCCTACTAACTCTTTTATTTGTTGCAAATATATTTTATTTCATTTAAATAAAAAATTTATTTGAGCCAAAGAAAAATTTATTTATGACAAATAAAATTTTTATTTACGCCAAATAAATAATTTAGTAGACTCTGAGACAAATATACGTTTATTTAACTCAAATATATTTTATTTGGTTCAAATAAATCATTTCTCTGGGTGTACATTTATTTAAATCAAATATATTATATTTGGTCCAAATAAAACATTTCTTTCGGTGTAATTCAATAAACAAAATTTATTTCGATTGATAAACATATTTATTAAAATAATATTGTAAAACATGTAATAATTCACAAAAAACCAATTTTTGTCACAAAAATAAATAAATCAACGATTGTTTTCTTTTGAATTTTTCTATATGCATGAATTTTTAATAAAATCTTGATGTCGCTTCCTATTCTATAAAAAAAATATAAATAATACTGTACAAATTTGTGGCATTCAAAATTCATTAACAATTCAAATTTAATTGGACGTTTTGAAAAAGAAAATACCTGATATAAATATTTCCATTTCAAAATGGAGACAAATTTGTTATGAATCCTTTGAGATGCTGTGTGTTATATATATATATAAAGAAAGAGACATTCTTTATCTTGCAATATCCATGATATAAGAGTTATAAAAATTGCATGCGATTTTCATAATTTACATTTTTCAAAGACAAAAATTTCTTTTGTGTTTTTTATATATATTATACGTTTTACAATATTTAACTATAAAGCGCATGACCATTATTTTTATGATGAAACTAATATTTCATATTTTCATTAAAGAAATAATATATTTTATTGAAAGAAATAATTTAGAAATTCCTCTAAACAAAAATAGAAAACATATACACAGTAAAAAGAAAATTTTATTTTAAAATGAGCCTTAAAATCAGCGCTGGTAGTTGTAATATGGAAATTGCATTGCGTAAATTCCACCCAGGTGAAACGATTCTACGGAAACTACTCCACGGAAATTCCGTACGGAAATTCCACACGGAATTCCGTAAAAATTGTATACGGAATTCCACAAAAATTTCCGCAAAATTTTTGAAAGAAGTTCTTTTGTAATTTTGCGAATTTTTTATAAGAATTACACACATAATTTCTATACAGAATTGCACAAAATTTTTGTTGGAATTGCACAAAATTTTTGTTAGAATTTCACAACTGTACATTGAAAAAAATTTATCCGAAATCCTCAACTACCTTTAGTTATAACTGACTTGAAAGTAGTAAAAGTAACTACTTTTTTGGTTATTTTAACTATGTGCGTGTAGTCAATTTAACTATTTTTTATGGAGTTAAGAATTAGTAGTTAATTGTACTTAACAAAAGTAGTTAAATCAACTTTAAAAATTAGAACAAAATCTCCTTGACCCAACTAAATTCTTAGTTCTTTTAACTAATTTTTAATAGTCCATACAACTTTTTAAATTCAGTTAAGGACCTATTGAACTATGCAGGGTAGTTAAAAAGTAGTCAAATCTACTAGTTTTTTTATTAAGTGTATTTTTTACTGATTTTTTTGTAATTTTAAAAATAACTGCTGGTGGATACACTGAAAAAAATTAGTCGAGAAATTCAACTACCGTTAGTTAGTTGACTGAAAAACAGTAAATTTCTTTTGGAAAACGTTTTATTCACCTCTCAAATAAGTTCGACTAGATATTAATTAATCTATCATAAATTCTATATTATATCCACCAGGAACATCATCGTCGACTAGTTTTCGTTTTAGTTTTAAAATCACAAAAAAATCAGCAAAAAATAAAGTTGTGGAATTTTATTGAAAATTTTGTGCAATTCTGTTTGGAATTCTTCCAAAAAAAATTCGCAAAATTATGAAAGGAATACTTTCAAAATTTTGCGGAATTCCGTATGGAATTTCCGTGGAGTGATTTCCGTAGAATCGTTTCACCTGGGATAACAAAGCTGCCGTAAAAATGTTGCCTCTTAAAATAAGACCTCTTTTTGGCCTTAAAATAAGACTTTCTTTTTATAGTGTATCTAAAAAAAAAATTTTTTTGTTACAATCAATCAAAAATCACTGAGACTCCTGCATTTGATGGATCAATGTGCATTTTCATTTGCGCGGGCATGTACTGTCGGCATTGCTCGTTTCATGGTCATCTCCTCATTAATGGACCTCAACATGATGTCATTATATCCATTTGCTGTGCTTGTATAGCAAAAAAAAAAAAAATGAGCTCTAGACCTAAAGAAAAAGCAATGCCGAATTATTCTGTCACGACGAACATGATAGCTTGTCTTCTAGATTCTCGTCAGGGGACTTAAGCTCGGAACTTGACGATGATCCACACGCAGATCCTGGGATGGCCACCTTGGGCCGACAAGATTCATCTCAAACTTATCAGGGAATATCAGAGAGGCCATTACAATCGCAACCAGGTCCACAGCAACCACCTAGTCAACCACCAGTACCAGGTGCACCGCCAATGAGTGCTCAAACAGGCGGCGATCTAAGTCTAAATCTTAGGCCAGGATCAAGAACAACAAGCGCACCATCATCGCCCGCCAAAACAAGGGAGAGTCTTCTTCAAAGGGTTCAGAGTCTCACTGGAGCTGCACGTGATCAGGTTGGTAATCATTTCTTTTTTAAATTTATTTTCGAATTTAGAAAGATGATCTGTTGTCTTAGCAACGGTTTCAAAGCTGTTTTTGTAATCGCATCGCTACAGAAACGATTACCATGGCAACCATTACTATAGCAACCGGTACGTTAGCAACTGTTGCTATGGTAACCAGTACTACAGCAACTGGTATACCTTAAAAACCGTCGCTATAGCAGCGATTACCGGAATCGTAACCACAAACGCAACCGGAAGAATGAATTAGAAAAGGGCAAGTTTGTCCTTCTTATTATTCTGCTTGCGTTTGCGGTAACGATTCCGGTTACGTTTCTATTCTGCTTTGGCCTTAAGCAACCGTTACTATGAGAGCAGTTAGATACTATAGCAACAGATACTATGGCAACAGTTACTATAAAAATCAATACCTTAGCAACCGGTACCTAAGCAACCGTTACTATGGCAACAGTTATAGTTACTATGGCCTCAGTTGATTTCTATGGCTACAGTTACTATGGCCTCAGTTGGTTTCTGTGGCAACGGTTACTATGACCACAGTTGGTTTCTACGGCAACGGTTACTATAACAACAGTTGGTTTCTATGGCAACAGTTAGTTACTATGGCTACAGTTGGTTTCTACAGCAACAGTTACTATGGCCTCAGTTGATTTCTATGGCAACAGTTAGTTTCTATGGCTACAGTTACTATGGCCTCAGTTTATTTCTATGGCTCCAGTTACTATCACAGAAAATTAAAAGGTATTAAAATAATAAGCGTTGCAGCTTATTTTAATGCCTTTTAATTTTCTGTGATGGCAACAGTAGGTTACTAGGGTAACAGTTGGTTTTTATGGCAACAGTTGGTGTCTACGGCAACTGTTACTATGGCAACAGTTAGTTACTGTGATAACAGTTGGTTTCTATGGCAACAGTTAGTTACTATGGCTACAGTTGGATTCTATGGCAACGGTTACTATGACAACAGTTGGTTTGTATGGCAACAGTTAGTTACTATGGCTACAGTTGGCTTCTATAGCAGCAGTTACTATTGCCTCAGTTGATTTCTATGGCAACAGTTGGTTTCTATGGCTACAGTTACTATGACAACAGTTGGTTTCTATGGCCTCAGTTAGTTTCTATGGCAACAGTTGGTTTCTATGACAACTGTTACTATGGCCTCAGTTAGTTTCTATGGCAACAGTTAGTTTCTATATCAACAGTTAGTTACTATGGTAACAGTTGGTTTCTGTGGCAACAGTTACTATGGCAACAGTTGGTTTCTATGGCAACAGTTGGTTTCTATGGCAACTGTTACTATGGCAACAGTTGGTTTCTATGGCAACGGTTACTATAACAACAGTTGGTTTCTATGGCAACAGTTACTATGGCCTCAGTTAGTTTCTATGGCAACAGTTGGTTTCTATAGCAACAGTTATTTACTATGGTAACAGTTGGTTTCTATGGCAACAGTTACTATGGCAGTTACTTATTAATTATATTGTTATTATTTTTATCATAAATTTTGTTATCATATTTATATATATATTTGTCTCTTATCTCTTTAAAATATATAATGAATTTCAACTCAGCATCTTCAACTGTAACATGATTTTTAATAACTTTTTCTCTCATTTTGTTTGAAATATTAATTTTGGTTTTTTGGTTAAATATAAATATTCCTATGAGAGTTTATGAAATTTTTCTGCTTTTTTTTTTATTCGACTAAAAAGCGTCAAGCTTCTAGAAAAGAGCCTTTTATTAGAACACTACACGATTTACATATACGAGAGTTTGCTTTGATAAAAATATCAAGTAAACTTTTTCTTTTTTTTTTTTTTTTTTTTTAATGAAAATGTATACAGTTTGCACCGTTTATGCTATACAAGTTTTTGTTTTTAATATACTTTTTCCATAAATGTTTTTTTTAAGACCACCAAATATTTTTTATGTAAAACCCTCTTCTGTTTTGTTTTTAAAAGCTGGATTTGCATTTTTTTTTTTATACAAGCTTCTATTTATATTCACATTTTCTCATTAAGTATTCTATAAATATCATGTTGAATTTAAATTGGTTTATTTCAAAATAAATTGTATAGTAAATTTAATAGAAATATTTTTTGTGAATATTTGTTAAATATAAATTTTGAATGAAATTTGTTTTTTTTTTTCGTTGAAAAATAGGGAGCATCAATTTTGGGTGCCGCGGTATCTGGCGCCACTAGAGGTCAATCATTTGGCAAAGATCGCTCGTTGATTTTATTGGTGATCGATGATCAAAACACAGACTGGAGTAAATATTTCCGGGGACGAAGACTTCATGGCGACTATGAAATTCGTGTTGAACAAGCCGAATTCCGTGAGCTCTCACTCACTGCAAACGAACAGGGTACCACCGTCTCCATGGCTGTCTTCCGAAACGGGACCAAGGTTATCCGGTATGTTATTTTTATTGGTCTCACTTAGCATAAATCAAAAAACACATATCCATTTTTCTACCATGTCATATATATATAAAAAAACTAGTGTTTCAAGTCGAAAAAAAAAGAAAAAATATCAATAAATATTGAATTCAAAATTTTGAAACTTGTGCATACAGAAAAGCCAAAATCGTTTATTTAAGAAAAAATAAATTATTCATCGAATTTCCACACGCAGAAAAAAGATATGTTTGAACCAAATGTACCATTTTTTTATATTTACCCAATTTTTTGGTTAGTTCAAACAAAATTTGTCTAAAAATAAATATTTATTTGATCCAAATAACTGTTTGGTTTATTTTAATAAATTTTTTTGAACAAAGAAAAAATTTGATTGAGCTAAATAAACGTTTGGTTTATGCAACCAAATGTTTAGTTAACTGTATATCAATTGTTGATTTAATCAAAATTTGGTTGCTACAAACGAAGTTTTTTCTGAGTGCATATAGTAATTTTTTTGATTTAATAGAATTTCATTAGACACAATTTTCATTGAGCCGAATTTTATTTGAATTATTATTTTGCAGAATTTTCATTAAACCGATTTTCTATATTAGAGAATTTTTATATAACCAAACATTCATTTGACCGAAATTGCAAATGGCCGAAAAAACAATTGGCAGAAAGATTTCGGCGCGATTTTTAAAAGTAACCAATCACAATTTCCAGGATAATTTTTGATTGGTTACTTTTAAAAATCGCGCCGAAATCTTTCTGCCAACTGTTTATTCGGCCATTTGCAATTTCGGACAAATTCTACCTATAATAAAAATTCATTAAAATTGCTATTATATTGAATAAAAATTGAAGCAAATAAAAATTCTATCAAGTTAATTTTCAATTATATAAAAATTCTCTAATATTGAAAATCGATTTTAGTGAAAATTGTGAAAAATAATAATTCGAAAAAATAAAATTCGGCTCAATGAAAATTATTCATGCGTCCCATTTTTTTTTTTATGTACCTAATTTTTATTTAAAAATTTATTTTTGAAAAACGTAAATATAGTCGACACCTTTATGTAAAGCACTGCCATAACTCGTACAACAATCTTCTCATTTTCATCATTTTATCTTGTCCCTCTTATATTCTCCAGTCGGTTTCTTTGAATTACCATCCCGCACTTTTTTTCTCCTACGGGGCACTTAATCTTCTCTTAACTGCCGACCTTCTTGTTAAACTCAACTCCAAAGAAGACCATAAACCCGCGCCGTATATGTTCAAATTACCTTTTTCCATTTTTCTATATTCCTTTTTTTTTGTTTACCTTTAATACAATTTACGGAGGAAGTTTTCCAAAAAAAAATTCACACAAATTTTAGTCAAGAAATTTTTTGACTGTTTCTTATATTCATGTGAAATAAAATTTAAATTAAAGCACAGAAAATTTTTGTGGTCGAATCTAGGTAAACACACAGCATCCATTGAATCACGAATGTTTATTTCCGAATCTAGGTTACACTTGCCAGAACAATTTTCCTTAAAATAACGCTGCTCCTCTATATGATATGAGAATGAATAAATTTAATCTATAATTGAACTCGCATATATATATTTTGAATTAATGCAATTTTTTTTTTTTAAATTGATTTTTTAATCTGGAATTTTAATAGAATGAAAATGTGAATAAAAAATTTATATTATATTGGAGCAAGAAATTTTGTTCCGGTTTAAACAATATATATGTACGCGTTTGAATTGCGTTTAAAGCAAGAACATAACATGGAGATGAAAAGGATAAAAGTCATGAATATTGAGAGTAATCGTGATAAATCTAGCATAAGAGAGTACATAGCGTATGTATGTATATATATAAAAGCATTCATCTTTATCTTGCTTTTTAATAAATTCATCAAAAAGAAAATTTCCATATTTTTCCTGCAGTTCATTGACCCGAATAAATCAAATCATTTTTATATATTATATATATATATAAAAAAAAATAAAATTTATTTATTTATTAGAAAATTCGAAAAAAATAACGCAAATAAAAAAAGTATTTTAATTTTAGAATATTTGTTAATGAAATGTATTTTTTTTTTTAACAGGTCGTTTAAACCAGACTTTGTTTTGATTCGTCAAAATTTGCGTGATGCTAATGAGGATCATAAAAATTTGTTACTTGGTCTAATGTACGGCGGAATTCCAAGTGTTAACAATTTAACAGCAATTTACAACTTCCAGGTAAATTAAAAAAAAAAACAATTCATTTTTTTTAAATTTTTATTTATTGGCAATTTTGTTTTAACATAAATAAATTTATTACTTTAATTATTTTTAATTATTAATTAATATAATTTATATGATACTTTTAAATTAGTGTAATTAATAATTATGTAATAATAGTAAAAATAATATATATATTTTTTTTAATATTGATAAGAAAATTAATTTTCGAATTTAGGACAAACCATGGGTATTTGGTCATCTATTGGGACTACAAAGACGATTGGGAAAGGAAAGTTTTCCTTTAATTGAACAAACATTCTATCCAAATCATCGAGAAATGGTGAGTCAATAATCCAAATACTCTTCTTAATTATTCATACAATTTCTATAAGATTGTTTTTCATCCCATAAACATTGATTATTGTCATCCATTCGACAAATTCCATGTCGTAATTGACAATCAAATGATTTTGGATTACTTTCCCATATGCATGTCGTTTTATTCAATTCCTGATAAACTGATTCCATCTGATCAAGCGGCGTATATAATATCTTTAAAAAGAAAAAAAAAATTTTTTTTTTTTTTTGATCTATTTTTGACAAAAAAAAAATTTTTTGTGAAAAAATTTAATTCTTTTTTTTTCCACTTAACTTACACTGCATTCGCAATTTTCTTTATAGCGTTTATCAAAACCACTGTATTGATCATTTGTAATTTTTTTCGATTGTATCACTGCATCACAAATTGTTACAATAGGTTTTCCATTTTCAAAATGACCACTTACGAAATATTTCTTATTCAATTCAAAACGTACACCACAATTCATAATTGATGCTGGAGTATAAATTTTATTTCCTAATAGATTCTTCCAATTTTTCAAATACTATAACAGAATTATTTTTTATATTAATATTTTCCGATAAAGGAGAAATCTTGACAAAAAAGAAATTAAAAAACAAAATTAATAAAACGTTTTTAAAATATTTTTTTAAATTAATTTTTTTAAAACTTAATTTTATTAATTAATTCAGTAATATTTAATTATAAAATTATTTTACTTACTTTAAAAACTTTTTTTACATTAACCTTGTAAATTAAGTAATTTTCGTAATCTTCTTCTATTACCTCGTTGACTTTAATTACAACAACTGAAAAACATAAATAAGAAAAAATAGAAACGAAAAGAAATATTTTTTTTTGATTCGTTTTATAAATTATATATTTATACATGAAAGTGTTAAACAACAAAAATTTAATTAATAATTACAAATGAAAATAATTTTTTTTTTTATATTAAATTTAATTAAAAATTGTATTTATTACCAAAATCAGAACGACAATAGTCATATTGAGGATGGGTTATTAAGCAATTACAAATTGCTTCGATTTTTTGCACTGACAATAAAAATAGTGCAATCAGGAAAATTTGTATGCAAAAAAATTGCCAATGCATCTAGAAAAATTTATTTTATTATTTATATTTTCTTACCATTTTTTATTGGAATTTTTTTATTAATTTAAAAATTTTTTAAATTAATTTTGAAAAAAATAAAAATCAATGACAATAATTATTAATTTACAGAAAACAAACCTTTAAAAAAGAATCAAAAATTAATTTCAATGCAAACAAAAAACTAACTTTAGATTTGAACACTGACAATTGTTGATGATTTCTAACATTAAATTTTTTGCACGGATTTGTCATAAAATGTGATATTGAGGTGTAATTTCATTTTATCAGTATATAGAGAAACAAATTTTATTTCATAGAACAAAATTTTTAACTTCTATATTTATTTAACAAAAAAAAAAAATTATTTTAAAAAATTAATCACTTGATTAATAATAACGATTCTTAGTAATTTATTTTTACAAATTCATTCTTTTAAATCTGATTTGAATTCTCATTTAATTTTTAATTAATTTCTAAAGTAGTTGTGTCAAAATGTAGAATTTTCTTTTTAATTTCTTTTTTAAATTATAAGTAAAACGTTGACAATAATCAAGTTGTAATAAAAAATTTTAATACTAAAAATAAAAATATTACAAAGATTGATTTTTCATTTCTATACTGGCAGAAATATTATTCATAACTTCTTTAAAATTTAAATATGAGAAATGAAAATTAATTTAAGAAAAAATTTAATTGAATATATTATATATATTAATTTAATTAATTAATTATTTCAATTATTTAAATTCTAGTTTTTATTATTAATTACGATTATTATATGAAATATAAACTATTGAAGAATTTGTATGTTTTAATAAACTTGAGTTATCGACAAGAGAATAATTACTAATTAAATTGATGTTAACTAAGTTTCATAATAGATTACGAAGGTTTCCCTGCCTCAGGGTGGAACTTGTAAATTGAAATTACACCTCGAATACATAAAGATCGATTAATAATCGATTATAAGTTGATGGTGATTGAACAATTTGATTAAATTCAAGTTCATTGTCCTTTAATTAATTGTCGCTCTGTGCAAATTAATTTGAATTATACATATACTTATATATTATAATTTTTGATTATCGATTCAAATTTATTCCAGCCTCAATAATCTAATTAATAATTAAATTAAATTAAAATTATGTAATGAGAAAAATAAATCAAAATAAATTAAATTAAACATCAAATAAAAATAAGAATAATTAATAAATTAATAAAATGAAATAAAAAATAAAATACGAATAATTAATAAATTAATAAAATGAAATAAAAAATAAAATACGAATAATAATAAAATTGAATAAGATAAAATAAAAATAAATTTCAGGAAACAATTTTGGGGATATTTTTTTATAATTTAAAAATCAAAGAATGTAAAGTCACCGAAAAGTATATAAATAAAAGTTTGAAGATTACTCGTGATGCTTATGAAAAAAAAAAAAAAAAAAATTATAAAACTGAATTGTCAAAGTTGAAGTTTCTATTGTGAATGTTGAAAAGAGAATTTGAAAAGAATGCCAGAAATACACACACGAATGCGAATGTTATATATGACGTAAATTGACTTTTCATAAAGGTGCGCCTACTTGCCTTACGAATAGATTTTCAAAAAAGAATCGTAAGCTAAAGAAATAAACATATACATAAAAAAAATTGCTATTTTCATATATTTTCATTTAATCTAGTTCACATATACAAAGATTGAATTTTGTTTAGTCTGTTACAAGTAGATATTATATATATATAATAATTCACTCCTGATACAATAAATTAATCACCAATTTTAAATAATATCCATATATATAATTAATACTAATAATAATAATATTCTACCGATTTTCGTCGTTCTCCAATTTTTTTTTTTTTACTCACTCTAAAAAAATATTTTCTTCAAACGAAAACGACTTTTCCACAGTTTTGTATTTTTAAGAAAAATCCGAGAAAAATATTCTTCTTTTAAACAAATCAATGAAATAGTCGTCTTTTTGAAATTTTAATATTTGAATGTATAAATAAATTATATACAGGCAAATATTTATAATATATTATTTGACATGACATACTACATAAATTTTTATGTACATAATTTTTTTTAAATAATATATTATATATATTTACACAATGTTAAAACTAACAAGTTTCATTAAATACTGAACATCGACGTTCGATTGCCATATTTCTTTTTTTTTACACCAGTAAATTTATCATTTTCGAAAAATTGAGCCTTAACTTTTTTTTTTATTTATTTTATAATAATTAAATTTTTTAGGAAAATTTGTATTTTTTAATTATTACTATATAAAAAAATATTTTCGCGAAAGATAAATTGGTAAAAGAATCGTTTTTTTTTTTTGGTGACATATTTACTGGTATAAAAATTGACGAAAGCACAATTTTTATTTTTGTACTATACAAGGTTCGAAGCTCAATCTTATAATAAACGAACGTCTTCCCACGAAATCAGATTTCCCCATGAAATTGGAGACCATATATATATATATATATAAGTGGGCAACGCATAATCTACCCACGAATTACAAGAATCAACTTTGAATTATGAATCCCCCTTCAAACTTCAATTGCGAAAAGTATTGTAAATCGATTTCTCCATATAAATTTCAAAAAAAAAAAAAAAAACTTTTCACATAATAGAGTCATAAATTTTTCTTTAATAAGGAAAAATGAGAAAAGAAAACATAAAGAAAGTAAAGTTATTAAAATAAGAGATATAAATCAAAAAAATGAAACTATTTTATGTTTAAAAATACCTGACTAATTAAATAATAATTTTATAATAAAAAAATTGAAAAATCGAAAAAATATATATTTTTTTTCTTCAAAATAAGAAAGAAGCTAAAATTGAAATTTTTTTCATTATTAAATTGTAAAATACAATGTTTCTTATCGTAGAATAATTTAGCCAGTACATAATAATAATAATTTTTATTATTATTATTCGTGGTAAAGTTATAAAATTCTCGATAAAAATACCAAATAAAATCATCACGATAATCGTCTTCGCATCTTCATATATTCCGTTTTTCTTATAGACTCGCGCAATGATTCTATTTCCATGAAATCGCGACTAATAAGAAAGATGCAAAGAACCATCGGAGAAAATTATAAATACAAAAAAGAGATGTAAATTAAATGCAAAAAAAAAAATATTTCCAATCTTTTTTTTTACTGCACATAAAATAATTCCATTTTTTTTATATTTAGAAAAAGTTGACGAATAATTAAGAGTGAAATGAAAATGAATTTTACATTAAAAAGAGGGAATTCAAAAGAGTACGCGCGCGTGTAATTGCTATATATATATATATATATATATGAAAATGAAATGACTGAAACGATTGTATAAATTGCAAAAACGAGGATTTCCAACTCGTGTGAATCATACACATACACACATGCCAACTTCCTATGATCTGCGCTGTTCTCGATTACGTTTATGCTCTTTAATGCATGTTTTATAAGATGTCGATGGAAACCATGAACATCCATCTTGACCCTTTAAACAAACTCCATATAATTCCTGACACATTAATGGTCCCGGTTCACTTTCCCATAGGCATTTTTTTCCATTTGCTTTCTCCAATACTGAACCTTTTCGATTAAATGACGTGTAGGCAATCTAACACATAAAAAAAAGACTTGTTTTAAACATATTCCCATCTTGCATAAAAAAAAACATTACAAAATTATTTAAATATATTTTAAATTAGTTAAAATACGTTTAAACCTGTTTTAACTTATTTAAAACAGGTTTGGAATCATTCAAAACATGTTTGAATAGGTTAAAACACATTCAAAACCAGTTTGATCAAGTTTGAACTTATTTAAAAAAAATATTTTAAATGTTTTAGTTTATTTAAACTTATTCAAAACCTATTTAAACATGTTTTTACTTATTCAGAACATGTTTTAATATATTCAAAACGTATTTAATCAGGTTTGAATTTATGTAAAACATATTTAAACATTTTTAAACTTATTTAAAAAATGTTTTAACTTATTCAGAACATGTTTAAACATATTCAAAACATATTTAAAAGTATTTAAACACATTTAAATGAATATAAATATATTTAAACGTATTTAAATATGTATAAACTTATTCAAAACATATTTAAAAGTATTTAAACATATTTAAATGAATATTTAATATATTTAAACATATATAAACTTATTCAAAACATATTTAAACTTGTTCTAACTTATTCAGAATATGTTTAAAATATATTTAAATTGTGTTTAATCAGGTTTGAACTTATTAAAAACATATTTCAAGATATTTCAACATATTTAAACATGTTAAAACATATTTATAACATATTTAAACATGTTAAAACATATTTATAACATATTTAAACATGTTAAAACATATTTATAACATATTTAAACATGTTAAAACATATTTATAACATATTTAAACATGTTTTTAATTATTCAGAACATGTTTAAACATATTCAAAACATGTTTAATGAGGTTTGAATGTATTAAAAACATATTTAAACATATTTAAATATATTTATAACATGTTTTAACTTATTCAGAACATGGTTAAACATATTTAAAACATATTTAAAAGTATTTAAACACATTTAAATGAATATAAATATATTTAAACGTATTTAAACATATATAAACTTATTCAAAACATATTTAAACTTGTTCTAACTTATTCAGAACATATTTAAAATATATTTAAATTGTGTTTAATCAGGTTTGAATTTATTAAAAACATATTTCAAGATATTTAAACATATTTAAACATGTTCAAACTTATTCAAAACATATTTAAACACGTTTTTAATTATTCAAAACATGTTTAAATATATTAAAACGTGTTTAATCAGGTTTGAATTTATTAAAAACATATTTAAACATATTTAATCATATTTAAACATATATAAACTCTTTTAAAACATATTTAAACATGTTTTACTTATTCAGAACATGTTAAGATATTTTCAAAACGTGTTCAATAAGGTTTAAACTTATTAAAAACATATTTAAACATATTTAAACATATTTAATTATATTTAAACATATTTAAACATATATAAATTTATTTAAAACATATTTAAACATGTTTTACTTATTCAGAACATGTTAAGATATTTTCAAAACGTGTTCAATAAGGTTTAAACTTATTAAAAACATATTTAAAGATATTTAAAGATATTTAAAGTTATTTAAACATATTTAAAGATATTTAAACATATTTAAAGATATTTAAACATATTGTAACATGTTTAAACTTATTTTAAACATATTTAAATATGTTTTTCATTATTCAGAACATGCTTAAATATTTTCAAAACATGTTAAACATGTTTAAACTTATTCAAAACATATTAAAACATGTTTTTATATATTCAAAACCTATTTTAACATGTTTTTACTTATTCAGAACACTTTTAAATATATACGAAATGTGTTCAATCAGGTTTGAACTTATTTAAAACATATTTAAACGTGTTAAATTTTTTTTTCAAAAACCATTTGGATTAGTTTGAAATATATTTGGATAAGTTTTACATAGGTTTTGAAAAAATAAAAATTTTTTCCTTCTACACTTACTTCGCATTGACAACCGAGTTTATAGAGTTGTCTAAGACCCTTTCGTTGACGTTTTGTCGTATTTTCCCATAGTATTACCATACCACAAAGATTTATAAATGGTTTTCCACGTTCTAAACTACCACCTACGACATAATTCTTGTTTAATTCAAGATAAACACCACACGCCGCACTTGATGATGGTGTATAAATTTCATCTTCTAATACGAGATTCGTATCTTTTGAATTCTATAACAGAATAGAATTTTTTTTTGTCATATCAGCAAAAATCTTTAAATAAATCCAAAGAGAAATTAATAATAGAAATTATAAAAATAGAATATCAATAATTAATAATAAATAATAAAAATAATAAACTAATTTCTCTCTTTTTATATTTTTTAATTAATTTAAAGAAAATTTTAATTTATTTATATTTAGTAAATTTAGATAATTTTACTCACTTTAAACACTCTCTTTATTTTAACCCTGTAAAGTGTTGGATCTGAATTATTCCCCTGTACTACCTCCTTGACTTTAATCACAGCAACTACATAAAAAAAATGTCTATTAAATTAATTGTGTATTAATTAATTAAAAATCAAAAAAAGAAAATTATTTACCAAAATCAGAAGTGCAAAATTTAGATTGAATATGACCTGGTGCACATGAGCAAGCTTCTGTTTTTTTTACTGTTAATAAAAGCAGTGTAACCAGTAAAATGTGTATGCAAAGAAATTGCCACCGCATCTGTAACAAAAATATTTTTATTTCTCTAAAATTTATTTCAAACTGTTCTTTTTTTTAATTTTTATCCTTTTTTTCGAATTTGCTCTTTACTTAAAATTTGAATCTACAATAAATTAAGTACAATTAAATTTATATATTTATATAAATTATATTCATATTTAATAAAATAAGTATCGAATAAAGTAAAAATTTTTTTTTTATTTTTTGCTACAATATAATTTAAAATTAATTTCAAAATAAAAATTGCCAATTTTTATAATATAAATCTTCAACTAAAAAACAAGCAAAAAAAAATGTGGACGGAAAAAAATTAACTTTAGATGAAAATACAATCATAATTTCATTTTATGAGGACACAATATAAATATGTGTCTATGTTTATATATAGATATATAAATGTGAAATCATAAAATGTTACAGCACTGAATATTAAAAACCAAAAAACCAACCAAAGTATGTATATAGGAGAAACGAAATCGAAAAAATTTGAATCATTATTCCTCATAAAACTTTTTAACATCTCTTATGATGCTCAACATTTTTTTTTTTTTTTTTTTTATTATATATGTGTGCATGTATATGCTTTATATGAAACTTGAAAATTCCGATAAATTATATTCAGCTCGTAAAAGTCCCTTTCATTATAATTTTATAGATAATTTATTTGACAATTTAAATAAATAACGATTCTCAATATTTAATTCATAAAAAATATATATTTGAAAATAATATTCATTATTCAACAAGCGAAAAAAATTAATACACTTGAAATAAATCACACAATAAAAAATAACAAATACAATAAATAACAATTAAATAAAAAGAAATAAAAAATATTAAAAATTTAAAAAAATCAAACCACACCATTAATAAAAAAACAAATACCTACAATAAGTAAATAATTAAATAGAAAGAAATAAAAAATATTTAAAATAAAATTTAATAAAAAATTAAACCACAAAATAATAAAAAAAAACAAATAAAAAATATTTAAAATAAAATTAAAAAAAAATTAAACCACAAAATAATAAAAAAAACAAATACAAATAAATAACAGATAAATAAAAAAAATAAAATAAAATTTAAAAAAAAAAATTGTTAAGAGTTCCAAGTAAACAGAAAAATTGTAAAAATAAATATTTATCGAATGCCCAAATATCGTTAAAAATCACTGGGGGGGAAAAAAAAGGAGAAAATGTTTTAATCGAGTGATGGATAAAAAAAAGGTCATGGCAAAAATGGATTTGAATAACAAACTATATTCGAAACGTGTCATTTGTTCTCACATTGCTTTTGGGGTTTCGTCGTCGCGTTAGAGATTTATGATTAATAAACTTTTCAGTTATTGCGTGACAATTCAAAAAACAATTAAAGCTTACTCGATTTTCGCGAAATTCAATTTCAATTAAATTAACTACATGGTTTATGGTAATAATAATAATAATAATAATTTATTAGTTCTTTTGGAAGCTGTGTGATGAATTAATGAAAAATATAAAAATAATTTTTTTTTTTGTAAGAAAATCGCAATAATGGCACGCGCGATTAATTTGCTTGTGACTATTAATAATATAAATTGTAAATATATATAGAGATATTTAATGTCGACAAAAGAACAAGCATTGTGAGAGCCGGTCATCAAGATCTTGCTTTTTGATATGTATCTTTACATTTTACAACATATATATATATACATGGAGGCACGCGACACTCCTGACAACCTACACGTACTCTGGAAAAATTACACCTACTCATTATTTTATTGTCGTTATTTCCTTCTTGAATAATTAAACATGAATTTCATATATAGTTGAAAATTTCAAGAATTTGTCCTAATTCTCGAATTTTATTTGCCGAATTCCTTTTTAAATGAGAGATTAATTGTTTTTTTACTTTTTTGTTTTTTTCTTTTTTTTTTACATCCAGAGAAATATTTTATTGTCGTTTATTTGGAATAAATAAAATTGAAGCAAATAAAAATATATAATTTTTTATATTTTTCGGACAAATAAAATTTCATTTAGCGAAAATAAAATTTTCATTTAACTCAAATAAACGCAAAATAAAAGAATATGGAAATTTTTTTTTCAAAAACTTCAAAATAATTTGAGGAAAATTTTTTGTTTTATAAAAATTTACAATTACAATTAACATTTTTATTATTATTATTATTATTATTATTATTATTTCTTTGTGTAAATTATTTATTTATTTGTAGTACAAATAAGCTTACAAAAAAATTATCCTAATTTATATTCGTCTTTTACACATGAATAGTGACGTTTAAATATATTGGAAGTGCATTATTTTATTTTTTTTACTTCATTTTTCCGTTTTTTTTGCGTTTTACATTAATTCAAGTTTATTTTTTTTTTATTTCTTTACGTAAATTTTTAAAATTTATTTTCGTTTTTTATCGCGCACGCTATACACGAATGAAATGTAAATATTGGATTGCATATTTTATTTTTACATTATTTTCGATTGGCTTCAAATTATTCTTCTTTTTTTTTACTATTATTGTTATTTTATTTCCTTATGCGTAAATTATCTAATTTATTTTCATCTTTTAGTCAAAGAGAATGACGTTTTAGATATATATATATATATAATATTGAAGTGTGTGTAAATAATTCCACGCACTATGACGCACCTATATATATATATATAATGGCAAATGATAAAAAACACTCCTTGCAAATCTTTTATTCAGATTTGCGATTGTGAATCATGTGCAAAGATTTTAGATTCACTTTGAGTCTTCTGCTATTTGAATCTGATCATCGGGAGAGAAAAAATTTTATATACAATATTTTATTATTGCGAGAAAATCATGAAAGATAAAATAAAATTTAAAAAAAAAAAAGTGGAACAAAAATTATTGAGCAGGAAAAATTCAATTTTATCGATATTTTTTTATTTTTCATTGCTTTTTTTTTTGAATTGTGAATGGATTTTTTTAATTCATAATAAAAAAAAAATATTGTTTTTATTTAAATAAAAAAAATTATATTTTGAATTCAGTTAAAAAAAGTATATATATTTTGAATTAATTTGAAAAAATTACAGTATACTTTTTTTTTACATTAATCAAATAAATATTTATATTAATATAATTTAATGACTTAGTGAGGAATAATTTTTTTTTTTATGAAAAAAAGCAATCGGATATTGCAATGTCATGAATTCATAAAATATACGATTCGATAAATAAAGGTGAAAGTAGAAAGTACTCCAACTTACTGAAGGTCTTTTAAATTTATATCCCAGATATTCAAAAATTATCACTATATACCTAAATTGATTAAAAAAAAAAAATTCATTAATTAATTTTTACGCCAATTTCATTAAAATTCAATTTTCAAGAAATTAACACAAAAATTCCTTTTATTTTTAAAATAGATTTATTTTTAAATTTTTTATAATAAAATAAATTTTATATTAATTGCAATAAATTAACTATACTTAATTAATTATTATTAATTAATAAATAAATATTATTAATCAATAAATAATTATTATTAATTAATAACTAATTAATAACTAATTATTATTATTAATAAATAAATTTAAAAAATGTTTCAATTTTATTGAAACGATTATTTAGCTTTGAAAAAAAAATAACGAAACTATAAAATTTTCTTTGGAAATAAATTTGAGATTTCTTTATCATTTTTAAGCCCGTATTTGCAACTATAAAGAAAATTTTTTTTAAAAAAATGTAAATAATAATCGTGCAAACTTGTAATTTGTTGAGAAAATGGGAAAAAAAAAATTTCCTTTCAATGTTTATAAGAGGCAAAAGGGTTCGTTATTCACTGTGAATCGACGGTAAATTGCAGCCTAGACGGAAATTGAAATAAAAATTAAAAACTTTAATATCAAGTATTCCTCGGCACGTAGAAACAGTTAACGCTCCCTCTTATAATGTATATAGTGTTTACTAAGCAATATTTGCTCGGTTTATAATAATAATTATTATTCTCATTGAAATGATTCTTTTTTATTATTCTTTATTATTTTATTATATTTTTTATTATATTTTTTATTATTGCTATTCATTACTTATTTATTTTTATTTATATTTATTAATTTTTTATTTATTATTTATTTATTTATTTGGAACATAAAAAACATTTTATTATTTTAATAAAAAAAATATTTAGACAAAAAAACTTTTAATTTGAAAAAAATATTTAGACAAAAAAAACTTTTAATTTGAAAAAAAAATTAAAAACGAGAATTAAATTAATTTTATTTTCAATTAAAAGTGAATTTGTTTGAAAACTTATATTGATCGAAACTTTCGATATTGAAATTTGATGTAAATTCAATATCAGCTCTCCTTCTTTTATAATAGATTATATATGCATCTTTTGAGATGAGTTTAAATTTAAAACGTCTCGTTTAATTAAATATTATTTGCTTTTTTTTCCGCCAATCTCTCACCTGCAAAAAAAAAAAAAAAAAATCCTGCTGAGAAGTCACTTTGCAATGAATCATTTATATTCGCGACCTTTAATCAATTCAACCCATGAATTTAAATCAAATTTAAAAAAAAAAAATATTGCATTCTTCTTCATAGGTATATATGAAAATATAATTTAAATAATCAAATTATTGAATTAATATTTTTGTAAATAAATATTTTTTGATAAAACTATTTTTACAAATAAATATTTTTGTAAATAAATATTTTTACAAATAAATATTATTGTAAATAAACATTTTTACAAATAAATATTTTAAAAAACAAATTTTTTTTAAAAGTAAAAAAAAAATTAAGATACAAAACAAATTGAGGATCCAATAATCGCAAAAATATTAGGGGGGAAAAAAATGTGTTCCTACGAGTGGGTAGAGTCGAATATTCCTAAAACTGCAATTTAAAAGCAAAAGTATATTTACTAAAAACGAGATATTTCATTTGAAATGATGATGCACTTTATCTTTCACATATATTTTCAACAGAATTTCTTTTTTTTTTTTTTTGAAAGAAGTATTTTTCTGTCGAAAAGGAGAAAAAAAAGAAGTGTAAATAATGGTCAAGTAAATGAGTAAACAATGTGTGTTGGAAGCATAGAAAAATGATGAGCTAATGTTTTAACTAAAAACCATTGTTTTTTTTCGATTCATTCTAATTAGAAAGTTATTTTTGCAAAAAAAAAAAAGAAGACTATATTTTCTAAAAAGGACATTCACCTATAAATTTTCGTCAATTTTATAAACACTCTAAAATAACTTTCACAAACTAAACATCGTGTATATTCATCTATTATTAGAGCTGACAAATGCGCCTGGTACCTTGCAATAAAGAGCGCACCGTAAGGTATATACCTATATTACACGTGGCAGATTTCAAAGAGTTACTTTTCAAAGAGTCCAATTACTATACTTGGAATGTACATGTATCAGGCTTCGAATTTCCTTTCACTGAAAGAGCTTCTTCAATTAGAAAACAAAACAAAAGTTGAATGAACAAAAAAAAAAAAAAGAAAACGAATAATTTCTCACGTCAGTTCATTTTTTTTTTTTTTCATTTTATTCTCGTTACTGAATGATTCCTTTTAATTTATCATTGAGAGAATTTTAAGGAAAAAATTGTTTCTAATAATTTTTATTGATTCGATAAAATTTTAGGGGAAAAAAATTTTTTGATACGATAGCCGCAATCGTTAAAGGCACTTATATATAGTTGTGAATCGATTTTAGTAACATGGGTTCGATTCCTCCTACGGATACTATTTTTTTTATTTACCAAATATTTACCAAATCTTTACCAAATATTTACTAAATATTTACCAAATCTTTACCAAATATTTACTAAATATTTATTTTTAGATATACGTAATTTATAATTTTAAACTAGACTAAAAATTTTCAAAATTTCCAATGGGAATTAAGTAACGTAAATTATTTTCAAACTGATACAATTTTGTAATTTGTTTAAAATAAAAAAAAAATAAATAAATTTTTCAACGCACATTGATAAAAAATTTTAATGGAGTTTACTATATATAATATATGCTTATCATTATAAAATATATTTTGTATACAAAAGATAAAGTGCGACACTTGAATGAAATGTTCGTCTCATCTCAATGGGAATAAGTTCGCGAGTTTGTCTGCTGTCTCATTATCTTCATTTATATTTACATAATAGTTTTCAACTTAAAATTGCGATAAAAATACCAGTCAAGAAAGTTTATACACTATATATATTTATGCACATACTTTTTATGCAAATCAATGTTTTTAAAAGGGGTCAATCACTTTTTTAATGCAATTTTAAAAAAAAATTTCATCATTAAATAAATATTCAAAAAATTAATAATTAATTAAAAATTTATAAAAATAATGATAAACTAAAAATTAATAATAAATTTATAAATTAGTGGTAAACTAATAATTAATAAATAATTGATTAATAATTAATTAATATACGTACTAAGTTGACAGGCAAGAACTATGTAGATTAAATAATAAATAAATAATTAATATTAAATTAATAACAAATTGATAAATTAGTAGTTTACTATGAATTTATAAATTTCTTATTAATTTATTATTAATTATTAATTCATTATTAATTAATTATTAATAAATTAGTAGTATACTATGAATTTTTCAATTTATTATTAATTTATTATTAATTATTTATTAATTATTTATTTATTATTTATTAATTAACTATTGATAAATTATTATTAGTTTACTATGAATTTATAAATTTCTTATTAATTAACTATTACTTTATCAATTTGTTATTAATTTATTATTAATTATTAATTAATTATTAATTAATTATTGATAAATTAGTAGTTTACTATGAATTTTTCAATTTATTATTAATTATTTATTAATTATTTATTTATTATTTATTAATTAACTATTGATAAATTAATAGTAAACTAATAATTAATAATATATTAATAATAAATTGAAAAATTCATAGTAAACTACTAATTGATCAATAATTAGTTAATAATTAATTAATAATTAATAATAAATTAATAACAAATTGATAAAGTAATAGTTAATTAATAAGAAATTTATAAATTCATAGTAAACTAATAGATTATCAATAGTTAATTAATAAATAATAAATTAATAAGAAATTTATAAATTCATTGTAAACTAATAATTTATCAATAGTTAATTAATAAATAATAAATAAATAATTAATAAATAATTAATAAATAATTAATAATAAATTGAAAAATTCATAGTAATGTAATAATTAATTAATAATACATTAATAATTAATTAATGTAAAAAAAATAAATTTTTTTAAAAATTTGTTTAAAAAATGTTGTAGGGTAACTGTGGGTATTACTGTGCGTGATGGTATTACTGTCATTTTAAAAAAATTATTATTATATATAATTTATAAATATATTTTTTTTTCAAAATAATTACAAAATTTATTGTAAATCTTACTTAATGGAATAGTAAATAAAAATGTGCATTTCATCAATTGGTTATTTAATTATTTATATTTAAAATTGATTATGATTGAATTCCATGAAATTATCAAATATGGCTGCCGTGAACACTTATTCGAAAGCGTTAATATTTTCAATATTTTCAATAATATACACAATTCAGTGTTATTACTCAATTAAGTATGCTTCAATGTTTTAAAAAAATACTAATTTATCTTTATATTATTTATTTATAATTAATATTTCTTATAACTGTATTACCAGCAATAATTTCACTGCTTGTTGGCATTACTGTCATTTTTAAATACGTTTACTGCGCAACTCGCCGCAAAGGTAACCTAATCTTTTTGTTGACGTTTCTCTAACCTCCATTCTCATGGACAGCTTAATTAATTAATTAATTAGTTAATTAATTAATTACTTAATTAGTTAATTAATTAGATTAGTTAAGTAAAAAGAAAAATATGGATAGTGAAGAAAAGAAAAAAGAAAAACGAACGAAAAAGAAAAGAATTTCATATTCAAAAGAAACCTTAGCTCTCGCTCTCGAGGAACTTCGACACGGGAAAAAAGTTGCACAAGTTTCTCGGACATATGACATTCCCGGCTCAACACTTAGGGCAAAAAGATTAGGTCTGTATGCCGATAAAAACCCTGGTCCTTCGACTGTATTTACTGCAGATGAAGAAAAAGAGTTAGTGAATTGGATCATTCACTGTTGTGAAAAAGGATTTCCTGTATCTAAAAGTCAGCTGGTGGACAGTGTTCGACGAATTTGTGTTCAAACGAAGAAAAAAAATCCATTTACTGACAATATACCAGGTAGAGCTTGGTATGATGGGTTTTTGAAGCGTAATCCAGAAATTTCGACAAGAGTTACGGAAAAAGTTTGTTTGAATAGAGCAAAAGTTTCAGAGTATAGTTTGCGTCAATGGTTTGAAGAAATCTCGAAATATTTGGTTGAAAATAATCTCTTGTCATTAGAGCCAAATAGAATTTTTAACTGTGATGAAACAGGTAATAATAATAAATTTATAAGTACTTTTTTTTAAATTGTTTTATACTTTAATAAAAAAAATTGAATTTATCACTAGGAAAAGATTTAAATAATTAGTAATTTGCTTTGAGTAATATAAAAACACTTTTTACATTTTGATATTTAAACAATTTAAATACATATTAATTTACAGGACTTGCTTTAAATCCAATATCTTCATCGGTTCTCGCTCCAAAGGGTCAGAAAAACGTGTTCACTGTCGTAAACAATAATGAGAAAGAAAACATTACGACTCTAGTGACAGCCAATGCTGTTGGTAACCTTGCTCCGACATTTATTCTATTTACTGGGAATTCGCTACCAAATAATTGTGTTAAAATGGCGCCTGCCGATTATGCTTTTGGTTATTCAAAAACTGGGTGGATGTTATCTAAAAATTTCTACGAGTACATCGCAAATGTTTACGAACCGTGGTTAACAAAAAATAATATTCAACGTCCAGTAATTATGTTTATTGATGGTCACGCTTCGCATATCACGTTATACTTAAGTAAATTCTGTTCCGAAAAGCAAATAGTGCTAATCGCCTTGCACCCAAATGCCACGCACATAATGCAACCATTGGATGTTTCTCTATTTCGTACCTTGAAGGCCAATTGGAAGAAAAAAGTTGAAACATTTTGTCGAAATTCCTTTGCAGTCGGAATTCAAAAGTCTCAGTTTGCCCCTTTGCTAAAAGAAACTTTAGATTCAATGAATCTAGAAACCGTTTTACGAAACGGGTTCAAAAAAAGTGGATTATGTCCTTTCGATGTTGAGGCAATTGATTTCACTAAGGTCCTTAAACGAATTGGAGACTCAGATTCATTGTCAGAAGACAGTTCTCAGGTTTCGCAATGTAATTCCTCAACAGTTCAAGACTCCTTGGAAGTGTTTGAAAAATTTTTAAAGCAAGATCAAATAGAGGCATTTCGACTAAATGAAAGTCCAACTTGGAGAGGAAACGTAAAAGATGAGGAACTCTTTAACATATGGTACAAATTATCGTACCCATCAGGTGGTTTATCGAACACTCTTAATAATCAAAAGGTATATGGATAATAAATAAGTAATTTAAATGTTAATATTTATTTTCGTTACTTATTGCATATTCTTAAACTATTAAATTATTTTCAGAATGACTCAAGGTTGGACTTGCCCATGGACATTGTTTCTGATATAACTGAAATTATTGACACCACTCGGGGTCACAAGATGCTAAATGGAGTAAATGTTAAATCTACGATAAATTCAGATAATGTAAAAGCATATAATTAAATAATTCATTTCTTGTTTTGAAAACATTTTTATATTTACTTAGATTTTAAAAATTACGATTTCATATATCAATTTATAATATTTATAAGTTGATCAATATTTTTAATTCATATTTTATTAGATTGAAATAACACATTGATAAAATATTGAATTATTAACATTAATTGTTCTTACTAGCTTTTGTCATATAATTTAATATCATTTAAAGATATTTTTGAATTTAATATTTAAATTTACATTGAATTTATTGAATTGTAAAAAAAAATTATTAATAAAAAACCAGCTTTTTTGTATTGAAAATTGTAATGTATTTTTTGTTATAAAAAACGGCTGGTTACAATTAGATAATTGTTTTTAGGTAAAGTCAAGAAGCAATGCTGTCATTGAAAATGGATGTGTAATAATGGAATTAGAAGTAGATGTCAATCAAAATATTCCAAGCGATTCGATTTCTAACGGTACTGTCTTAGCATCTAATGATTTTACAAACAATGATTCGATTTCCGACGGTATTCTCTTAGCATCAAATGATTCTGCAGAGAATAAATCGATTTCCAACGATATTGTCTTATCAAAGGATTCTCCAGAGCTCGATGTACCACTTGATTTGACCAAAAACAAGTTAAAAGTTAATCCGCTTTGCGACATTACAAATTTTCATGAACAAAAACCGGTAATATCAGAAGAATCTGTGCATCAGAAGTTTTTGTTTTGGCCATCTGATAATTTATTAAAAAATGAAAATAAGAAAAGGATAAATAAAGTGCGTCATCCTTCAGTCGTCACCGGAAGTCAATGGCAAGAAATTGTGGACACAAAACAAACTGAGAAGCGAATTAAAATTGAGGCTGTAGAAACAAGAAAGAAAGCGAGAATAGAAAAAAAGGCGAAATCTAAATTAATAAAAGAAGAACTTCAAAAGAAAAGAGAGGAAAAAAAACAGCAAAAAGAAATGGAAAGCTTTGAAAAAGAAAAACAGAAGCTTTTGAAACAACAAGAAAAATTTGCAGCTATAACAGAGAAAAAAAAAGCTTTAGACGAAAAATTAGCCAAAGAGAAAGAAAGACGAGAAATAGAAAAACAGATTCGTGATTTGCAAGAAAGACAAGTAAATTTAAATCAAAATCTGTGATTAAAAGATTAAAGCTTATATATTTTTAATTAATGTCATAATGCTTTGTGATATTTACGATTAAGATTTATATCTAATATGGCATAATACTTTGTGATATCTGCCAAAAGTGTTCGAGACTCAAATTTTATTTATCAAACTTTTTTACTTAAGGATAATTATATGCTCATAAGTGTCATAATACTTTGTGATATCTTCGATTAACGTTTTTATCTATTTATATAATACTTTGTGATATCTACCAAAAGTATTTAAGACTCAAATTTTATTTATTCATTATAATAAAGTTTGTTACTTATTTATGTTTTATGTTTTGTCGTGGACGGTCACATATATGTAATATAAGTTGTCCAATTACTAAAATATATGTGCATATTGACATATTAAAAATATGTTACTTTCAATAAAGTTGTAATAATGGGAAAATTATTTATTTAAAAAATTTTAATTATTTATTCAATTTATTGACGTAGTAAACATAATTTAATAAATAAGATGTAGAATATGATGCTTGTTTAATAGTTAATAAAGCCATTTGGCCACAAAATTCTACATCTTATTTATTAAATAATTTGGCTTTTGAAAGAAGATTTTCTTTATAAATTATAAACATAATTTGACATAATAAAAAATAAATTTGTTTCAAATAAACTTTGAAACAAAATTTAGTTTGAATAAGCCCGCTATATTTCAACCAATGAGGTTAAATTCTTGTGACATGCGCAGCTCGACATGCAGCTCGATTTTAACAGTAATGCCAGCACAGTAATTGCCGTTTTGTTAGTAATTACCGCACAGAAATACCGACATTTTAACAGTAACACACGCATTTGCCATTATTTTTTAAATGGATGTTTTAAATAAAAAAAGTGCCAAACTAATCTCGAGTTTAATGATTAATTAAATTTAATAATTAAACTTTTATCTACAATTGGAATAACAACATTTGATTTATTTTTGAGGTTAAATTGAGCTTTGCAAAGTTAGCATATACAAAAAAAGCACAGTAATACCCACAGTTACCCTATATGAAAAAAATAATAAAAAATGAACAATTAAAAGAATAAAAGCGAAATAGTGCAATGTTAATAATGACACAGTAATTTGAAAAAATAAAATGAACAAGTTATTTTATGAATAAAATACACACGAGTGTATAAATTATCATTAAAGTTGATTCGACGCAATATATCAAACGTGTAAGACCCTGAGATCTACTTTATTCTTATGATCAAAATCCTAACGATGATTTTTCACATGTGTTTGTATATGTGGTTACTCCATCGTTTGTTGCGTTACATTGGAATGTGAGAAGCCCATAGGAATACTCAGGGTCAAGGTCAGAATTACGCAGATTCATATATATATATATATATATATTGCTTTAAAGTATACCCACTTGAAGAAAATCCCAACACAAATTAATTTTTTTTTACACATTCAAATGAAAGAATTTTTTTTTTCCCCGAAATTTATTATCCTTAACAATTTTTTTTAAAATAATTAATTTTTTTAAACAATTATATTTTTAAATAATTAATTTTTTTAAACAATTATATTTTAAATAATTAGATTTTGTTGTTGTTGTTTTTTTTAATTGAAGATGAAATTATTTTTGAATTGTTCCGAAAGTTTCATATATTATATTTGCATAATGAATCACCTTTAAAACTGAATTCAAGAAGCAGAAGATATATAATTATAAAATTATAATGATTACATCATGTCTCGAGGGAGAAATTTATAGTCGACCCCCCACAGCAAAGAATCAATTTTTTAATTAATTTACGATCAGAGATAAATAATTTTTTCAACAGAATTTTTTTATGTTAACAAATCTTATTTATTTATTATTATTATTATTATTTATTATTATTTTATTCCCTTATTTTTTTATATTTAAATTTTTTATTTTAAAATATTTTTCACTCGTTTACATAAATTATAAAAACAGTTTTTAAATAATTTTTCAGTACTTTTTAAAAAATAATTTTTCAAATATTAAAGTATATGATAGAAGTGTGCCGAAAGGCATAAATAAAAAAAAATAGAATAAATAAAATAAAATTCTTTTTAAAATAAATAATAATTATATTTACAAAGATTGTATAAACTCGTAAACAGAAGAGAATTATTATTAATATTGATGTTGAAATAAAAAAGGGGATATTGTTAATATTTCCTTGAAATTGAAATCTTTAATGAAACTTTTGCTAAAAAAAAGTCTAATTTCAACACAATAGAGTGTATATAGTTTGAAGTCATGAACGGAAATTATCACTTGTAAAAGATGAAGTCCCCCCCCTTCCATTTTTGCAATTTCCTTTATATATATATAGAAGTACCAGAATTTAATAATGTCCTGAAGAAAAATCAGGACCAAACTTTAGGAACAATTTTTTTTCATTACTATTTTCTTTTTTTTTTTAATTAAACACTTTGGCAATTCTATTAAAATTTAATTAAACTACTTTGAAAAAAAATGCATAATTTTTTTTTTAATCTATCATTTATCAACAAATTCTTTATTAAATTATAATAATTACCATATTATACATTATTTTAGTATTATTATTATTAATATTGTAATATTAATAATTAATAGATAAATTATTTTTTATAAATCTTAGAATTTTTTTATTTTTATTATTAATATTACTATTATTTTTTTTTAATGATTTTTATTATTATTACTATTTTTGTTATAATTACATATTAGGAAACAATAAAATTAAAATTAATATAAAATTCGGGATGATAAAAAAATTAAATAATACGGTTAATTTTTATTAAATAATTAATAGTTGTAAAAAAATATCAATAATTAAAATTGAGACATAAATACATAATTTTATGTAAAATATCGTTTAAAAAAACACTGACCTTTCTCAATGAAATCTCCCAATGGGAGTGAATGTATTATGAAAATCACTTATTATTTTTTTGGGAAAAAAATATCACAAACTCAGTGTCACAAGTTTTCACTATACAGATGGATAATTAAAAAAAAAAAAAAAATTGAAAATAATTGAAAGTGATTAAAAAACGAAAATGAAAATAAATCAGGTAGGAACGTCTAAGGCGCGAGTCAAAGCAAGACTGCCCCAGTTCCTTCGTAATACCGCTATTATATTCTGGACCACAATCTCTTATATACGCTCGTCAGCTTGCATCAGTAAATTCATATGTTAATATTGTTTTCATTTTTATTTTTTTTTTTTTTTTATATCGAAAAATTTCCTTTTTTCAATTTTATCAATTTCAACTTTTTCCTGTTATTTTTTTTTTTTTTTTTATTTCACAGGGGAGGGGAGATTTAAATTGAAAAATTAATTTTTTATTTTTCTCTGATTAGTTATAAATTTTTCTTGTTCGTTTAATAATTTTTTGTTTTGTTTATTTACTTTTTTTTATTTTATTTATGTTATTTTATCATTTTATTATTTTATTATTTTATCATTTTATTATTTATTATTTATCATTTTAGTGCTTTTTTTCTTTTTATCAAGTATTTATTCTATTTCAGATCATAATTTGCATATTAACATTTTTTTTTCCTCGATATTTATATATTTTTATCGAAAACAGGAAATTTAATCGTTTTTTCGTGTAGATAAATTTTTCCTCAATACACATGAAATTTTCTTTTATAATAATAATAATAATAATAATAATAATAATAATAATAATAATAATAATAATAATAATAATAATAATAATAAATAATTGCAGTAAAAAATAAATATATTTTTTCGATTACACTCACCTTGAGAAATTGATGAAATTTGTTTTTTTTTTTTTAAATATTAACTAATAAAACACGTGTATAAATCATTGCGACACAAATAACTGAAAACAATTAATTTTGTTAACACATTTTTTTTCTAATCCATTTTTTGTCACTTTTTTTAAAAAAATATTTATTTAAAAAAGATTTTTTTATTTTTACTTTTTCAAGTTTGATATTTTTGTTTTTAACTGTTTATTTAATTATTTATTCATTAAAAATTAATTAATTAATTAATTAATATAAATTAAGTCGACTATTTTTTGGGAAATATCAATAAAAAAAAAATATTTTTATTATCTAAATTATTTTTAGATAAGATTTTTTCTGAAAAAATATTTTTTATTTATTTATTATAAAAAATTAAATGAAAAGCACTAAGCACTAACCACTAAGTGAAACTAGTGATTAACTAATAATTTCTGATTTCAATTTCAAACACCAAAATATCAATAAATCATTATTAATCATAATTACTCGACTTACTACTATTAATCTACTTCTGACACTAACGAGAGGGAATTTCCTTCTTATCAAACTTGCTCAGTAATTATTCGATATATTTTATATTATTATATCTAATTTTACTTTATTTTTTATCAATTAACTTACTATTTCGTCCACTGTTTCTTCATTTAACTTTCTATATTTTGAACTTTATTTATAATTTTATTTTAATTTAATAATTTTTAATAATTTTATAATTTTTTAGTATAATATATTTTGTAAAATAATTTGTTTTTTTTATTATAATTATTTTTTATTTATTTATTTTATTATTATTATTATTTTTTTTATTATTATTTATTTATTATATTTTATTTTTTTATTATTATTTTTTTTATTATTATTTATTTTATTACTTTTTTTTATTGTTATTATTTATTTTTATTATTATTATACTTTATTATTTTATTATTAAACTGACACGTCACTAAATAATTCAAAAAAAAAAAACAATAGGCAAAAATAATTAAAAAAAAAACCGAACTATTTTTTTTTAATGCGTATTATGAAGCACGTCGCGCATATATAGAAAAAAAAAGCGAGATGAACTCTCTTTCGCTTCTTCAGCGAAATTGGCAGCTTTGCTTCTTGTGATACGATCCTCACATCATCATCTTCCTCTCCGACGTTGTTTGAATCTCCTCCTCCTCCCCTCCCACTTCATCATTGCTCACATATTTTTTTTTTTTTTTTTTTCAGTTAAGTATCCCAGCATCCAGCATTGGTCCATTCACTCCTCAATACTCGCACTATTTACTCAACATTTCTTACGTGGGTTTTTTTTTTAACATCTTTTTTTTTCTTCTTCAAAACAAGAATGAGGGCACTTGCTTATATAAGTGCAAAAAGAAATGAAAAAAAAAAAACATTTTTTAAATTCCACAAAATCTGGAAATTATCAATTTAAAAAAAAACAGGCGAAACATATTTCGAAGAATTCTATTTTTTTGAATGAAAAAAATTTCTTTTTCCAAATAAAACTAATTTTCTGTGAATTTATTGAAAAAAAAATAATTTTTAATTAACAGAAAATAATTTCAGTGATAAATTTTTATTTTATTAAAAAATAGTAATAAATAATTTTTTAATTTATATAAAAAATTTTTTTATTTTTGGAAATGAATATTGATTTTTAATTTTTCTTGCAGGTGAACGCGAGTCGATATCCAGCGGTGATAAAATTGGGACATGCACATGGCGGTATTGGAAAAGCTCGGGCGGAGACAAGTCAAGAATTTTTAGATCTTTCTTCATTAGCAGCAATGACGAATGCCTATTGTACTTCCGAACCGTACATTGACACCAAGTATGACGTTCATGTTCAGAAGATTGGAAACAACTACAAGGCTTTTATGTACGTGCTTAGAACAATGCCATCTTTCTCTTACAATACATGCCAAGAAACACGCGTATATATATTAGTACAATATTTCAAGGGCAAACAATTAACAACCCCATATAATAAATATTGTTTGCAAATCTTCGAAAAAAACGAACTTGAAAATCGTAAATTCAAATTTTTTTTTTTTATTTATTTAAAATTCGATATTAAAAATTTGATGATTTTTTTATTTTGATAAGTAAAAAAAAATTAATGATTATTTTTTTTATTTTTATTTTGATAAGGAAAAAAAATCAAATAAATAGAAATTAGATAATTCGAAAAATTACATTAAAGAAAGTGAATTTTCCATAAAAACCAATTTCATCTTCAAGAATTTTGATGTAATTAATTTTTAGCCGAATTTTCATTTTTCGAACAAGCATTAGACAGAATTTTTTTTTTTACGAATTTTAACAGAAAAAAATTTTTAGATAATGAATTTTTGACACTTGTTTGACGAATTGTTAATTTGACAGAATTCTCAAAAAAAAAGAACGACAATTTGACAATTCGGACAAATGAAGATTCGGTGAAATGAAATTTTTATAGAAAATTGTTCAAAACGCCGAATTTTCATTTAACCGAATTTTTCATTGCAAGAAATTGTTATTTGAAAATTAATAAAAACGCCGAATTTTTATTGTCACCGAAATTACAAATGACCGAACAAATAATCGACAAAAAGATTGAGGCGCAATTTTTACAACTGTCCAATCAGAAATTATTCAAAAAAAAAAAGAAAAATAAATTGTGATCAATTTTAAAAATCCACGACAAAATATTTGTTTATCAATTTATTTGTTCGGAAATTTAGAGTTTTATAAATTCTATCAAATCAAAAGTTCGTGCAAAAAAAAAAAAAAATTCCAAAAAAGATTCGGTAAATTATATTTAAAAATTCGAATCACTAAAAATTCTGTTGAATAAAAATTTTGCTAAATTAATATTTGATTAAGTTGAAAGTTTTTAAATGAAAATTTGGTAAAGAGAAATTTTTGTCAAAAAAACAAAAAAATTGTTTATTATAAAATTCTTTATGTAAAAATTTGTTTGAAAAGAAAATAATGATTTTTCGGAAAAATGAAAATTCGGCTAAAAGATAATTAGAATAAAATTCTGTAAGTAAAAATCATTAATTCTTTTTATAGAAAATTAATGCTCTTCATTAGAAAATTGTTGACAATAATTGTTAGCGAATATTTAATTTAGTTTATCAATTATTATTAGATATTGGATTATTTTAATTTTTTTTTTAAATTTTTTATTTTTTTTTTTATTTTTTTAAATTTTTAATTAAAAATTGATTTTTTTTTTTCTAAGATTATTATTTTTTTCTAAGTGAAAGATTATTATTTATTTATTTTGTGTTTTTTTTTGTAATTTCAGGCGCAAGAGCATCAGTGGAAATTGGAAATCTAATACTGGATCGGCAATGTTAGAACAACTTGCGGTTACTGAAAGACATCGAGCGTGGGTGGATCACGTGGCGCAACTTTTCGGTGGTTTGGATATATGTGCTATTGAACTTTTAGTTGGAAAAGATGGAAAGGAGTACATCATTGAAGTTAATGATAGCGCTCTGTCGTTAATGGGTGACTCTCAGGAAGAAGATCGTCGTCACATTGCAGATTTAGTCACCGCAAAAATGCAGGTTCGTTTGTAAATATTTAAAAAAATTTTTTCTCAATTCAAAAAAAAAAATTATTTCATCTTAAAATTATTTTTAATTTTTTTTACAATTTATTTATTAAATAATTAATAATTTTAATTTTTTATACTAATAATAATATTTATATTTCAATTAATTTTAAATTTTTACTTTATTATTAAGGAGTTTTTTAGTTATTAAATTAATAATTAATTTCTAATTTAATATTAGTGAAAATTTTGATATAAAATTATTAAATAGATAGAAAAAATAAATAACATTTTATACATAAATTATATTTTGATTTTATACATAATTTAAGAATTTTGAGTTTAAAAAAATTTCCCAATTGATTTCGGAGAGATTTAAATATACGTGGAACTCAAAACGTTTGCCTATAAATGGTTTTTTTTCATGAATGAATTTGAATTTATTCCATAATAAAATTACTGTCTTTAAAATTTGCATAGAAATTTGTTTTCACGTGGAATTACGAAATATAAATGAGTAACGTATAATTTTCTGAAAAAAAAAACATTTACATTTGTGACAATTATTTATTTTTATTTATTTCAAAATAATTGTTATTTGTTAGAAATAATTTTTTATAATTTTTTTTTTAATTAAAAAAGTAAATAATTAAAAATATATTAATTTTGCAGGCCTTCTGTCGACCACCAGCTGTCTTAACGAAAACTGCATCCAGAGGGTCGATGTCAAGCTCCAGTCAAGTGACGAGTCCATCGGAAGATCGTGCACCAGTTTCAGCATCAGCGGCAGCAACAGCAGCATTGGGGTCCCATGGCAGTATTAGCTCAATAACAAGTGGCTTTGGATCAGCGGGTTCAACGTCTGCTCTCGTCAGTGATGTCACTTCTTCTGACAGTCATCATCAATTGCAACGACGTGATTCACAAGGTCAGCCATTAATATTTGCGCTTACTACAAATTGCAAAACAATGCGATGGTTTTTCTCTCTCTTCTTTGACCTTCTGACACGCAAAACTCTTTTCAAGACCGCCTTGGATCATTTAAACAAGAAAATATCATTCAAGACAATAATTATTTTATTTCCAAAGACCTACAGCAAAGTGTCTCATATTTTATTACAAGGAAATTCCCCCTACAATTTTGGAAAAAAAAACATAATTGAGACTCATGAATCAGCTCTAATATTAATTTTCATGACATTTTTAGAATTTAAAAAAATTTTTTTAATTCAATTTCTTATTTAATAAATTAGTAATTAATAATGAGTAATTATTTAATTAGTAATTATTATTCTAAAGTAGAAATAATTTTTTTCGATAAAAATCATTTTTTTCAGAAAAAAAATTCTTTTTTCTCTCTTGGGGGGAATTTCCTTGAAAGTCTGGGAGGTCTTATCGTTTGTGCAAAGAAAATATTTGTATAATAATAGATTTGAGAAGAAGAAAAAAAAATATTATAATACCTCTGAGCGTTAATAATGGTTATTTCTCCGCCTCTCGGACTCGTAAAAGTAATGCCTTTTTTTTGTTTTTTATTTTTATACACAGCCATTGGGGATTAATGAAAGATATATAATTATTATTATTACTAATTGTCCCTCTAGCTTCGCAATCAAGTACTGTAAGCAGTGTCACATCGGCTGGTCGTCGTCCAGAGGAACCACCACCCACAAGGGCACCTTTTCATCGTCAAGGAAGTCAATCCCAAAGTCAAAATGAAGATTCCGAGGATACAATGAAAAATCTTCGCAAGACTTTTGCTGGAATTTTTGGCGACATGTAAAATTCTTTCTCTCTAAAAAAAAAAATTGAAAATTTATATATCGGGAGAGATAGCACCCCCCATTCAAAAATTGATGATTCAAAAAAAAGCTTCGAACATATCGCTATATGTAAAGAAAAAGTCTTGATGAAGAAAAACTGGATCCAAAAAGGTCAACCTAGTGGCGAATCCATTTTCCAAAATATTTTTTTTTCAGGTAAAATTTAATTAATTAAAAAAATTACTAATTCGACAAATTATATATTAATATTTTCGAAAATCAAAATAATTATTTGATTTTCCTAATTACTAATTACTAATTACTAATTACTAATTACTAATTACTAATTACTAACTATTGACTAATATTAATTAATTGCATTTTGAATGCAATTATAAAAATTGTAATCCAATTATCGAATCGAGTGAAGTCCTTTCGATAATTTCGAGAAAAAAAATTGCAATTTCATTGCCCAAAATTTACAAAAAAAAAAATTAATGACAACTTTGTCAGGGACAAGATTCATCCTCGGATCTTATTTCTCTTCATATAAAAAAAAAAAATTAATAAATAATCAGCAAAAACTAATTTTAAAAAAATTGCGAAACAAAAATTATTGCATAAATGATAAAAATTCGAATTATAATCATAAAATGATTATAAAACATAAAAACAAATGTGATTATAATCATTAAAATGATTATAATATTCATAAAAATGATTGTAAAACATTATATTGATGATTATAATCATAAAAGTGGGAAAAAAATGAATTAATGCAATTTTTCTCGTTTCTCAATCAATTAGAAAATTTAAAAAATATTAATACAATATTATCGTAAAATAATATTCAAAAATTACTATAACGTAAAAAATTCTAAAATGATAATGCAAAAAAATTTATTTGCAAAAATTATCATTCAAAAAAAAAAAAAAAAAAGTTGACACCAATTACAAATTGTAATTATAAATTATAAATTTCAATTACTATATTGTAATTATAATTATAAATGTAATTATAATTGAATTAATTATATTTTAAATTTATAATTCAAAACGAATATTGTAAAAATAAATTTTATTAAAGAGGGTTCAAAAATAAAGCGATGATAATGAAAGAAAAAATTAATTAAATATATAAAGTGACACAGAGAGATTTGTGAATGATTTTTTTTTTTTTGGATTCGCCACTAAATGAAAGTTATTGGCAAAAGAAAAAAAAAAAAAATAGTTGACCTAAAAGAGGGGTTCGACAATGAACTTGTCTCTGCTGCAATCAACAAATTATGTTCTCGTTTTACACGACATATATATATATACAATATTATATTGTCGATTATTGGCAGAGAAAGGTCCCTTGACGTTGACCATAGATATTATATACTCATGGTGATGCGCAAGCAAATAAATGTATCGAATGTAAATTTTTATTAGTGTCAGTCAAATGATATGCTAGATGCACGTCAAAAATAGTAGAAAAAAAAAATACCAAAAGAAGCTTTTTCACTGACAGATAAGAAAAAAAAAAAAAAAAAAAAATTACGAATAAGATGTTAATTGTATTAGAATGGCACTGGTTAATCTGAATTCTGTTAAATTCTATTAGAAAAGAATAATAATAATAATAATAATAAATAATAACGAGAAGAGAATATAATCGAGTACAATACAACGCACGCTTTAATCTTCGCTACTAGTCTTTTTTTACAAAACAAATTTTTGCATTTTTTTACTATACAAATAAAAAAAAAATACTTCATACTATCATTTTAATTTATAAAAATTATTTCAAATTTCATTAAAAAAAAAAATTTATATTTCATTTTTTTATTGTTCATTTTTTAAATTTTTCATTATTTTTTATAGTTTTTAAAAAAATTAAACTAGTAGCATTGTTGTTAGCGTTATTTAAAAAAAAAAATGATAGGATCACATACTTTATAAGCGCACAAATAGATTGTAAAATCTTAAGCGTCTGGTCTCGTCCAAAAGAGGCCCCCCCCCCACCCCCAAACCCCCCTCAGAAGAGCAACGAACGAGCTATTCAACATTTTCAGAAAAATAATAATAATTACAAAAAAAAAAAAATGAAAATTTTACCCGAAAGTAGAAGTAAGAATCGACTGTCATGCGTTAGATGAAAATAATTAACGAGTTTCCTCTCCATTAAACATCGGAGAATTTAATTTCCTCAATGAACCAAAAAAAAAAATGGGTCTTGAAACGTAATAATTTTTTTTTTTAACCCGAAGCGGAAAATTGATTTTTATTCCCAATTTTTTTTTCGTTTTTCTATTTTCTATTTTTTATTTTTTAAAATCTGTTATCTGGTCGTGTACTACCATTTTTATTTTATTCTTTTTTTTTTTCCTCCCTCTTTCTTCTATCGAAATAGAATATCTATTACGATGCCTCTATTGTGTACTTTTTATAGTTTGAAAAAAAAAAATTATTTTTTTGGGAAATTTTGAGAAATGTCAAGTAATTCTGAAAATTTTTAAATTTTCAAATTTTTCAATTTATATATAGAAATTTTTATCAATGTAATAGTAATTTTTTTCTTTTTAGTGTGCCAGTGTCACTAGGAATGTTCCATATTTACATTCATGTAGAAAATAATAATATTTAATCACTGTCAACTTACGTATATATACAAATAAAAGTAAGTTTCTAATTTTTCTTTAACAAAAAAAGGAAAATAAAACCCGACTAACAGGGCTATTTAAAATTGACAGAAACTTGTAATTTTTCTACAATTCCCTAAAAAAAATAATTTCTTTTTTTTCTAGTTTTTTTTTTTCTCTCTCTTAGAGATATAAGAAATTTATTTAATCAATAGAAAATAGCATTATTTCAAAAAAAAAATATATTAATAAATAAATAAACATTGAAATCCATTGCATAATCTATAAGGAAAAAAAAAATTGCAATTATTTAATCTTAAAAATAAAACATTGCAATCCATTATTTAATCGAATAGTAATAAATATATATATATAACATTGCAATCCATTATTTAATCAAATATATAATAATAATAAAAAAGAATAAAATTATTTAAATAGAAATATAAGGAAATTCATTGCAATCCATATTTAACATCTTCAAGAATTTATTGCAATTTTATGAAAAGAAATTCAATTTTAGTAATTAAAAAAACAGAAAATACATTTTCAACAAATATCTTTGAAAAGAAAGCATTGCAATCCATTTTAAATGTTATTCGAATAAAAACAAAAATCCATATAAATGTCTTTTTAAAAACAAAATAATTAAAATCCATTGCAATTTATTCTTACATCAATATATAATTAATAAAAAAAAAAAAAATGTGTGTGCTGAAATTTAATAAATGACAAAATTTTTGCAATTTTTTTCGGGAGGAAACAAAATTTTTTCCATCAGTTTCCTAATATACCTGAGGATGATTTTTTAAAATACAATAAATTTTAATAAAATGTGTATTTAAAAAAAAAAAAAATCTCAGGTTTTCCCAAAATGACAGCGATTTTTTATGTATAAATTTTGTCAAAGGAGAATAAAAAAATTAATTTCAGCTCGCATGTAATTTTGAAGCGCATTATAATAAAAATTGAAAAATTTCTATTGAGAAAAAAAATATAATACGCGATGATTTATATCTGAATGTGAAATTCATATGAAACACCGGAAATTAACTTCCATTATATTTCCGAAATTGTGGAGAATTTCATTTAAGGATTTCATCATTCGTAATCTCTATGGATAATTTTTTTTTTTTTTTTCTATATTTTTGCGTGGAAAAATTTTTGCATTAACATACGATATAAGATAATAAACATCAAAATTTTTTATGACGAGAGAAAGTAAATATTTGTTTTTTTTTCAATTCATTTTCACTAGATACTAAAATTTATTTAACTATTCTATAAACATTAAGAGTGCTCTAGAAAAATATGCTAATAATCCCAACACAAAAAAAAAAAAAAAACTGATGATGAACAAAAATTTTAACAGCGATTTAAAATATTTATAAAAAAAAAATGATATCTTCTCTTGTATTAGCAAAAATTTGTTTGCTAATATTTTTTGGTAACAAAAAAAGTTACTAAAAAATTACTTTTAAAAATTTATATCATTTTATGATATAATAAAGGCAATTTTATTATTGCAATCGAGGAGAGAAATGAAAAATATTGTTCTCATCAGTAAAAAATTTTCCTTTCAACTTCTTTAATCTTCTATTTTATGATTAAAAAAAAAAGAATAGAATAGAAAGCATTTAAAAATGCCAAAAAAAATAACATTTAAGACAAGATTATTAAAATAAGATTTATTCATTATATGTGAGTGTTACGTAGAATAGCAGCATTCCAAAAATGAAAAAAAATCGAAAAATTCAGAAAAAGCAAAAAAAAAAGAAACAAAATAATTGACGTGTTTACAAAAGTCTCTGCTTAAAAAGGCATTAATTTCCAGCGCTTTTTAAAATACACACGTCTATTTAAAGAACACGAAAAAGAAAATTTTAAGCAGAGCTTAAGGATATATTCAACAATTTATCAAAAATTGAAATTCTCACCGAATTAAAAAATAATTTTCAGAGAAATTTTTAGCAAATTTCTCTTCGAAAAAATTAAAAAAAGAGATTTTTGAAAAAAAAGCTCTTTGACAAAGCTTAAAAAAAATTCGATCAAAGAATTTCTAAATAGAAAAAAATGAACACCTTTGATTAAATAAAAAAAAAAACAAACAAACAAATTCTCTCGACAATCAAAGAGAATGTACTGAACAAAAAAAAAATCATGAATTCAGTCCAAATATTATTAAAATTAACAATATAAAAAAAAAATCATAGATTTTAGAAAAAAGAATTATTTAATATTATTTTATTCAACGATACGTTACCAAAAAAAAAAATAATATTGAAAGTAAGGCATAAAAAAAAAAATTCCTTATATATTATAGTTTTTAGAAATTTATTCCATATTTATTCCGATAGATGATTCATCTTGATATGTGCCACATTAGAGGCATGTAAAATCATTCCAGAAAAAAAAAAAAAAAACAATTTATTGTCAACTAAACGTTAATATGTATTTAACGACCAGTAAATAATTATAATTGAGATGTTATACGTTTCAATGACTAAAAAAAAAACTTTTTACTCTATATTAACGTTGACGACGATTCTTATTATACTATCCACTATATATATATATTATATATACTATATAAAATTCCAATGAAAAAAAAAAAATTTCTATTAAATACATTATACCACAAAAAAAAGATTACAAAATATAAACGTTAATGTTACATCATTGATATATAATTATTATAATGATGAAGTATGTAATCCCTCTTTGATCCGAGTTTTAGCATCAGGGCAACAAGAAATATATATTTTCAAGAAATTCCATCTTCTTGTAATAATTTCAATATATATATAAATAAATATATAAATAAAGAACGAGAGCGTCTGAAATTTTTGTCAGTATATGTTAATATCAATTGATAATTAATAATATTGAAGATCTTAACAAATATTGACGCTCAATTTTTTGTCATCATCGAGTTTAAAGTAATTGTTGTTTGGTTGCCCTGTAGATGATCTGTTACCTAATCGTATGTAATAATAAATAGGCGTACAGAGAAAATGGGTGCAATTTTTTTTTAATCCTCCATCACATTAAAAAAAAAAAAATTAAAATTATAATTAAAATTATTAATTAAAAAAAAAATTAAATAAAATTATTAATTATTAATTATTAATTAAATTAAAGTCTACATATTACATTTTTTTAGTTTTTCTTTTATAAAGTCGGGATTTATAATTTTCGTGATTCCTGCACATTTGTGATTCGTGACTTTAGTTATTTGTAAATTTGGTCATTTATAAATTGAGTTATTAGTAAATTTAGTTATTCGTAATTTTAATTATTCCTGACTTGAGTCATTCGTGACTTTAGTTATTAATTTTAATTAATAATTTAATATTAATTCGTGTTATTTCTAATTCGTGACATTAGTTATTCGTAATATTTGTAATTCGTAAATTTAGTTATTCGTGACCTTAGTTATTAATTGTAATTAATAATTTAATACTAATTCGTGACTTTAGTTATTCGTACATTTAATTATTCGTGAATTTAGTTAATTGTGACTTTAGTTATTAATTTTAATTAATAATTTAATACTAATTCGTAACATTTGTAATTCGTGATTTTAGTTATTCGTGACTTTAGTAATTAATTTTAATTAATAATTTAATACTAATTCGTAAGATTTGTAATTCGTGATTTTAGTTATTCGTTTTAATTAATAATTTAATATTAAATCGTGTTATTTCTAATTCGTGACTTTAGTTATTAATTTTAATTAATAATTTAATACTAATTCGTAACATTTGTAATTCGTGAATTTGGTTATACCTAAATTAAGTTATGAATTTTGTTTAATAATTTAATATTAATTCGTGACTTTAGTTATTCGTGACTTTATTTAATAATTAATTTAATATTAATTCGTGTTATTTCTAATTCGTGATATTAGTTATTCGTAACCTTTGTAATTTGTGATTTTAGTTATTCGTGGCTTTAGTTATTAATTTTTATTAATAATTTAATATTAATTTATGACTTTAGTTATTCGTAAATTTAGTTATTGATTTTAATTAATAATTTAATACTAATTCGTAACATTTGTAATTCGTGATTTAGGTATTTGTAAATTTATTTATTCGTGACTTTAGATATTCGTTTTAATTAATAATTTAATATTAAATCGTGTTATTTTTAATTCGTGACTTTAGTTATTCGTGGCTTCAATTATTAATTTTAATTAATAATTTAATACTAATTCGTAACATTTGTAATTCGTGACTTTAGTTATTCGTGGCTTTAGTTATTAATTTTTATTAATAATAATTTAATACTAATTGGTAAAATTTGTAATTCATGACTTTGGTTATATGAAAATTAAGTTATTAATTTTGATTAATAATTTAATATTAATTCGTGTTATTTCTAATTCGTGACATTAATTATTCGTACCATTTGTAATTCATAAATTTAGTTATTCGTGACTGTAGTTATTAAGTTTAATTAATAATTTAATATTAATTCGTGACTTTAGTTATTCGTTTCTTTAGTTATTAATTTTAATTAATAATTTAATACTAATTCGTAACATTTGTAATTCGTGACTTTAGTTATTCGTGGCTTTAGTTATTAATTTTAATTTAATAATAATTTAATACTAATTGGTAAAATTTGTAATTCATGTCTTTGGTTATACAAAAATTAAGTTATTAATTTTGATTATTAATTTAATATTAATTAGAGAATTTAGTTATTTGTGACTTTAGTTATTAATTTAATATTAATTAAAGAATTTAGTTATTTGTGACTTTAGTCGAAGTTTACTAAATGGAATAAAAATAATAATAATAATAATAATAGCAACAATAATATTTTTTTTTAAATTTATTCACATGTAAACTGGCTTACAAAAAAATTTGAAAATATTAATTTTCAAATGATAAAAATTAAAAGTTTCTAGAGAGATTTTCTCTTTTTTATTATTATTATTACAACATTTAATTACAACATCTTTTATTAATAATAATAATAATAATAATAATAATAATAATATTGATAATTAAAAACAATTTCTTTATTTTTTAAAAATTCTATTTTCGATAAATTACCAATAATATCTCACATTTGAATTTTGTGATTGAACATTATTCCACCGTTGTTGAAAATATCCTCGATTTTGTTGTAGATAAATTAATTTTGTATAATAAAAATTTGGAATTTTTTGCTTCTGACAAAAATAATTATTTATAAATAATTGTGGTTTTTTAATATAATTGTCCCTTGCATATTTCAATTTTTCCAAATAATTCACTTCGCTCAAAAAATATTTATATCTATTTTCATCATTTAATAATTTTTCCAATTCATTTGTTATTAATGGCATTCTATTATTTAACCAAAGTGAATTATTTGGAAAAATTATTGATTTTTCATTATTTTCATTAGCAATATATTGATTTGATTTTTTCAAATTTTTCAAATAATTCACTTGCGATAAAAAATAATTATATCTATTCTCATTAGTCATTAAACTATATAATTCATTTGGTAGTGAAGAAATGATTTTATTAACTGATTTTGTTGTTGTATAAAATGGTGTTATTGTTGGTTTTTTGTTTAATAATTCAGTTATTGTTGTTTCTTCATTTTTTGATAGTGTTGTTGTTTCCAGTGGTAACATTGTTGTAGTTTTATAATTTAAAAATTCTGTAGTTGTTTTAAGCGGTACTATTGTTATTTTTTCATTTGTTGATTGAGTTGTTATTGGTTTCACTGTTGTTTCTTTATTTAAAAATTTAGTTGTAAAATCCATTGGTTCCATTGTTGTTGTTGTTGTTTCTTTATTTAATAATTCAGTAGTTGCTACGAACGCTACTGTTGTTGCTTTTCCATTTGTTGTTTGTCTTGTTGTTTCTAATGGTTCCATTGTTGTTCTTTCCTTTGTAAATTTAGTTGTTTCTTCCAATGGTTCCAATGTTGTTGTTTCATTATTCAATAATTCAGTAGTTGTTTCAATCGTTACTGTTGTAAAATCCATTGGTTCCATTGTTGTTGTTGTTGTTTCTTTATTTAATAATTTAGTTGTTTCTTCCATTGGTTCCATTGTTGTTGTTGTTTCTTTATTTAATAATTTAGTTGTTTCTTCCATTGGTTCCATTGTTGTTGTTGTTGTTTCTTTATTTAATAATTTAGTTGTAAAATCCATTGGTTCCATTGTTGTTGTTGTTTCTTTATTTAATAATTTAGTTGTTTCTTCCATTGGTTCCATTGTTGTTGTTGTTGTTTCTTTATTTAATAATTTAGTTGTAAAATCCATTGGTTCCATTGTTGTTGTTGTTTCTTTATTTAATAATTTAGTTGTTTCTTCCATTGGTTCCATTGTTGTTGTTGTTTCTTTATTTAATAATTTAGTTGTAAAATCCATTGGTTCCATTGTTGTTGTTGTTGTTGTTGTTTCTTTATTTAATAATTTAGTTGTAAAATCCATTGGTTCCATTGTTGTTGTTGTTTCTTTATTTAATAATTTAGTTGTTTCTTCCATTGGTTCCATTGTTGTTGTTGTTTCTTTATTTAATAATTTAGTTGTAAAATCCATTGGTTCCATTGTTGTTGTTGTTGTTGTTGTTTCTTTATTTAATAATTCAGTAGTTGCTACAAACGCTACTGTTGTTGCTTTTTCATTTGTTGTTTGTCTTGTTGTTTCTAATGGTTCCATTGTTATTCTATCCTTTGTAAATTTAGTTGTTTCTTCCAATGTTTCCAATGTTGTTGTTTCATTATTCAATAAATCAGTAGTTGTTTCAATCGCTACTGTTGTTATTATTTCATTTGTTGATTGAGTTGTTGTTTCCATTGGTTCAAAATTATTAAATGATACCATTCTTCTTTTTCTTTTATTGAACACTTCCGTTGTTGTTGTTTCTTTATTTAATAATTCAGTAGTTGCTACGAACGCTACTGTTGTTGCTTTTTCATTTGTTGTTTGTCTTGTTGTTTCTAATGGTTCCATTGTTGTTCTTTCCTTTGTAAATTTAGTTATTTCTTCCAATGGTTCCAATGGTTCCAATGTTGTTGTTTCATTATTCAATAATTCAGTAGTTGTTTCAATTGATGCTGTTGTTATTATTTCATTTGTTGATTGAGTTGTTGTTTCTAATGGTTCCATTGTTGTTCTTTCCTTTGTAAATTTAGTTGTTTCTTCCAATGTTGTTGTTGTATCCTCCTTTAAAACAAAAAATTACATTTGAAAAAAATTTTTTTATTTTATTTCACCAATTTTTTTCTATTTTACTTTTTTTCAGTGAATTTTTAAATTTTATAGAAATACATTAATTTAATTTCATATTTTGATATCTTATATTTTTTAATTTCTTTTTAATTTATTTTCTAATTATATAAAACTTACTTGATTATCACTGTCTTCGGATAATGTTTTAAAAATTAATTTTGTATCATTATTCCTAAGTACATTAAAATCACAAATAATTTTTGTCACAGGTTCTCCATTAACAATATTAACACCTATTAGATATTTTTGAAATACTTGAAATTTTCCAAAACACTTTTCTTCTGATAACAACCATAATCTTCTTTTAAAACTCGTATTGCCATTAGTTGAATTCTAAAAATAGACATAAAAAATAATTTATTATTTTTTATTATTATTATTAATTAAAATTAAAAAAAAAAAACTTACTCTGCTACTATATCTGGCAAACACATATTGTTTTCCGGGAAAACTTGGTAAATAATCTGGCACTACAATAACAGCAACTGGACACGAAAAAGAAAATAGTTAAAATTATGTTTTTATTTATTTAAATAATTTATTATTAAAATTAATTCACATAGATGAAATTTTTTTATTAAAAAAAAAAAAATTTATTTTATAAATATGATTTAGAATTATAATAAATAATAATAAATTTAATTAAGTAGTTAACTAAATTAATTAAATTTAAAATAATATTATAATAAATAATGCTTCTAAAAAAGAATAGAGAAAATATTTTATTTACCAATATCTGATTCGTCGACTTTCGTTTGAAGATTTTTTGATGAACAATTGCAAGTTTCATTGCTCCCCAGTGAGAAAGAAAATAATATCATCAAAAGAAAACTCGAATAAAGCAAATTTAATTTCATCTGAAAATATAAATTAAAACAGTTTAATAAAAAAAAAAAATACCAATCTCAGAAAAAAATAACGAAAATAAATAAATTTAAAATTATAAAATCCACATAAATATATTTAGACTTACCTTGTTCGACATTTTTTTTTTTTTTTTTAATATTCTTATTATATTTCAATTATTCCTTTAATTATTTTTGAAAATTTATAAAAAAAATTCTGTATCACTTTAGAATTGAACGAATGAAAAACAAAAAATTAAATTTGGCACTGACGTGGATTTTTTTTTTTTTCAATTTTAGTGAACCACTCAACACAAATTTCTTGTTAAAAGTGAACGAGGGATTTTTGTACCTGAAGTTATTTCGACGACAATTGTTGAAGAAATGTCAAAAGAATTAGTTCTTTATGTTTACCTGAACTTTGAATTTTGTGAGAAAAAAAATTAAAGCTATTCAGTAAGAACTTTGTGGATAAACCCTCTGCGCATACAAAGACACATCAAGTAATGAGAATATAATTATCATTAATGTAGAAATATTTTGTTGCAACAATTTTTTTTTTTTAATTTTCACTAAAATATTTTGAAAGAAATGAACATTTTTAATTACTATTTTATTACATATATTAAGTTAAATATAGACAATATAATAAATTAAATTTTTAACACATGTATTGCACGGGAAATTTTCATTAAAAAATTTTTTTTACCCGAAACATTATTTTTTTCGAAATCTATGAAAATACATATTTTTTTATTTGATAAAAATTTTAAAATTTTATTCAAATAAAAATTATTTGGTTCAAGTAAATATTTATTTGACAATAATCAAGTAATCGAGTATTTGAATCAAATAAATTTTTTTTCCAGTGTGTATTTTCTTATTTTTTATACATAGATTTCGAAAAAAAATGTTTCGGGCAAACAAATTTTTGAATGAAAATTTCCCCTTGGAAAAAAATATAAAAAATATTTAATTATCTCAGAAAAGTTAATTAATTTTTAATAATCATAATTATTCAATACGGTTGTAAGAATTTTATTTTAGAATTAATTTTTGATTTATCATAATTTAATTAAAGAGAGATTAAAAATTAAATTTTTCAAACAAAAAAATTTTATTAAAAATAATTCTTATATAAAGAAAAATTAAAATATTTTAAAATATAAATATTAGATATAAAAATCTATTATTATAATATAATATATAAAGACACAAAAAAGTCGTTTTAGTCGATTTATATTCCAAAAAAAAGTGGATTTGTTTTTTATTTTAACAAAAATATTTTACAGATTTTAAAATAAAAAAATTTTATTTTAATAATAATCCTTTTCGAAGGGTTAAAGTTGAAATTTTTATAAATAATTAAATTTCAAAAGATATTATTAATTTTTAAACAATTATTAAATTTTACAGAACTAAAAATAATTTATCAAACAATTTTTGGAAAACATTTTTTAAATTTAATTGAATTTTCAAAGATTTGAAATTGAGATTTTTGAAATTAATTGAAACTTTGAGTGTTTTGTAATTAAAATTTTAGATGATTTCACTAAAAATTTATTAAAAAATGCGGACAAAATACAATAATTTGAAAATCATTTTTAATTGAAAAATGGTTTCAGATAGTTGAATTTTCAAAGAATATTATTAAAATAGTTAAAAATAATTGAATTTTCTTAGAGTTATAATTGAAATTATTAAATTTCAAAAAAAAAATTTTCGATGCAAAATTTTAGAAATAATTAAATTTTAGATGCTTTTAAATTCAAATTATTGAAAATTCAATTAATTTTGTATTCAAATATTTGAAAATAATGAAATTTAATTTTGATTTTAAATTTGGAAAATAATTGAATTTCAGTTCATTTTGAATTGAAAATTTTTGGGAAATAATTGAATTTTAATTGAAATTTTGGATAATAATTTAATTTAAGTTCATTTTTGATTAAAAATTTGGATAATTAATTTTGAATAGAAATTTTAGAAAATAATTGAATTTTATTTCATTTTAAATTGAAAATTTGGTAAATAATAAAATTTTAAATTGAAAATTTTGGATAATTATCGGATTTTTAATTGATTTTGAATTAAAATTTCGGGTAATAATTGAATTTTAGTTTATTTTTAATTGAAATTTTTTAAAAATAATTCAATTTTATTATGATATTTTTGTTTTTTAAATTATAAACAATTGTTAAATTTCATAAAAATTTTAATTGTAAAATAATTTTGATATAATTGAATTTTTGATGTATTTCATTAAAATTATTAAAAATAATTAATTTAGTAAAGAATCATTTTAGTTCAAAATTTGTTAAATAATTGAATTGCAGAAGATCTGAAGAAGATCTACATTTTATACTAAAAAATGTATTTTATTTATCGCATTTTATTAAAATAAGTCGATAGGAGTCGTATTTTTAAAAAAAAGTCGAAAAAAGTCGTTTAATCCGAGGCCTGCTATAATTTTCATTATTATCATTTAATATGTAATAATATTCTAATAAATTAAATTATTATTGATAATATTAATCTTTAATTTCTTTATAAAAAACAATTACAATAATATTCAATTTGGCGCGCGTTTAATTTTGCTAGTTAAATAAATAATTTAACAAGGAAAAAAATTATCAACATCTTTTATTTAAAATACTAAATTTTATTTAAAATTGTTGTCAAAAATTTATTTTGTAATTTCATTTTTTTTTTTTAAAAAGACTATGAAATAAATAATTATTACAAATAATTAATTTTATTAAATAAAAAATTGTTTTTTTTTTTAAATAAAAGAAAAAAAGTTATTTAAAATAAATAATTAAAATTTTTGTCAAAAAAATTTTTTTTCTAATAATTTTATTTTTTAAAAAAGGCTGTGAAATAAATAAATTGTTACAAATAATAATTTTCTGGATTAAAAATTGTTTATTTTTAATAGTAAAATGTGTAGTACAATTTTTTGTTATTTACAATATATTTAAAAAGAATAAAATATAAGACATTTTTATATTAATTAAAATAAATTATGAATATTTTAATTTTATTCTATTATAGAATGTCACAAAATTTAAAGTCTATTATTTTTATTATTGTTGGATGAATTACGTCTTGGTTGAATTACATGTGGTACAATGTCTATGATGATGGCTATGATGGCTATGATGTCTGTGATGGCTATGATGTCTATGATGGCTATGATGCGTATGATAATCATAATAAGAATCATAATAAGGATTATAATAATCGTTACTGAATGTCGAATAAGGAGAAAAACTGTAAGAATTATAAGGATAATACAACATATAATCATAATACAGACTTTGTCTTCGTCTTCTTTTACCTTCTACGCAACTTTTATAAGATAAACAATTTTTCCAATGGCATTTACCATTATCAGTATTTTTTTCACAAAAACTATTCATTTTACGGCATAAATTAGTTTTTGGATCTAATTCCAAAATACATTCTTTTTGTTCATCAATAGTTGTTGTTTTGTTTTGTTCATTTTTGTTGATCTGGAAAAAAAGAAAAAAATTTGAAAATTAATTTTTTTTTATATAAATTCAATCAATATATATATATTATAATATTATGAATATATTTTCATTTTACTCATCTTTTAAAGTTTATTATAAATTTATAAATTAATTATTACAAAATAAAAAGTTTAAAAAATATTTACTAAAATACTTACACTGCAAGCACAATAATTATACAACTTTTTCTTGTTTAAATGCAAAGATTTCTTTCGTTTATTATTCAAATGTATTTTGAGTTGACATTTAGATGTAGTGGGTTTTTCTCCTATAATTCTACCACTGATGATAAAAGTTTCATTCATTGTCAAGTTTGATTTGCAGCTATTAAAATTTTCAATAATAATAACATCCATATTGCTTTTGAAGTAGTTGGTTTTATCCTGAAAATAATTTTCAAAAAAATTAATATTTTTTATATAATATATTCTTTTTTTTTAATGTTCTTTTGTTATTATTTTATTTTCATAAAAATAAATGAAAAATAAATTTCAATAAAACAAAAATGAAGGAAAAGAAACGAAAAATTTTCATAACTTGAACATTTTAAATATTAATTTTATATTACAAAAAAAAAATAAATAGAGATAAATTATTCAAAATATTCTCACCATGTAAGTTTCCTCTAACTTTACAATGTAATTTTCTTCAGTTATATTATTGACATGAACTTGAATGACTGAAAATGATAAATAAAAATATTATGATTCTAATAATTTTAATTATATAAATAAAATTTGATTTAAAAAAAAAAAAAATTGAAATATTCTTACTGAAATCTTCTTTGCAAATTTTAGTTTGAGGATGTTCTGTGATTTTTGAACAGGAACAAATTTCATCTCTCTCTGCTGATGCTAAAAGTGCCAATAAAGACACCAATAGAAAGCTCAAACTGTAGTTGAGGGACTGCATCTAAAAAAAAAAAAAAAAGAAAACCAAAAATTATTTTAATATAAAATAAAATAAAAATAAAACTCATATAAAAAAGGCGACAAAAATGAATTGTAAATTTTATAAATTAAAAAAATTATATTCAACTTTCCAAAAATACACATAACTTTTAATTTTGCTAGTGAAATTTTTTTTTGTTACTATTTAAAAATTATATTATCAATAAATGATGGGAAAAATTATTATTCAAATCAAGAACAAATTTTAATCACTTCAACTATTTTTTTTTTTTTAATAATTCTACATTATAAAAAAATTAATTTTTGAAATAAATTTAAAATTGAATAATTTTAATTAAAATTAATTTAATTTTTAATAATTTTCTATGAGACGTGAAAATAAATTATTTCATAATATAAAAAACAAATAATTTTAAATAATAATAAAAATAATTTAAAGAATAATTTAAAACTAAATATAATTTTTAAAAAAGTATTTTTTTTTATATTTAATTTGGCCATTAAATTAATAATAATAAATAAATAAATAAATAAATAAAAATTAAAATAATAAATAATAAAAATAAATTAATAATTTATTATATTGTATTATTGTATATATTGTATATTGTATATTGTATATATCAATAAAAAATTAAAAGAAAAATAGAATAAAATAATAAACTTACATTTATGTGTAGATGTGACCAGAAACTATAGCAGAAATATACTGTTCAAATTTTCAAAAAGCATCGGGTATTTATAAGGTCCAACTTCATCCCTTCTACTACAAAAACTCATTAACACTAATTAGAAAAATAATTTGTATCTCATTTTTGAAATTTTTGCATTTATATAATTTGAAAATCCATTAAAATGTAATTTAGTAAAATTAAATTATAATCCATTCGCCTTAAGAATGTTTTTCCCTTTGACATTGTAGCACAAAATTTTGCACCTGCAATGCTGCTAAATATTTTTTTAAATTTTATATTTAGAAATATTTTATTTAAAAAAATTTTTTTTTTTGTAATTGTTTTACTTTTAATTCACTTTTTAATTGAAAAAAATAAATAACTTAAATGACAATTATAGGATTTTAAACGTATGATTTCTGTAATACCAACTGAAATTATGACAACACTGTAAGTACAAAAATCGCGAAATCACAAGTTTTGCTGAAATGTATACATGACAGAACTGAATTTTCTTATTATTTAAATAAATTTAATAATCAAGAAAAATGTTTATTGTTGGATTAACAGGTGGTATTGCCACTGGAAAAAGTACTGTTGCTGCAATAATGCGTGAACATGGAATACCTGTCATTGATGCTGATATTGTTGCAAGAAAAGGTTAGGAATCATATCTATATAATATAATGAAAAATTAAAAATTAATAATAAATAATCATTTACAAAAAAAAGAAAAAGAAAGTCAAATTGGTTGACAACTAATTATTCTTGATAATTCATCATTTTTTTTAAAATAAATAAAATTTAAAATATTTCATTTGCGATCAAAGTCCTTATAAATGTTACATTCATCAATTTGCATTCATGAAACGACAATTTTATGAAACAAGATTTTTTTTTCAAATTCTTTCATTAAGACTTATTCTATTTTCTGTGTATTTTTCTTTTATTTACCGTCTACCTTGACTTGAGGTCGATAATATTAAATCAATTTGACAGTTATTATTGAAATGAAAATAAATATTATTATTCAAATTTCGCAAATAACAATATTTTATTATGATTATCTAGTCGTTGAACCAGGAAAGCCAGCGTGGCACAATATAAGAAAAGAATTTGGATCGGATGTATTTTTGGAGAATGGAGAACTTGATCGTGTCAAATTGGGCGATTTAATATTCAATGATGTTGAGAAGAGAAAAAAATTAAATACCATAACGCATCCTCATATTTATAGAGAAATGGGTTGGCAAGCATTTAAATGTTTTCTCAAAGGTCATCCATTTATTGTTATGGATTTACCATTACTTTTTGAAACTGGACATATGCTTGGATATTTATATAAAGTTATTGTCGTTACATGGTTTGTTAATTTATATATTTCTTTTTTTTTTCCCACAAATTTTAATTATAAAAATTATCCATTATTTTAGAAAAATATTTAAATTTCTTTTTAATAACTTTATTATTGTTTTTAGCTATCTTAAATAGTTAAATATAGAGGAGAGTGGTCCTATTTCGGCCCTGTGGGTAAATTCGGTAAAATAATTATTTTAGTGTATGTAAAAAAAGAGTTTGTTTAAAATTATTAATTCGACGCGAACGCCAGCTCTGAGAAACCCAGGGGGGGGGGCGACTTTACCCACAAGGCCGAAATAGGACCACTCTCCCCTACAATAGAAATTAGAAATTTATGACTCTTAATTATTTTAATATTACTTTTCTTGATAATTTTTATTATTTCAGATATTAGACTTGAGATTATTATTATTTTCTCAAGTCTAATCTTTGAAATAATAAACAAAATCATTAAGAAAAACTAATTAAAATAAGTAATTAAGTGATAAGTTATCATAAAATAAATTTATTATTCATATTGTCTTTAAATAGAGGCTTATTATTAATTTGAAAACAGGAAAAATAAGATTTATGAGCTCTTAAATTATTTTTTCCAGTGAGGAAGATCTTCAGCTTCAACGATTAATGGAGCGTTCAGGTTTCACAGAAGCTAAAGCAAAATTACGAATAGGCGCACAAATGTCGCTTGAAAAAAAAGCGGATATGGCAAATTTTGTTATTGAAAATTCAAGCAGCGATCGTGATACACGCGAACAAACAATAAAAGTCATCAATGTTTTAAGAAATTATAAACAACATTGGAAAATACGAATTTTAGTTGGATTTTGTTGTACTGTATTATTGGCTGGTGTTTATTGGCTGAGGAACAAATCCTTAAAGTCAATACCTGCAGTTGCATAAAAAAAAGGGTGATACAAAAAAAAAAAAATATATTAAAATAATTGTCCCAAAACGTGACAATTTAAGTCATCATCGAATAATTAATTTTTCAGTTGAAAACTTTAAATATAAATGAACTTTGTTGTTAATATTGTAAAATTCCATTTTTTACTCACAAAATAGTTATTAATTTAAGAATTTAGATCTGATTTTTTTAATTAAACTTTCTTTACTTTATGATCATTTTTTTTTTTATTTAAAAAGATTTCCAAACTTTGTATAAAAATTTACTTAAGCACAAAAATTCGATAGCTCAAACTTGTTAATTTTGCGTATTTGAAAGACAAGATTATTTTTTGTTTACTTGTTACTTTGTATTTCGAAGAATAGAAATAAAATGTACTCGAAAGAGGTTTTCTATTTAAGATTTGAATATAATAAAATAAAAAAAAACATATTCTTATAAGATACGAGTGATAGAAAAAAAGTGCGCATTGATTTAAAAAAAAACAATTGAAACCAGAATATTGAATTTTATGTACAACAATTTTTATTTTACCTTTTTTTTTTTTGTTTGTTATCTACTTAATTAGAATCGACTTCTCATCACTTTCTGGAAACTTATCTTCTACAATTTATGACGAGTAGTTTAATTGTCGCGATAAGTACTTAATTACTAAAATATCACTATTGTATAAGAATATTTAACTTATCTATCGATATTGGAAGTATAAAAATTCTTTTTCTAAGAAATATCGACAATGTTACAACGTACAGAACAATCGTAGCAGCATGAATGGATATTTTTTTTTTTTTAACATTAATAATGAATTTATTATTTTCAACTTTGACATTGTGCATTCAAAATACTCTTTTCAATTTGTACTTAAATCGATAAAGTAATACTATCAAACATATTAATTACATTCATGTAATTGATTTTCATCTAACGGGAGATTAATTTCTTTTCATAAGTTTTTTGTTTTTCATCGCAATATTAAAAACCTAAATTATGAAATTATCTACAAAATTATTATACAATCGTAGAGAATTTCTTAAAAAGAAAATTTTCAGTTTATTTATTTTTTTTTTTAATCTTAAAATCACTAAATTTCTACAAAAACGAAAACAAAATTATCACAATAGATTTGTTCTTAGAATAAACAAAAACGAGTTTTTAAAGAAAAAAAAGAAAAATCGATATTAATTATCGAAATTAAGAATTTATAACTTCTTAAATCATCGGTACTTAAATATTTAAGTAATTTCAAAAAAAAAAAACTACCAATTAATTGGTAATTTAAAAATGAAAAAATAATTGCAAAATACCACATTTAAATATTTGATATTCTAACCCCTGAGTTTCTTTTTTTTAAATTAATGATTTTCGAGATTTTTTTTTTTTTTTTTACTGAACTGTAAAAATGTTACAGTCAAAATGAAACAAGAGAAAAAAGCTGCAAAACATTATTGTCCTGTACAACTTTTTAAAGTGTAGAATATTTTTTTTTCAAATATTTTATACGCAGAGAATAATTTTTTTTAAAAACTAGATCTACATAATATTTCTAGTTAGTGTGGTGATTCTTTGAATTTTTAAAATTAAAAATAACTAAAACAGTGTTTTCTTTCTTGCTTAATATTTTCCAATTTAAATTATATTTTTTCACTTGAATTTAATTTGAAATATTGTAATATTCAATTTAAAATCGTGTATTTAAATGGACCATTGAATTCTAAATTAAATAAATATATCACATTTATCCAATTAAATTGAATAATTCAAATGAAATTTCACTGTTTTTGTGTTATTTTCATTTTTAAGAATTGCAAAGTATCATCAAGAATTTTTTTTTTCTCAACAATTTTTACAACATTAAATTGTAATTTCAAAAACAAAAATGAAGTAAATTTGCTTTGAACATTTGTAAAACTCATAAAGAATTAATGTAACAAGACATCGAGAGGAAGTTATTCTAATCTTGTTTCGTAATTTATCAACTCTTTTAAACAGATGTGAAGTGTGTGGGGGGGGGGGAAATTCACCTTACGGAAAAGTACGCAGAAAACTATTATATTAACAATATAATTTTTCTGACAAATATTTACTGGGTAATTCTCTTCAAAAATCATTATTTCGAATTTTATAATGTAGAATTTTTATTGAACTGAATTTTCAAATTACCAAAAAAAATTTCTCATTTTTCCTACAAAAGATTTTCTAGTTCAAAAAATTTTAGAATTAGAAAAACTGTAAAAAAAATGAATTAAAAATTCAATATTAATTCTATTTTATAGAATTCAGTTTAAAAAAAATGATTTTCAGTTGGAAAAAATTCTTCTTTAAGAAAAAAAGAATTTTATTACTGTAAAACAGGCCTGAGTTCTTGTGTCATTATTGGATAGGACAATAATGGAGCAGTTGCTCCCGATATCGATAGGGGTAAACTTGTTGGTTGTTGTGAATTTTGTGGTTGTTGATTATTTGGTTGTGGACCAGAGCCACTCATTGTAATTGTTTGCTGTGCCATTGTGACAATTGGCGGTGGTATTGAAACAGGTGCCATTGAAACAGCGGCAATTGAAACGGGTGCAACTGTCGCCAAACTAACTGGTACTGTTGCAACACTTGCCGTAACAGTTCTTAATGTTCCAGCGGCAACAGCGGCGTTCACCATTTGCTGTGGAGTTGGCGCCTGTGATGGTGGTACCGTATTTGTTATTGTCACTGCCGGTACCGTTACTGCAGTTACATTAGCTGTACGTTTGCCTGACATTCGCAATTGTGCATTTTGATCCAAGAGAAATTCATTTGTCGCTGTTAAATCACTTACCTGAAAAAATAAAATTTTTATTATTTTTACAATATTTTAAAATTTACTAAATATGAGGCATATTTAAAAATTACATCTCTAGTAAAAAATTGATTTTTTAAATTTCTTCTATTTAATTAAATCAAAAATTACATTTATTGAACGAACCTGCTTTTTTAATTCTTCGATTTTTTTTCTTAGCAATGCATTTTCATCTTCTAGGACAATTGCTCTGGCTTCGTTTCTAGGTATCACTGGATAATAATATCCAGGTGTAACGGACTGTGTAGGATGCTGTCCAACTAATTGTGAAGTTTCAAAATGTAAAAGAGCTTCACTCGAGACTAGTCTTCTTTTTGGCTCAGGTGGTCCAATGTAATCAAGAGAATGTGATGCACTGTATCCATTATTTACAAGTAGAGAATGATCCTCCAATTGCCATTGATAGCTGAAAAAAAAAAATTAATTAAAATACTATTTTTAAAAAATTCTCAAAAATTAAAAATATTTAAAATTTCCATGAGAATTTTTTTTCAAGGATTCATTTCTAGAATTGAACGCAATATTCGTATCGCAAAGTGATTCATGCATTAAGATATATCTCAAGCAGACTACGCTTATAATTTCAAATTACGTAATCCGCCTATTAATATTCCACTAGCAAGTTTAAATATCCAATTTTTATTTGCAATTGTATTTAGAACCGACTTTTGAATACAAATGTATTTTTTCTAAAAAAAAAATATTGCAAAATTTTCTTTAAATTACTATAAAAAAATAAATAAAATGTCAAACCTTCTGTCCTCCTCGAATCGACGATTATCACCACTGCCAATTCCATTAAAACAATGTTGTGGTTTCGGTAGATTTATTTGCGAAACTGTTATCATATTATTTGGTTGTGGTTCATCTTTTTTATAATGTCTAAATTTACAATTCACCCTTTGACAACTGCCTTTAATAAAATCTTTACATGCTGGTAATTCTTTGTCATTTGTATTTTTCAATTTAACAAGAATATGTGATGGTAATTCGCCAGTTGCACGAAAATGTTTCTCTTCACTTTCAGTGCAATGAACAAATTTACAACCGGGCCAATTGCACATACCATTTTGAAAATCATGACAAAATGTATATTCATCAATTGGACTGTCTTCTGATCTTTCATGAAGATATTTACAACGTTTACCACGATGGCAAACATTGCGTAAAAAATCACGACAAACACGATAGGGCGATGATTCCCTATTTATATTATTTAAACCGCCAGCCATTTTAATTTCTAATTCACTATTTAATTTTTTCTTCATTAGTAATTAGGCATTTCAACAATTTTCCACTTCTTTCACTTGTGACTTCAAAATTTTATATCTGAAACAAAAATATATTAATTAATAAATTATAAAAAAAGAAATTTATTAAATACAAAAATTCTAAATATAATGAAACTACACAAGTTTTTACTTGTTTAAATTTGAAGAAATAGTTTAAATTACTATACTGATAAATTCCTTTTTTTTATATAAAAAATATTTCTCGATCGATGAAACAAAAAAAAAAAAAAAGTGCAAAGATCAAAAAATACTTGTACATAATTCAGCAGAAAAAGTGAACTAATATTCTGAGAATATCTACATGAACTCATTACAACATAAATATTTATGACTTTAGAATGTGTAACAACATTTAAAAGGAAGCAATGAATTCAACTCTGGTTTTTAGATATTTCTGGAATTATTTCAAGTAAAAACAAATTTTTTTTAAATTAAAAAAGAATTATTTTAAAAAAAAAATAACTTTCGTTTACCTCTAGGTGGTAAAAATAATTTCCACACGAGATTTAATTTTATGGAATTGGAAAGTAAAGGCGAAATAACAACTCAAGGAATTTGAGAAATTTTAACTAATTTAATCCTTTTTTTTTTTTAATATAATGACTGTTACATATGTAGGTAATATCAACAATATTATTTACAAAATTTACTGTCTGCACCTAATTTTTATTGCATATAAATCATAAGAAAAAAAAAATCAGTTTCTACAAAATTTGCATCCCAATTTTTTTTTTTTTTTCCTCTTCATCAAAATATAATTTTCTTTCAGATATATACTTTTTTTTCAATAATTTAAGTCATGGCAAATTTTTTTTCTTTATAGTTTCATACAATGGCACTCTAAATAACTAATGAAATTACTTTGCTATAATGTGTGTGTGTGAGCGTTAATAATTTTCGTATAAAAAGATTTTTTTTTTTATTTGTTTTAATAGAAAAAGTGTAATCATTTTAAAAAATACAAAACAACACCTAGGCCATTCATTCCAGTGACAGACCTCTGAATAATTTTTAGAATTAGTATGACAAAAAAAAAAACAAAAATGGTCTGACAATATGAACTACTGGTCTAAGTTCATAAGTTATAAATAACAATAAACTAAAAAATACAAAGACGGATTAATTCTTCCAAAAAGTTATTTGCACATTTTCTTTTAAACAGTCATAATTTTTTTTTTTTTTTCTTTTTTTTTTTGCATCCAATAAACAATAGAATAATACAGAATTGTGAAAAATATAAATATAAAAACAATTGACTTTATACATTAGAAAGAAGCACGTTTTAAAAATTAAATATATATCTCACTATAGTGTGTAAATATAAATTTTTATCTTGACATTCTTTCTTAATTAATCAAAATTCAAAAATAAATTATTACAACATTAAAGTTGTTTTAGAAAATAATAAACAATTAGTATCCTTTAAAATAATCTTCTCAAGTTATTTCAAAGTATCTTCTCTTTAAAAAATATCTCTTTAGATATCTTAAGGGATATTTTTCAAAAAGAGATCTCTTAAAAAATCTTTTCTAAAAAAAAAAAAGATTTTTTTTTTAAATTAAATAATCGTGCATTTATTTGACGATAATACTCCTTTGCGTCCGGGAAGATATGATATATTGAGATTGGCAGCGCAATAAACATTTTAACAAGACTCGTTTTGTTTAATTTCTTGAACTCAAGGTTCCCTGCAAATATATATATATATAAATATGTTCTTTTTTTTTTTTTTGTTTGTTCATCTTAACAATTTATTAATTGTGAATGAATCCTTTGATTTTTTTTCTTCGATTCTACGAAATAATAGAATTTCAAAATTCCTAAAAGTTGAAATCTATAGTCAGAGCCCCCTCCCCCCCTTAATTTATCGAAATATTTACATAAACATTTACACTGCATTCTTTTGTTTGTTTTTTTTCAATCGTATAAAAAATTCTTCACTCCATTTTTTAAAAGAGAATTTCCTACAGTATAGATTTTTTTTTTTATCGTCTTTGAGCTTAACGAGAAAAAAAAGAGGGTCCACCTCACTCTCTTTGAGAGTTTTTTTTTTCTTTTTTTTTTTATATACAAAAGAATAATAAGAAAATATTAAAATAATTTCTCGAGTAGCATCCAAACTAACACCAAAGCGAGTGGCGCGACATAATGAATCGGCACTGTATAACTTGCATTTAATAAATCACCACATTGACTTTTTAGGGTTGAATAATTTTTGACAAGTTCGGCCTTTTCCTCCATAAAGGCATTATATTTTTCCTTGAGAATAACAAGTTCCTCATTAACTTCGCGCATACGTTGTGTCTCATTTTTCGAACGATAATAAATATCTTTTAATTTATTTAAAATAATTTCATTTTGTTCGCGCATTAACCAATCTTTCAATTCTTTTAATTCTCTTTTAACAATAATTTGTGCTTCTTGACTGTCCTCCTCTTTCAATGAATCAAAACAACCAATGAGACTTTGAAGAATAAACTCTTGTACTTGTACAGTTTGCGATGAATCACTTTTACTTAATGGTTTCAATGTTTTTATATATTCTCCATCCAAATGTTCATTCTCCATTTCCAGCTCGGTTTTATTTTCCCCATCCCTCAATGTAACGGTGGATTCAACGAGATTTAATAGCGAATCTTCTGTCACGGAACTAATTCCCGTATCGACTTCTTTCACTTTTTCCTCTGTCTCGATTCTGTGTAAAAAAAATAAAAATTATTTTTAAATATCAAATTAGTTTTTTGCAATAAAAAAAAATACAAAAAAAAAAAATTTTATATTGAAACTAGAGAAGTTTCCAATTTAAAAATTTTTTAATCAAATTAATATCGATAAATCTATTTTTAATATATTAAATAAGTATTAAAAATAATAATTTCTAAAAGACGAGAGTAAATTTAGAGTACAAAAATGATTCTTATGAATTCGAGATTTGGCATCCATTGAGAGGCTCATCTAATAATAGAAGACAAAATTTCATAGCTCCACAAAAAAAAAAACTGATTTCAAATTTTATTTCTGACAATTTTTTCTGGAATTCGCATTAAATTCAATTTTGATTTTATTATAATTATTAAAGTAATGAATAATATTTTAATTATTAAAAATAATAATACTAATAATAAGAAAATATAATACAAATAATAAATTATTATTATTATTATTATTTTAATTATAAAAAAAATTTTTACGTAATCGAGAAAAATGTTCTCTTAGTCATAAAGATTTTTCTCTCGAGTTTTTCTTTAGAATTTCGGGAAAAAAAACTCACCTCCTTTCCAATGTTTTTCCCTCCTCATCACTGGCAAATCTCACTTCCAATTTTGGTTGTTTATCACCATTTTTCTTCAACTCCTCCTTTCCATCGACAATTGTCTCTTGATCATAAATTTTCTTATCCAATTTATCATTCACAATTGCCATTGATTTAACATCACAATCATCACTAATTTTCAAATTAATATCAGAATCCAAATTCACAGTACTCTCAGGAATTTCATTAAATATTAATTTCTTCGATGGAGATTCATTGTCATTTTCACTGCTTGATGTTGAATTATTTTCCTCTTCAATTATTGTAACACGATCATTATCATGAGAATCTAAATTTACATTTACAATATTAAAAGTTTTTCTTCTCAACAATTGTTCATCACATTTTTCATTATCCAATAAAGAATCATCAATTAATTTCACATTAGAAATATCATCAGTTAATTCTGAATTTGTATCTAAATCAAAATTACTTGCAACCAATGTTCTTCTTGATGGTGGTAAAATATAATTATCAAGTTTCTCACTATCAGTTAATGAGTCATTCATTTCAACATCCTTTAATGATGTCTCCATACATGTGACTTCCGTTACATCAGAATTAGTATCCGAATCAATGGATAAATTTAAATTATCCGTAAAGCCACCATTAAATAAATTTCTATTTGATGGTGGTAAAATATATTCATTTAATTTCTCACTATCTGTTAATGAGTCATTAATTTGATCCTTATAGGATAAATCGTCAGTATCGAAATTTTTCATTTCCTCTGAATCCTCTGAATTCACTTGATTATCCTGCCATGAGACATTATTTTCAATATTGTCATAAATATCAGTTGGTTTTGTGCTGAAAATTAATTTATTCAATATACCGGACATTGACATTTGTACATCATTTATATCATCTTTAGATTCTAAATTATCGTCTGTCAATTGTTTTGATTTTGCGTCTTGTAATGTTCGTACATAATTTTTCAAGGCAGTGACTTGTTTATGAACATTTATTGAATCAATTTTGGAATTTTGTAATTTTGCCTGTAAAACACGTTCAATGCGCGTTTGATCCTTAAGCTGTTTTGTAAATTGTTTTTTCTCTTCTTCCATTTTAACATTCAACTCCTGTAATTTATCATCACTTTCCATTAATTTATTTGTTGTCTCCTGCAATTTTTTCTGCGCCTCAGTATATTTTGCTGCCAATTCTTGTAATTCACTTTGAGTATGTTTTGTCACCTCATGAAGACTTTGACATTCTTCTTCAGTTTCATTTAAACGTGTTTCCAATTGTATTAGCCTGTGTGTTACATCTAATTTCTCCTGCAAAAAAAATATTTTTTTAATTAAAAAATTCAAAAATTCAAAAATTAAAAATAAAAAAACAAATTACCTGTAAAACTTTTTGCAATGCATCCTTGGCGGCATTTTGATATTGTGCCTTTTCCTCGTGAAGTTTAACCAATTCATTTCTAACTTTATCCTCGGCGAAATTTTTCGAAAAGAAAACAAGTTGACTTTCAACTGTCTCAACCCTTGATAAAAGTCGATCCTCTTCAATAAGCGCCTTCCATGATTGATTAGCGGCTATTTGTGTATTTTCAACGAGTTGTTGCAGGTACGAGAGTTTATATTGTAATGCCTGTTCACGTCTATTTGCCTCCTGAACAAATTGATTAAGCATATAAAGATCCTCGAATGTTATTCCAGCAACTGGATCAACTGAATTACTTGAACTTGCTTTTGCCTCTTTACCATCGGGTAAATAAAGTTTTAATGTTGCAACAATACAGCCGTGTGTCAATTTTTTTGTATCCTCAACAACATTAACGCCAAATTGCACAATATCACCTGAACACACTTCTCTTGCATTTGATTCCTGTCCCGATGAGCTGAGTCTATTATTATTGACAAATGTACCATTACTACTCTTTGTATCTTGTAGATAAAATTTACCTGAATCATACCAAAGTATTGCATGATTTCTCGATAATACTTTACAATCAAATATTGCATTTGATGGCGCTGCTTTTGCACGAGCAACTGATCTTCCTATTTTCACTGGATGATCAAGTAATAATGTACGATCTTGAAATGGATGTGAATTATCACGACATATAAGAACCCCTTTGGCGGTCATTTTGTCTGATATTAAATCTGTATCGTTTAGGTTAGTATCGTTCTCCGCAACATTTTTAATTGGATTAACATAATTGTCACTTGCTGACAGTATGGCTAATCTATTTTTCATTATCATTGTTTTTCGAGGTGACTCCATTGGTGAAAAAAGAATTGCATAGCACAATCTCAAGTCCATGTGTAGAAAGAGCTGTTACGCCCACACTACTTAAATAACTGGTCATTGAACACGCGTGCATAAACGAAAACTTTGAACGATAAGAAAATTGTGAATTGACGTTTTGCTTCTTACGAAATCAAAAAAAGAAAGAGAGAGAGATAAAAACGACACATCCGCGACAAAACGATATATACACAATTACACACGAGTCGAATCGAGTCGAGATAGTGTAGAACAAATTAAAAATTTAACATTCATATTTTTTAATTTTCCTTTTTTTTTAGTCAACGATATGGAATAAAAAATTTTTTTTTTTTTGTTCCTCTTGACACTGTGCGCCAGTGGTGCTGCTATAAAATGCTGCTTTCCGACATTGTTCCGAAAGTCATTGTGATATCGAGAAATTCATGTCGGAGAAGATAAAAAATCACATTAAATAAATATGTCGACTTTAGATTTATCTTCTTTACTAGATGTTCTAAATGAGGTCGTCGTTCACTTTTGTGAGATGCACTAAACGAAAATAAGGCAGTAATGCACTAACACAAGGAACGCTTTTACACTCACGCCTTTCTTGACAGAAGGGAAAAAAAGTAATGACTGCCGAGAAATTAATTCAGTCTCTTGTATGTTTTACACGATTTTATTTTGTAATAAATAGCCGAACGCGTTTACAATTATAAATTGTATTTCTTTTTTTTGTGACTATCCGAAAAAATCAAGACGGATCAAACCATCATCAAATGATCAACGGAACGACAAAACTGTTTCTTGAAAAACACGGTTCACATTTCACGTTTCACTGTATTTATCTCTCCTCTCGTTCGTCGAGTGTTTCACATTTCACTGTTCCGCTATTTATCGACCGTACCAATGTACTGTGTGTCACATTAGTTAATTTCTTGCCAGAGGAAAAATATTAAAAAATATTTATGCGAATATGTTTCAATTCGCGAATGCTTTAATTCTCTGGGTACGAGTTATATAAACGCGTTGGAGTGGGATGAACATTTAATGAAAGAGACGCCTTTCACAATTAAAAAAAATTCCATTGACATATAGCGAGATTTCCGGAATTGAATAAATATTTGACACTGTACATGTATATCACACATACACATATGTAATTGTTAAAAACGTGTGCCTAATTATTTATTAATTAAGACCCCATGACAGATTCAGTGTTATTATTAGGTTGGATTTTATACGATTTATATTCTCAATCATTCCTAATTGCTTGACACATTTCAAACAAACAACTCTGAACAAATATTAATTTCTATTAAAATAGAAAGTATAGTCAATTTTTGATATTTAAATACAAAATCTTTGAATTAAATGAAATATATAAACAAACTTTTGTTTTTAAAATGAAGGACAAACATTCACCTATTATATACATGGATAGAACTTTCTAAATTGATGTCATTGTTCCACTAGTTTATTTTTATTCAAATTTTTATAAAATTCTCTAAACAAATATATAAGTATAATTTACTTTTTAAAAAAACTTCAAAATTTTAATAATAGTTTATAAACGAAAATATTATATTTGCAAATTTTAAAAATAATAATTAAAGGGAAAATAAAATTTATTAAAATCAACTAATAAAAATGCAAATAAAATTTAAATTTGTAGAAAGAATCAATATTTTATTTTATTGCAATTCATATGGGTTCCTCTTGTTAATAAAATGAAGGGTCAATGTTTTTTAGATAGAACATATAACGATACAGACATACATAACCTCTAAAAAATAAAATAAATTTGTTTCTCTCTTTTTTGCTGACAAATATAAACTGTATAAAGTTAATAAAGTTTTTTTTTAAATAGAAGAATAATGTTGAATATTTAGTAATTAAATTATAGACATTTTAAATTATTTTATAATTCAGTGTTAAAAAGAAAATTTACTATTGTGGTGAAAACAAAAGTCAAAGTTGGAAAATTTTCATTGTTTACTAAAAAATTTATCAAAATATGTTTATATTGTGTAAAACTTGGATTATTAAAAAATGAGAGTATCTTAAAAGTGTTTTAACAGTAACATAACCTAATAATAGAAAAATATTTGAATTTTGTTTTTGTTTTAACTTTTAACACTTAATCATGTCAGACGAGGAAGATTATATGTCTGATAAATTCTTGCAAGATTGCCAAAAATATGTTGCACCAAGTTTAATATTTCGTTCGGAGGATAAACGAGAATTGGAAATAATGAAAAGAAAAGCGGAAATAGAAGCAAGATTAAAGGAAAAAAAACCTATTAAAGTAATAGAAGAAGAAAAACGAGAAGAGGGACTTTCATCTGCTATATCAAGTGATAATAAAGGTAAAAAAAAATAATTAAAAATTTCCCAATTAAATATAGAATATTATTAATTTTATTTAAATTATAGGTTTTGAAATGCTAATGAAGATGGGTTATAATCCCGGTAAAGGATTGGGAAAAAAAGAAACTGGCATATCGGAACCAATTGGAGTTGATTTAAAAAATAATCGACACGGTCTTGGTAAAGAAAAAATAAAAATTCCAAAAAAAACAAATCCTATTGCAAATTTAGAAAAAATGGACGCCGATGAATTTCGTAAGCGTGTAGCTAATAAAAAAGCAGAGCAAGTGGCCACAATGGATTTACATAAAAGTCAAAGAATTTGCGAACAACTCGATATAAATTTTAAAATTGAAAAACCAGTGGAAAATTGGTTTTGGTTTCCAAAAGAAAAAGAGGGTAAAGAATTTGAAGAAAGCGAAACAAGTGACGATGATGATGATGATGAAAATGAGAATGAGGAAAAACTTCTTAATAGTGAAAAATTAGAAATTCTCACAAAATATTTGAGGGGAAAATATTTTTATTGTATTTGGTGTGGTGTTGCTTATGACAATGAGGAAGATTTAAGAGAAACTTGTCCCGGAAACACGAGGAGTGATCATTAATTCACAAAAAAAAATTGCCATACTTTATAATATTTTTATACCCTTTTTTTTACACGTTCCTAAAAATGACTTGATTTTTTATTTTATAGAAAAATCAATCGATATGTAAAAATAAAATTAGTTATAAAATTTAATTATAATCAATAATTTTTGTGAATAAAAAATTGTATATGTACATAATAAATTGAAATTAGTGTAAATTTAAAAGAAAAATTCTCTATATCAAATAACTTTCAATTATAATTTCTTAATTCAAGAATAAGATTATGAATAATTTTTTTTTTTTTTTTTTAAATATTCAGCGTAATATTTTTTATGATAACATAAAAAAGCCATTAGGCACTTAATGCAAAATAACGTGTAAATAAAGTGCTTTGTCAGAAAACTGGTCTATTACTAACAAAAACTTGAAGGGAAGTGATCTCTGATAAAGAATGCTGTTAGTTCATAGCAGGAGTTCGACACCCTAGAGTTGATGGTGGGAAAAATAGTTTATAAAAGCTTCTGATATGAGATTTCTTTCTTCACTTATAATTCAACTTTGATTTCAAGTTCCATTGCAAAAAAATTTCGAAAAAATACTGTGCAAAAAAAAGGAATAATTTTCACTAACGAGAAGATAAAAGTTTTTTTTATCATGATCAAAGTTATCATGTATATTCTAACGATTACATTATTTTGTAAAAATGGTGCCAATAGTCAACTTGAAAGCGAAGAAAATTGTGAAACACTTCAATCGGAAATACATATTGCAAAAGGTGAATTAAAAATTTATTTTTTAAAAAAATGCTGTGCATAAAGAAATAACATTTTTCATTTTCTATTCTAATTGAAAAAAAAAAAATTTTCAGACGAAAAAGATGAAACAGGAGGTTTAATAAGAACTTGTAGTACCGATATTTTAGTTACAAAATGTGAAGGTTCATGTAATTCTCAAGTACAGCCGAGTGTAAAAACAAGTACAGGATTTTTAAAGGTAAAATAAAAAAAATAAATTCGAATAAAAAAGAAAAAAATCCTTTTTTGTCCCATGAAAATTAATATTTTATTTCAGGAATGTTTCTGCTGCAGAGAAAGTTATTTAAAGGAACGGCTTATACTTTTAGATCATTGCTATGATGTAGATGGAGTTCGACTTGAGGGTGAAATTCTTGGAACAATGGAGATAAAATTAAGGGAACCAGCTGAATGTAAATGTACCAAGTGCGGAGGATTTTCAAGATAAAAGAAGAGAAAAAAAAATTCAACTGCAATTATTTTCAAATGTCAAAATAATTTTTCAAGAGCAATTATATATAGAATATTTCAATAGAATATTTCAAAATGTCTAAATTGAAAAAAAAGGAATACAATAATATAGAACGAAACTAAAAAGCAGAATGTTGCTGTGATAATATAATAAAAAAAAAATTAATTAATTAAAACATTATATATATATATCAAACTGAATAATGTTCTTTGTATCATTATTTATGTACAATTTAATCACATATGTGATTAGCATTAGAAAATAAAACATTTTATAAATACTCTATTAGTGATATTTCATTGTCCCTTTAAATATAATAGATATCATTTTATTGCTATTTAAATTAATTTTTTTTTGTCTTGTACTTTAAAATTCTATTAATATAATTATTTTAAAATTAATCGAATTCTTGTTATTTATCTTTTTGCAAGAAGAAAGAATAATTCTATTAATATAATCAAATTAATAAATATCTAATAATTAGGAAAAAATATCAATTTTAATTATTTAATTTACAATTCATTAAATTCCATTGAGAAAAACTAAGAAAATTTTAACTATTTAAATTTCTATCTGCTTGAAATAAAATAAAAAGAAATCGTACATTTTTAGATAAGATTATTGCAATTCTTTACTAATAATGCCTGACAAATAATTATAAATTATAAACATAAACTGTCTCGTAAATGTTTAAAATTTTTTTCCCCCAAAATTACTGATTTTTAAATTTGAATATATTTTAATTGAGCAAAAAAACATTTAGATTACAAATATTCTTTAGAGTAAAATTTCTTCATTATTTCTTCATTTTGTGTTAATAAATTTCTATATTTGAAAATTAATGATTTTTATTATTCACTGATATTTATAGTATTATTATTTTATTGTGAAAAATTTACTTAATGAAAATAAAGAAAATTAATTCCTAAATAAAGATATTTTAATATTGATAAATTAAAAATTCAACATTTACTAAAAAAAAAAGATCAATAAATTGACAAAAAATTCCAATTTAAACATGAACAAGATTAAAGCATTAAACGAATGTTGTTTCTAAATTGTTGCACAGCGGGAAATTTTCAAAGAACAAGAAGTGATAAAAGTAATTTCGAATTTTACACGTTAAAAAAAAAATGGAAATATCTATTTATTAAAATAAATATAAAATTGCTATTTGCAATTAAATAAATATTTTAAATATTAAAATCAAGAAAAACTCTTTTCTATTATCTTCTATGTATAAATTTTCTTCTAATAAAGAGAAAATTTGAAAAAAAAGAGAAAGAACTCATTTTTTTTTTCTTTCTAATCCATGTTTTCTTAAGAAATAAAGTAGGGTTTAATATCATGGGGGGTTGGTATATAAAAGTACAAGAAAAATTTCCCGTTTTCTCAGTAGGAAACTGGCTACTTTGATAAAATGTTTCAATCTCGAGAAATACACTACAGATTCGGTAAATACAAAAAAGTAGATATTTTATTAATTATATTAGTTTTGAAAAAAATCGAAATTTTTTTTTGAATTTATTGTTACTTACCGAAACAGGATTTGCAGGACTGCTAATATTTTGCTTATTTGGAAACGTGAAAGCAATTGTCGGTGTCGATGAATGTCAAATCACCCGGGTTATTCACGTGTTGCAGTATCCAGGATGTGTTCCGAAACCGATTCCCAGTTTTGCTTGCACTGGCCGTTGTAGTAGTTATGTGCAGGTGAATAATCTAAAACATTATATTTCATTAATTTAACATTATTAATAGTATTTTTATATATTTTAAATGTATATAAAAAAATATTACACAACAAAAGCAAAAAAACATGACACAAAAAAGTTTTCGAACTTTATCTCATGTTTTCTGGATAATTAAAAATGTTTTATAATATTATTGCATATTCTTCGTGTATATAAATATAAAAAAAAAAAGTAAAAGTTATGTTTAATATAAATAAAACTTAATTTTGTATTTTTAACAAAATATTATATACTTTATTATAGATTATATACTTTTGGATAAAATTAAAAACATGTTTGCAATTACAAACAATTTAATACGAATTAAAATAATTTGATTACGAAGAATAATTTTATTCTTTTAAATATACAATTATTGAAACGATAAAAAATTTAAATGAAAAATATCAAAGGGTAAATACTTCGCAGTTTGACGTTCAAAATATTTGGTGCGCATATTAAAAATTTTTTCGCGCACTTTCTTATAAAGTAAAAAAAAAGAACAAAAAGTAAATTGAAAAAATATTAGACAAAAATTCTCATATAATTATTTTTAAAAAATGTTAATATTTTCAAAAATTTCAACTTGTAAATGAAAGAAAAATAAAAGTTTACATTCAGACAGAAAGGTCTAATGATAAAAACATTGAATTTACAGGCAAAAAAAAAGGAAATAAATTTAATGTAGGATTACATTTTTTTTTCGAATTAACAAATTAACTATTGTTCTTTGTAAAAATAAACATATCATACCTTATTTTGTAGGTTTCTGGATCAAAAATTTGGCAAATGGAGAGGAGTTGCATGTGTTGTCAAGAAAGCGGTGAGAGAGAGGCGAGCGTTTCACTATTTTGCCCGAAAGCAAAGCCAGGTGAACGTAAATTCAGAAAGGTCTGTTTAATAAAGAAATACTCGTTTTTCTTTTTAAAAACATTTAAATTCACGACAAACACAATATTCCCTGTGAAAAAATACACAAACTTCACAGTAATAATTTCTCACCACGAGATCTCAGTCGGCCATATTGTTTTTGTGTTTCCATTTCTCGTCACTAGGGGGATGCTACAGTCAAATGCCCGCGAAAAATTCAAACTTCTTTTTTGTGATTATTTTAAATATTTTTATTCTTATTATTACTATAAATAATGTGTAATTAAATGTAAATGAGCATTAAGAAATATTTTCAAAATAATTTTAGGTAGCAACAAAAGCACCTATTGAATGTATGTGCCGACCATGTACAGGAGTTGAAGAATATTCTATAGTTCCACAGGAAATTGCAGGATTTTCTGAAGAAGGACCACTAACAACTTCTGCACATTTCAGAAGGTCCTCGGGCTTACAATAAAATCAATTAAAAATTATTTATTTTTATTATATGTAATAAATAAAAAAATAATAATTTAGATTACATAACAGTTAATTAATTGAATACACTGTATATTTTTATTCATTTCATTATTTGTATTTCCGGTATTTCAGTAATAAATAAAATTAAAATAAAATTTCAATTATATTCTTTATTAATGTATATAAAATATTTCTCTTACATCATTTTTTTAAATAAAAAATTAATAATGATTTCTTTTTCTTAGTAGAAAGAAATTAAAAAATATTTTAAGAAACAATTGTACCAAAAAAAAATTATACATACTTATAGATAAAAATTTTAAATACTAAAATAAAAGTAAAAAAAGATTGTTTTGTTTATTTTATATTAAAAATTACAATTACATTACTTTCGAAAAGTAAACATTAATTTTGAAAATTCCTCTTTTCTCCTTATTGAAATATTTTTGTCTTATTTCCATTTTCCATCGTCAATTGAAAACTGTAACAATAATTTTTATGATTAATAAACTGAAACAAAGATTGAAAATTAGTTTTTAATTGTAATAAAATTTTAGCTTCAGAATTTTTTTTTGAACAATCACGTCTAATCAGAAACTCCAGTCTGGCATGACATTAGGTATCATCATAAATTAAATTTGATAATCGTATTTTGTAAATAAAAATAAATATCAGATGAAAATGAATAAAAAAAATCACTATTTTCATCTCGTTTAAAACCTAATATTTAAAGTTTTTTTTTTGTTTTAAATTAAAAAAAATCTAACTTACATTTTCTTCAGATATGAATTCAGTATTGGTTTTCGGCCTTTTGTAAAAAATTTGGTCCATGATCCTCAAAACAATTATTATTTTCTCTGCCATTATAAAACAATAAGCCTTGAATCAATTTTCTCTAGGTGTATAAAATTTAGAAACTGTAATAAAAAAAAGAAAAAAGAATTAGAAATAAGATCAAATTTTCATCCTAAATAATATTAATTTCTTTTAAAACTTCAGCCCTGTTGAGCATTGAAACCAGCATGGAATAATTTTTATGGTCAATGTTCGTCATCATATAATAAATAAATCTCTAATTGTTCAATTAATAACAGAAATTAAATAGCTTACCATTCAAAGAATATCTGTAGATATTAAATTAAATCTTTGGCATTAATTCCGAAAACAATTGAGTTTCACCAATTGGGAGCTGTAATAAAGAAAAAAAGAAATTAGAAATAAAATAAAAAATTTTTCTTAAATAATGTTAATTTATTTAAAATCTCAGCCCTGTTGAGCATTGAAACCAGCATGGAATAATTTTTATGGTCAAAGTTTGTCATCATAATAAATAAATATTTGTAAAATTTCAATGTGTAATAACAGAAATTAATTTATATAACTCACCAAGAATAAAAATAAGCCAATTTAATATCAGATAAGAATAGGCGTGGAATAAATATATCTTCTTGCTCTTTTAAGGAACATTTCGTAAATTTTTAACCCTCTGAAAAATAAATCAAAAATTAGTTAATAAATTTGATAATTTTTACAAGTAATTTTCTAATAGAATATAAAATATATCAGTATCCTTTTGGCTAAAAATTCACAATAGGTATTTATAATACCCATTTCTTATTTTTTTAAAAGTTATCATCACAAAAATTTTGAAAGTACAATCTAATGTTTTCAATTTATAATCAGATAAATTACCTTTAACATTTTTGGAATCCTTGATTTTCAAAACAGTAGTTAAATTGTTGATTGTACCAGTAAATTAAATATTTTGTCCTCTAATGTCAATAAACACATCCTGAATTTTCCACTCTCTGAAAAATAAATTAAAACCTCTAGTTAATAAATCTGATAATTTTCACAAATAATTTCCTAATATTTTAGAATATTTAATATATCAGTATCCTTTTGGCTATGTCCCACAAACTTTCTTTATTTTAGAAGTTTTCGAATTAAAAGATTATCATCATTAGAAAATTATCATTTTAATTTTAATATTATTATTATTATCATCTACACATTAATATTATATTAATATTAATTTTATTATTTTTTATTATTATTAATTTTTATTAATTAAGAAAATAATTGTACCTTTTGCAAAGAAAAGAAGGCTTCTTCCATTTTTGCTTGCTGTCAATGTCTCTTTCCAAATATTTTCCAACTCTCGGTGAAAATTTCCTTTCGTAATGGAAAACTTGATGTCACCCATTATTTAATTGTTTTTTTTTTTGTTGTCTTGCTTTGCAAGATTCTCTCGTGGCTGAAAATTTGCAATATATACTATTACTATATTTTCACAAACTATTTCATCAAGAATTGTGACAATTGACAAAAGGTCAGATTATAATTTCTCCTCAAAACTTTTCAGTCCACTACTTTCATTTTTTAATAAATCATCACTAGAAAATATTGATCAAATAATAAAAAAAAATTTGTCAACACGCAATTGACATTTATTTTATTTATATTAAATTTATAAAAAGTATTAAAAATTTATTTTAACAAAGAATTAGAATTTTTCAAAAAATAATCCACTTACCAAAAAATAAAATCGGACAAGTAATATTTATTATTCGGGATAAAATGATGGAATCGTTGATAAATTGATTGATTACATCAAATCTGGAAGAAAAAAAAAATTACAATAAATATCTTAGAAAAAAAAATTTTTTTAATTATAAATGTATATATATATAGAAATAAAATCAGTATCCTTTTGGCTAAAAATTCACAATAGGTATTTAAAATACCTATTTCTTATTTTTTTAAAAGTTATCATCACAAAAATTTTGAAAGTACAATCTAATGTTTTCAATTTATAAACAGACAAATTACCTTTAAAAATTTTAGAATCCTCGATTTTCAAAACAGTAGTTAAATTGTTGATTGTACCAGTAAATTAAATATTTTGTCCTCTACTGTCAATAAACACATCCTGAATTTTCCACTCTCTGAAAAATAAATTAAAACCTCTAGTTAATAAATCTGATAATTTTCACAAATAATTTCCTAATATTTTAGAATATTTAATATATCAGTATCCTTTTGGCTATGTCCCACAAACTTTCTTTATTTTAGAAGTTTTCGAATTAAAAGATTATCATCATTAGAAAATTATATTTTAATTTTAATATTATTATTATCTACATATTAATATTATTATATATAATTAAATCATAAGTAATAAAAAAGATAGTTGTACCTTTTGCGAAGGAAAGATTATTGTTCCATTTTTTCTTGCTGTAATTTCTCTTTCCAAATATTTTCCAACTCTTGATGGGAATTTCCTTTCGTAATGGAAAACTAAATTGACATCACCAATTATTTAGTTGTCTTTTTTTGGTTGCCTTTATTTTGCAAGATTCTCTCGAGGCTGAAAATTTTCAATATAAACTGTTACTATATTTTCACAAAATATTTCATCAAGAATTGTGACTATTGACAAAAGGTCAGATTATAATTTCTCCTCAAAACTTTTCAGTCCACTACTTTCATTTTTAATAAATCATCACTAGAATATATTAATCAATAATAAAAGAAAAAAAAATTGGAATACATAAATAGCTAAAATTGATTTTAGACAACTTACCTTTAAAATATTTGGACTCGTCGCTTTTCAAAATAGTCGTCACATTGTTGATTGTACCAGTAAATTAAATATTTTGTCCTCTACTGTCAATAAACACATCCTGAATTTTCCACCCTCTGAAAAATAAATTAAAACCTCTCATTAATAAATCTGATAATTTTCATAAATAATTTCCTAATATTTTAGAATATTTAATATATCAGTATCCTTTTGGCTATGTCCCACAAACTTTCTCTATTTTAGAAGTTTTCGAATAGAAAGATTATCATCATAAGAATATTATGTTTAAAAAAAATTTATTTATCGTTAATTTATCTCCATTTTACTTTGGAATTGTTTTAAATTAAATTTGATAATGACACTTACCAAAATAAAATTCACATTCTCCTGGTTTTTCTTCAAAAAAAGTTAAATATTTTTTCGAAAAAGTAAACATTAATTTTGAAAGTACTTCTTTCCTCCTTATTGAAATATTTTCCTCTTATTTCCATCGTCAATTGAAAACTGTAACAATAATTTTTATGATTAATAAACTGAAACAAAGATTGAAAATTAGTTTTTAATTGTAATAAAATTTTAGCTTCAGAATTTTTTTTTGAACAATCACGTCTAATCAGAAACTCCAGTCTGGCATGACATTAGGTATCATCATAAATTGAATTTCATAATCGTATTTTGTAAATAAAAATACCAGATGAAAATGAATAAAAAAAATCACTATTTTCATCTCGTTTAAAACCTAATATTTAAAGTTTTTTTTTTGTTTTAAATTAAAAAAAATCTAACTTACATTTTCTTCAGATATGAATTCGGTATTGGTTTTCGGCCTATTGTAAAAAATTTGGTCCATGATCCTCAAAACAATTATTATTTTCTCTGCTATTATAAAACAATTTTCCCTTGGTGAATAAAATTTCTTCTAATTTTGTGAAAATCTGCAAAAATTTTCCTTTCATTTCTAAAAATCTGTAATTTCTCAATAACAAATTTTTGATAATTCCTGTAAAAATTGAAAACTTAAAAAAAATTAATGTATACAAATTAAAAATTGTCTTTTAATCAAAAAAAAAAATTTCTTTTTGAAAAACAATTTTTTATATAGGAAAAAATGATGGGAAATTTTCGGATAATCTAAAAAAAGACTGTCAATGGAGTTCGTTTTTTTTTATTTTTTTTTTTTTTTTATATAGATATGATTTATATATATAATGTTTACGCGTGTGTATGTGTTTGTTTTTCTCTGAATTCTTAGCATTATTGTTTGTTTATTTATACATGTATATTTATTTATATACATATATATACATATATATATATTTATTTATATATTATATGTTTATAAATATTCATATATTCATATAAAAACATATAAATATATATATATACATATACAGCGATTCGCAGCGATGAGATAAACAGTATCGCAAAAAAAAAAAAAAAAAAAAAATTGTGTTTTTTTTTCTTTTTTCTTTTTAATATTCTCCCCCTTGTGAAAATATTACCACAAGGTTTTAACAGGTTCTTTTCATCATTATTTTCCTTCCCTTTTTTTTTTTTTTTTAATTATTTCACTTACAATGTCCATTTAGTATTTACAACAATAACCTTTCCTTCTTTTCTTTTTTTCTTTACTCACTATTTCTTTATCATCCTATCCACAAATTATCAACAAACTGTTCTCCCCACATATAAATTATTATAAATTTCAATTGCCTACCATTCTTCAATAAGAGATTTGTTTCATCGAATTTTACATTCTATAGAATGCACATATTCAAAAAAACAAATCATTTAAGATAATTTTTCCTAGATCCGCTCTTTTTAAGATACATTTATTCCTCAGCATCAGCAATAATAATAATAATTGTAATAATAATAATAATAATAATAATATTAATAATAATAAGAATAATTAATAATTAATAATAATAATAATTAATAATTATGTAATTTTCAATAATAATAATAATAATAATAATAATAATTTCTAAGAAAAAAAAAATAATTAAAAATATCGGAGATATATTCATTTACTAGTAAAAATTTAACGATTTTTTAAAACAAACTAAAACTTGAAGGAATTTCTTTTAAAAATACTCTGTTCTTTCTGTAAATACACTCGGGGAAAAATTCATTCTTTACATTTACACGCAACTTGTACATATTCGGTCCAAGTTTACACGGAAATAAGCTGCCGATTTCTATAGGGAATTATATGTGGATTATATATTTTTTTATTTATTTATTACTTTTTTTTTAAATATCTGCACGCATATCTCCCCCCTTCCCTCTTCAACTCCGCCCCCCCCCTCCCCTGACACAAGAAATTTTACGGTACTGTGAAGAATAGAAATAATTTATTTTAACAATCTCTACAGAATACGGCACTGCAGTGATGAGCACTTATTTATTAGTTTGAAAAGTTTTTTCTTTTTTTTTTTTTGCTGCGATGCAGCTTATTTACATGTGAACACGGTTTTTTTTATATCATCATTATCGTTAAGATAATTAATCCAAATTAAAAGTAAAATCAAAATTGACTTTACTTTTAGAGGAAAAAAAATATCTTTTTTCATCATCATCATCATCATCATCATCGTCACCATCATTATCATTTTTAATTAAAAAAAAAAAAAAGCTCACGATTATTTTAACGCAGACATTCAATATCCACGCGATGCAACTATTTTTTTTTTTTTTTTTTAATTGATTATAAATAACTCGTTTTTGTTTTTTTCATTTAAAAAATAGTAGAGCCTTTTGACGCGACTGGAAATAAAATTTACGCGGTCGATATTGTTTATGTTTTGTCATTCTCACCATTTTTTTTTTTTAAATCTGTCTATTCGCAAAAAAAAAAATCACGATCGCTCATCTTAGAATTACAATATAATATTTTTTTTTATATATATAAGACCATATTCGCAATATTTATAAGTAATTAATTCTGTTATATTCGTTTACAGTAATAGGAAGAATCATCGTTCTCAGACTTGGTTATCAATATAGCATTTTATCAGCTTGTAAAGACCGTGTAATTTTTTTTTTTGTTTTTTTTTTTTTTTTTTTTTTTAAATTTTTTTTTTTTAGTTATTTTTCGTTTCGTCTTAACTAAGATGTACTTACACGATTTTATATCCCGATTATCTAAGTTTATAGCAAGTACTTTTTTGTCGATGTGCGATATCGTTTAAAAATTGAAATGTATCCGCGGCTTATTAAATTTTTATTTGACGATTGTAATAAACGCGAGTCCAAGAGAGAACGTGATTAGAAAAGCCGCGAAAACATTTCCCGTGACTTTTTTTTTATTTTTTTAAAAACACGATATCATTTTTCAAAGTTTTTGTTTGTTTTTTTTTCTCATTTCTTTATTTAAACTTTAAACCTTTTTTTTTAAATCAATTATATATAATAATTATCTTGCAGTTATTTCTGTATTCATTATTAATAGTTAATATTTTGTTTTTTATCTTCAATTTTATGTATAGCGTATCGCAAATACGGAATTTCAGTGTAACCGTTGATTTGCCTCGACTTTGTCTTCGGCTTTTTTTTTTTATGTCCTAGGCTATAATACACATCTCGGCACAATCACTTATTCCATTGTCTTTGTAAGATAAATGTGTCCATTTAAAAAACAAAAAAAAAAAACAACTGCAATTTTGGCCACTTTCTAAGAGTTCGAGTTTTAAAGTTAAATTTATGGAGTCTTGGTACAAATTCATAAGTCTTTTAGCACTTATTAATTGCGAAAAAAACGCACTTTCCTGGAAAACATGTTTCATGCAATCAGGAATAAAGAGTAAAAACTCACGTCGCGTTGGTATACGGTCAAAAATTCTTAATTTTCCTTTTTTTTTTTTCTTTAAAACACTGACAAACATTAACGCACTTGAGCTGATGTTTCTTCTTCAGAAACTTCCTCGGCTTCCTTCAACGAAGTGAAAAAAGACGTAAGTGCTTTTAAAGCTACTGCCTTTCCCTCACGTTCAGTCGCATCGTCATTCGTCTCCCACGAGATGAAAGACTCAAAGGAAATTATATTGTCCTCACATAATTTATCAAAAATGTTTAAAAGCAGTCCTATTAGAAAAAATAATTTACGTTAAAAAAATAGTAATAACCATTTTTTTTTTTAAATAAAATAACAGAGTGTCTAATAAATTAAATTCTCTATGATCAAATCGAAATTTAGATAACAATTATGATTCGAAAAAAAAAACTACAACTTCAGACACCCTGCATAAAATAATTTTTAATGATTTAATAACTCACCAGACGGAAATTCTAATTTATTTGCAAATGACTGAACAGCGAACAGACATTGCAATTCTAATTTTTCATTCGCATCGACGAACCTTTGTATCAGCAATTGCAAGCCTTGGAAAATTTCAGGCTTGAAGTCGTGTCTTTGATTATTACGAACTGTAACAGAAAAAACGACAATTTTTTAATTACTATAAAATAAAAAAGACAAATTTTAATAATTAACAAAAAAAAATGGAAATTTGTTTTTTAAATTTATATTTATCTACTCACCAGTGGATACTTCCAAAATGGCAGTCATGAGAACTCGGATAAATTGTGGCTCAAGAACTCTGTCTGGAACATTATTCTGTAACACAAATATAATTTTTATAATTAAAATCTTTGTTACAAAAAAAAAAATATTTATTTTTATATAAAAAAAAAATAATACATACCTTTATCCAATTAACAACATCATCAAATGTACTATTGCTATTGGTCTTCATCAATTTTACAAGATAATCCTGAATTTGTTCAAGAGTAAATGTCAACGATTTCTCTTCGACGAGTACTTGTAATTTCTACAATAAAAAAAAAAGAAAACTATCAAAAATTTGTCTAATTAAAAATAATTTTTTTTTGAAATTTGTATTCTTTAGTCAGTATCCTTTTGGCTAAAAATGCATATATAGGTAACAAATACCCTACTTATTATGAAAACAATCATCATTCAATTTAATAAAAAATAAAATTTTTTTTAAATAAACAAAACTTACATAATTCTTGATAATTTCATCAATATTTTCTCGTTCTCCATTAATAATATCACTAAATTGCAATTTACTCATAAGCCATTTTTGAACGAGCATTTCTGGTCCACTAATTGTAGCCACTTTTGAGAATAATTCGCCTACAAATTTTCCACTTTGTCCTTTAATTCTCAAATTAGCTAAGGTAATTGGTAATTCCGCAAATGGATGAGTTTCGTCAATTAGAAGGTGTACTAAAGAAAAAAAAAGAGAGAGAAAGAAGAATTAGAAATAAGATTCGATTCAAAAATTATTATTGAATATCAATTTTAAAGCTTTCAGCCCTGTTGAGCATTGAAACCAGCATGGAATAATTTTTATGGTCAAAGTTTGTCATCATATTTAGTTAAATTTAATAATAATAATTCAATAAATTAAAAATAATAATTCAATAATAATGTAATTAATTATAATAATTAAATTATAAATTATTGATCAATACGAATTTAATTACCAATGGAAATTAAAGTAAACTTACCCAAAATATCGGCAATGTAAGACCAAATTTTTGGAATATCAATTATCAAATCGTCAATGCATTCAAGAACTTCAGCCAATCTGGAAAAAAATTACTTATATTAAATCTCATTAACAACTTTAGAAAAATTCTAATTGTACATAAAATATAATCAGTATCCTTTTGGCTAAAAATTCACAATGGGTATTATACACATTTCTTATTTTTACAAAAGTTATCATCATATTAAAAAAAAAAATTATTATCAATAAAGATATTTTATAAAATTTGTATCCTTTTCTGTATTAATTAGAATTTATAGATTTATAATTATAAATTAAACTTACCCTTTCTGAACGTCGTTCAGTGTAATGGTTTTTTTGGTGATGAGGAAGGACAACAGCTTTGATATAGATTCCCGTGCAGTGACAGATTTCTCAAGAACTGCGTTAATCATTTGACGAATCACCATTGGCAATTGAGATGTTGGGAAATGATCTCTTATTTCTTGTGAAATATCCTGTGAAAAAAATTGATTTCTTTTAGAATTAAAACTATTTTTCCCCTCTAATTCATATTTATATTCCATATTAATTAAAAATAAATTGTTTTAAATTTATTTGTCCACTTTTCGGTTCACTTTGTGTTTTTGTTACCAAAAAGAGGTATTCGCACAAAGTAATGAAATCAAAAAGAAGGTATTGTGTATTCTAGCACACCAATGACTCAAGCATCTCCTTGGGAATATCAGAGATGGATCTAAGGAGTGTGCAATAATAAAAATGATAAAAACAAATCTCCATTACTTACATCTTTATTACCCTCTGCAATATATTCATCCACGAATAAATCGACAATTTTAACGAGTTCATCTTCAGACTTTTCGGGTTTATTACTAATAGAGGTAGGTTGTGGAGCTGGTTTGCTCTGAGGAGGCATAGAAATACTTTGACTTCTTCCACTATCAAGCGCGGAGATTCCCTCTCTACTCAAGGAACCACTACTACTTAATGGGTAGCTACTACCATTTCGCGAACTTCTACCATCTGTAAATAAAAATCAACTCTTGTTAATCACAAAAAATTGCAAAAAAAAAAACTAATTTAACAACAACAAAAAATTCAGTATCCTTTTGGCTATGACCCACAAACTTCCCTCAGGAGTTATCGAATAAAAAAAGGTTATCATCATATTAAAAACTAATTTAAATTGACTAATTTACAAATATTTTTTTTAAAAACTACACTCACCATAAGAAGATTTGTAATCCGTTCTTCCACATTCTCGTGGTCCCATCGATTTTGATCCAGAAAGTTGGAGTGGAGTACGTTTTTCTTGATCAAACGATGAAATACTTTCTAAGGGTGAGAATTTATTTTGCATTTTTGTGGATCCTACTGGAGGAATATTCTTATTCCACATTGTATAAGCACTTCTATTTCCTAATTGAAGATCGTCCATTGAAGGCTGTAAAAAAGAAATACAAAGTTTTTTTTAAAAAAAAGCCTACACAAAAATAAAATAAATTTTGAAATAAAATATTCGCATCAGAATATTTTTCACTAATCACATTTAATCAGAAACTCCAGTCTGGCATGACATTAAATTATCATCATAAAAATAAATTATTAATTTTGGAAATAAAAATAAATTTTCAGTAATTTTTAAAATAAAATAACAATCAAATACTTACAGGTTTCGTTTTAAGTTTCGAACTATCACAAGAGTATGTATTTCTCGACGTTCGAACTGGCTGACTCCAACCACCATCTTCGGAAGACCCTACCCCACCACCTACAAAAAAACAAAAAAAATATTTATAACAACAGTAAAAAGGTAAAAATCAATTTTGTATTTTTATAATAACGTCAGAATTTTTTTTTAACAATCATGAATCAGAAACTCCAGTCTGGCATGACATTAAGTATCATCATAATTTTTAATCTACTAAAAAATGGTTAACTTAAATTCCATTTTTTAGAAAGAAAATTATAAATATTATCAATAAAAAACTTACGATTTCTCCTTCGATCGACGTTTCGATCATCTTTTCGTGGTGTATTAAGAGGAACGTTAAGTTGAGCATCCAATCGCTCTGTTTCTGCCTCCCTTTGAATTTGGTCCATAGTCTTAGGATTACTATCGTCTCTCCTTGGCACCCATTTATTCGCCCTCAAGTCAATTACGTCTTTGAGCATAAAACGAACTCTAGAATTTATTCTTCCCTTATCATTTGCGATGCTCTGCATCTGCTTAAAATGTTCATTCAATTCCTAAAAAAAATCAAAAGAAAAACCAATTAAAACCAATTTTTTTTTTCAAGTAAATAAAAAGAAAATAAAAATACATACATCTTTAGATTCCAATTTTTTTCCTATTGTCGTTAATAATTTACACAAACATTCTAGATTTTCTTCATCTCGGAATTGTAATAAATGATTTATACAGAAATGCATAATATTTTTCGTCAACATTCCTTGTTTAAAAAGTTCTCCAATGAATCTAATATTACCAACTGACTTCATTCGTATCCTCCTCTCCTCTTCCTCATAGAATGATATTAATTCTTTCTTTTTGTCCTGCAAAAAAAAAAAATGGATAATTTATAAATTTTTCTTCACAATTAAAATTTGGAAAAAATTTTTTTTTTTCAACTTACAGGATCTGCACATTCATCAATTTCCTTAGATTTAGTCTCTCTCAATTCACCATTTTCTGATTCCTTTTGGAATTCCGTTTGACAACGTGTAACAATTAATTTCCTAAAGTTTGCCGATGTTGTGTCAGATTGATCTGTACCAGAAACTTGCATCATGGCAAGTTCTTTACACATAAGAGCGTATTCTACGGAAAAACTGGGTTCATCAATTGCCTGAAAGCAAGAAAAAAAAAGAAATTAGCCAACATTGAATGAATTGAACAAAAATGAAGATAAAAAAATATTTTTTAAATTAATCTCAGAATTATTTTCAACAATCAAATCTAATCAGAAACTCCAGTCTGGCATGACATTAAAATATCATCATAAAATTGAATTTTTAATAAACGAAAAAAAAAATAACTGAGAAATTATACCTTTTCAAAGACGAGATTGATGACTCGTTCCATTCTTTCCTTAGTGTCAATATTTAATGCTCTGACTTGACCAACTAAAGTGTCGAATTTTTGTGGTGTTAATTTATTAAGCACACTACGAACTTTTTTACATAGAACTTCGGTCTTAGCTTCTTCAACATCAACATCTTGATTCTTTAGTCTCATCATCGGTTTCCAAGCATTTTCCGACTCTCGTAATTTAACTTCTTCTCGTAACGAGAGGGAAATTGGCATCACCATATTTGGTTTATTTGGTTGCCTTGGTTTTCCAGGATTGCTCTTTTTATTCGCTGGTGGCTGTAAAAATTTTTTAACAATAAAAATTACTACATCCTCTGCAAAATTTTTCACAAAAAAAAAAAAAAATAATTTTACAATCAGATTATAAATTCTCCTCAAAACTTTTCAGTCCACTACTTTCATTTTTAATAAATCATCATTTAAGACCTCGAATCGACTTTAAGTGACAAAAAAGTCGATTTTTTATCTTTAACAAAATTTAATTAACAAATATTTTACTTTAAATAACTAATGTTATTAGATATTAAATTCTGTAATGAAAATAATAATATTATCAAGAAAATTTATTTCGAATATTTGAGAATTAAATTAAAAATTATAATCCAAGGCCTGTCATTTGAAAATACAATATACTTTTCAATAAATAAAATACTCACCAAGCCTCCCATTTTGGCGTTCATTGAATTCTTAGCAAATCCAGGAAGTAAATTATCGTGTCCTCTCATATTATGATCTTTGAATGAACGCATTTCAGGACTACGATTTCGACTGATGTGTTGTCGAATTTTCGAACCATCCTTAAGAACAACATCTAAATCAGGAAGATTTATTGGTTTTATTTTACTGTGTGGATCCTCTTGCAATTGCATTAGAAAATCCCTGCCATAAGTCTTTTTTCCCTTTTGATTAATAGGACTCCATTGATCAACAAGGTATGTATATTTTAATAATTGTGGTCCTTTGGGAATAGTTTCAATTTGATTTGGCGCTGCATTTTCATCTTGTTTTTCAATTACAGTAACAGTTTCCTCAATAGAGGTACGTAATGCCGATACCTTTGAATTTTCCTCATTCTTTTGGGCGACAATTAATTTAAGATCAATTTCCGTTTTAATTGTTACAGAATGATCAACAACATCATTTGGAATTGGCGACATATTACTACTACTAACAATTGTCGGCGATTTTGAGCTTTCTTCTATCGTTGGTTTTATATCCTTGTGATTAAATGTAGTAGCGGGTGATGTTTTTTCTACACTCGTTGTATTTTCCATGGGAATTTCCATGGGAGTCGTTTCATTAGTTTGTGGCACAGCCTGTTGTTGTTGTTGTTGTTTTTCTTTCTTTGATTCATGATTATCTTTTTCTTTAATATCTTTCGTTATTTCTTTAACTGGTTCTTTATTACTATCCCTCTGAGGTAATGCTTCCTTAATATCAGTCTGTTGTTTATTTTCCACTATTTTCCCGGATGGTACCGAATTCATAAAGGCATCCATATCCGAACCACTTTCCTTTTCCGCTCCTTTACGGCTAATTTCGCGATTTTTCTGCTTACTCTTATTTTTCTGCTTCTGCATCGCAGATTTGCCTATAAAAACAAATAAAATTTTAATTAAAACTTTTATTCAATTTTTTATTTTCTGATATAAAAAAAAAAACATTGCCATTTAATTCAATGGCAAAAAAAAAAATGAATATACATTTTTTTTAAGACTGATCAATTGAAATAGTAAGCAGTAAAGAAAAGTAAATGTCGGCTTCTGGCCAAAGATAATTATAGATACCGGCTGTAGCATGGTTCATGGATGACTTTATTTTTACACATTTCTTTGTAAATAAAAACTTAATATTTTTTTAATAATCAATATTCAATTTGTATAAAAACACAAAAAAAAATAATTATATTCCACGCCTAATTTTTGAAATTTTCACATCTCTAAAATATTAATCATAAATTTATTAATTGTCAAGTTTCTAATAGTGGAATTGCATTTAAATGCGGATGTAAACAAAAGGCTTACATAAGAGCTTTTTAATGCACTTTGATAATCCATAAGAGAATACAAGGTCTATCTTTGTGCCTTGATAATCGACAAATATGCAGTACGATAGAAAATCTCGTGATGTAATGTTTAAAAATCGAAATATTGCCTTGAATGAAAAATTTATTTGTAAGTCAAATCAAACTTCAAGGATGTAAAGTAAAACAATTCTTCTCTATATCAATATTTCATGACATACATCAATTGAGATGAATTTATTTAATTTTTTTTTTTTATTTCTTTCGTTGCAAATTTAGTATTTTTTTTTCTATAAAAGGAGGGAAAAAAATTTTCTTTTGTACCATGATCTCTGGAACCACGTCGACTTCTACTTCTGGATCTTGAACTGCTACTGGCACGTCCAGTACCATTCATTTTTCGATCACTCATTTTTTTTTTTTTTTTTATCTTTCAAGATCACACAATTAGAAGATAAGATATTAACATTTCTCAAATTAAGAGAGTCAATTTTGATTATTTAAAAAACAATATAAAATCTACACTCAACAATACATCTCGATAAAAAAGAAAATTCTCGATAAAAATCGCGTCACTGAAACACAAACTCTTTGCGACTCGAATTTCAGTGTCTGCAAGAGCAGCTGCACTGATTCAGTATTTATTTATAAAACTACGAAATCTTTGCCAACAACGATGTAAGTGACTGGTCCAATCCGACACTGTTCGTGAGGGTTGAATGAAATGTAAATGCATTTTATGGGGGGAAAAAAAAAAAACAAAAATTTACTTTCACTCGTGAAAAAATCCCCAACTTTTGGATCAATTGTTTATCAACAGAAAGAATAAATCATTTTGTCTGCACACAGTCCGCATTTTTATTTCAATTTTCACGAATAATAATTTAACGCGAAAAAAAACAGAATTAAAAAAAAAATTCATAAAAAAAAAAAACCGTTTAAGAATACTTCAGATCGACGCGACTTTCACGTGTCTATTTTAACCTGTGAACTGGTACAAACCGTCAAGACTCGACACACGATTTCTTAAATTAGTTCGTAAGATTCAAAGGAGCAGGCGCATTAAAAGCCAGGCCCAGTCTAAACTAAACTCCCAAAATCCTCAACTGGTCATGTCCAGTATATCGTTCTGTGTTAGTGTGCGTGTCTCAAAAAAAAAAAAGTCTTCCTAATATTGACTTTTAACGAGACAAGAAAAAAAAAAAAAAAAAAAAACCCCTCCAATATGCCAAAAATCAACTGTTACGAAATTCAAAAGTGATGTGCGATTTTATATTCTATATCTAATAAATAATTCATCCAGCTCAATTTGTGATTCATGACGCTAACACTTCACGGTTTGTTTCTATTTTACCTTTTTTATTTCAACTTTTGATTTTTATTTTCATAAAATTTAGTAACAATTTTTTTTTTTTTGTAAATATTACAATTCAATAAAAGAAAATACGGAAACTGACAAATTAGAAAATTTGTTTCGGGGAAAAACAAAAAAGAAAGATAATAATTGTAATTACGTTTTAAGAAAACTAATTTTGAAAAAAAAAACAAATGAAATAAAAATTGGAAACAAAATTACTGTAAATTTTTGACTAATCTCCCGTTTCTCAAATTTCCTCTCTTGAAAAAAGCGATAATTTTTTTTTTCTAATTAAATTAAATCACAAATATATAAATTTTGCCATTAAAAAGAAAATAAAATTTAAAAAAAAGAGATTAAATACAGGAAAATTGTCATGACACTCGATGTTTAAGAGAATCGATGGTAAAACTCGTTCAACTAATCAGAGATGCCAATGACATAATATCACTGACGAACAAGATGCCAGTTGATTGCACTAGTTAATTCAATGCATGAAAGTAGGTTGAGTAAGATTTTGTAAAAGCAGGTCGAGGCGGCTAACTTCTCCTTTGTATTCTCATTAATGTTTTTCATTTTATTCAAATATTTTATTCCTAATTATCATTTTTTTTAATAAACAAAAAAATTCTCCACAATAGAATATTTCAGTTATAAGAAAAAACTAAACACTATTCAGTTCCCCTTCAAAAAATTTTTTTTATTTTCCCCTTTGAATTTTTTTTTTTTCATGTGAAATTAATAGTTCACATATTGCAATAAATATGAAACATAATTATTTTAAAAAATAACATTTATCAGTATTACAGCAATAGGTGAACGATAAGAAATGATATTTGGTTCAATAATAATTATAATAATAATAATAATGTTTATCTCAGAAGCAAGACGGAACTTTTTATCAGATGAATTTCCACAATGACTGTTGGAAGCAGTTTTCTATATTTTTGATTTCATTTTAAAATACAGTTTTATAGAAAAGAAATCGGAAATGAAATGTGGATAAAATACTAAAATTTTTAAAAGTTAGGAATAATTTCGATAGTAAAATAGTTTCGGTAGCAAAATAAAAAAAAAGATACAAGAGGGGGGATAGTTAAATTTAGAAAAAAGGGACTTAATTTTTTTTTTTTAAATCTCTTTCTGAAAATAGAATTAATATTCGAAAAAAAAATCTATTTAAATTGACATTAACAATAAAATTATATAAGGATGGAGAAAGTTTTTCGGGGTATAGTGCGAAGTCAGTGGATAAATCGAACAGTCGATTAAATAAACTGCGGCTAAAGTGAAGGTGTCAATGTAGGCGCAATGAATTTGATGTGTGTTAGTGGCTTGGCATCATGACCTCTTGCATTTTATACCAGCTCAAGTGGACGCACATCCACGACGATGTCGAGGAACGAAGGCCACGGCCTTTTTGGAATTGAACAAGACCAGTTGCCGATTTTTTTTTTTTATTTCAAGATTCTCGTTTTGCAAATTAAAATAGCAATATTTTTTTTTTTTTTGTCTGAAAAAAACTAAATCTTTTATTATTTTTCATAATTAACGATAATTCAATAAAATTCTATTTTCACATAAAAATTGAAGACTGATACAAAATTAAAGGGGCATAATCTAATCGCTCAAAAAATTTGGCAATTATACTTTAAGATTGAAGTAAATTTTGCGATAAATCATCGAGACGAATTCGTTTCGAATTTTAATGACCTTTAAAAGAAAGACTATTGAAAAAAAAAAAGATAGAAAAAAAGTGTATCACGTTCCAGAGGTACCGAAAATAAAATCACTCTCACCAAGGAGCGGAAAAATGAATCACATCTACTAAGTCAATTTCCTGTTGTATATCTCAAATCTATTTCTAGTCAGTACAAAATTTTTATTCTAATTTTTACTCTTTGATTTCGACTCTTGAAATACGACAATAATTAACACCTTTTGAAAGGAAAAAAAATAGAAACTTCCTGACTAAAAAAAGTCATTTGAAAATATTTTCCCCATTAAACTGAAAAATTATCTCATTTAAATGATAGGAAAAATTTAGATTAGATAAATCAAAAAAGATATTGAATGTCAAGGTTTTAGAATAATTTCTATATGAGAAAAATCGAATTAAAATAAATCAGTAAAATCGAGATATAAATTTGGAGCCCAAATTTAAAAAAAAAAATTTATTGCCTAATTTATTATTCAATTTCCTAACAGCACTCAAAATCTCATTAACGTGAGTAATAAAATAAAAATATAAATCACAAAAATTCTAGACAAAATCATAAATATTGTCCTAGGTACTATTTTTACATGATGCCAAATATACAAAGTTGCAGATGTCTAAAATTTAAATCGTCTATTCTTTTCATGAGGGAAACTTGAAGCAGGTAAAACGAGCAGCTGTTTGCCATCAGGGTAACTACATATATATATAATAAAAATACGCACAACTACTCTATAAAGGATAAGAAGATTGAGGGACAAGAAAAGTAGTCTCCTTGAAATTCAATATATGAGAAAATAAAGAATTTTATATCATCTCAAGATCAATAAACTTTCCTCTCTCTCTCTCTTTTTTTTTTTTTTAAAGAAAAATGCCGACATATTTTTTTGAAAAAATATTTTCAAAATTCAAAGAAAAATCTTTGGAGAGTGAGAAAAATGTGATGAATAAATTTGACTCTCCCTACAAGAGCAGGTCGAACCACATTCTCAAACCGGCACTTAGATATACGGATTTAACATGGCGTCTTTTCCTTCCTGCACCCAGAACACACAAAATGGCCACACACCGTCTTTCTCTCTCTTAATATTTTTCCCTTTCCCATATGTCGCTAACAACTTTTCAGTTCTTCATTTACAATTCCCTTTCTTGAATCTAAAAAAAAAAAAAAAAAAACCATAATTGCAACTACTTTTTGCAATGTAATTGCTGCAATAACCAGTCTCTGAGCGACAATTTACGGTTACCATGAGACACCCCACCCACGTGGAGAAAACGTGGTCGGGCATTTCAGCCTTGAGATTTGTAACGAGGAAAGCGTTTCATAAACTTATTTAGATTGTCGTGGGTGAAATTAAATTATTCAATATTTCAATTATATAAATTAATAATTAATAATTAATTATTAATAATGAACAATTAATAATTATTTATTAATAATTAATAAATAATAATTAATTATTAATAATAAAAAGAAGCCAATTATTAATAATCATAAAAATGTGCATTAAAAAATATAACTTACGAATGATTAATGAACATCCTTTCACTTGATTCGAGAATAAAAAATTAAAATTCACTACATAACACTATTTATATGTAGGTATATAAAATCAACTTTTTTTTTCTAATATTTCCTCTATCTTCTAAACTTAGAGATGCGTCACTTGATAAATATTATGCATAAAAAAAATTATTTTTAAAATTGCGTGTAAAGGGCGCAGAATAAAATATATACAATTTTTTTTTTTTTTGGAGTAAAAAAATTTAAAAATTTTCTATAAGCGTATTTGTTTCTTTGTTACATATGGCAGTATTAATTAATTTTTTTTTTTTTATTTTCAAAAAAAAGGGACTTTTCTAAAAGGGAAAAAATCAAAAAAGGGAAATAAAAATCACACTAAGATAGCACAGCACGTGCTGGCTTCTGAGACTTAAAATTTCTCAGAGAACGATGGATGGAAGACCGGCGCCTCCCACTTTGAGAGCTTATGGATACCCTAAGGATCGGATAAATTCGGTTTTACTCGTTTCTTTTCGTTTAACAATGACGTCATAACGTGAAGAGATGAAGGACTTTGAAAGTCCCTCTCTGACCAATTTCTCAGTGGGGAAACTTTATAATATTAAATTTCGGTTGAATTCCACAAGAGTACAATAATAGTTTAAATTAGTTTTCAATATGGTTATCAGACACACACACTAATGAAGACATTAACTTCCCGAGGAAAATTAATTTATTTCAAAGAAAAATAATAATTATTCAATTTCATTGACAACAATAATAAATTAATAATAAGAATTTCCCAAAAAGAAATTTCTCTATGACAAATGAAATTATTCAAAAAAATTTTCAATGAAGAAAATTGATCCATAAAAATAATTTTCACTCATAAAAACCAAAGAATTCAAGAAAATAATCAAAAACAATCCTTTAACGATTTAATACAAAAAAAATTGCCGAAGAAATAGGAAATATTCTTCCAAATTCGATATAAAAACGGTTATTGAAGAAACACAAACATAAACAATACCTAAAGATAACGAAGCTCAAAATCAGTTGGCTAATTTGAAAATTAAATTCTATAATTAAAAATAAAATCAAACATAAAAATAAATAAACTCTTCTGATAATAAAATAAAATAAACGAAAACTTACTCTTTTTCTTTTGTACCATTTTGATGAAATTAAATTATTTTTTTTTTCCACAATAATTGACAAATTACACTATTTACAATTTAAAAAATTTTTATCCATATATAGATTTAAAAATTACTTCGTCAACGAAGAATAAATTGATCAAATATAAATATTAATAAATTAATGGTCAAGTTGCGTAAAACGTTTTAACATTTCAGTATTCGCGAACAAAATAAATATTTAAAGACAACAAAGAAAATTTGATTCTCTTTAAGTCTCTATATAAAAAAAATTTACATAACTTAATTCTAAAGACATACACACGGACACTGAACTATAAACGTTTGGGTAACGACAAACTGACGACTGGCAAAAATAGGATGAAAACTACAAAATTTACAAATTGAAACCGATAATTATGATGATAAAATTATATTTCTCTATTGTCAATGAAAACCAATGATAATTTCCCTATTTTTCAGAGAAAAATATTGACCAATAAGGTTTTCATTTGCTGACGCGACCCCCTTCTCCAATCAAAAGGACATCAAATGTAAACAAGTCGCGAAAATTTTCTAGAAAAGTCACATTAATGAGTTGAACGCTTAAGCAAATGTCGTAGTTAATTAACCTACACAAATTTCAAATTAAATACAGTAAAAAAATTATTTTTTTTCAAAATTAAATAATTTTTCTTTTTTTGATTATAAAGACACATTTTTATGAGCTATAAATAATTTTTCCAATGCGAAGAAATAATAGAAGGTCATATTTAAAAAATTTTTGTTTCAAACAAGTTTAACTGATTCAAAAAATTAGTTTTCAACTTTAAAAATATTTTTCTTAATTAAAAAAAGAAGATAAAATAATTCTAAATAGAAATAAAATAATTTATAATAATTAAAAAATATATTTCTCAAGAAGATGAAATTTTAATTATTTATCTGAAACCGACAGAAATTATATAAAAATTTATTTGCCGCATCTATGAAAAATATGATGTAATTTAATATTAAATTATATCATTGTATTTTGAAGAAACTTTTTTTTCCTAATCTCAAAGAGACTAAAAACGTCATAGAAAAGATTATTAACGAATATTGACGTTTAAATTTGAGAATATATTTTTAAATAATCAAAATAATGTGAATTTCAATTTTCTTGTGACAAGGAACAATAAATTATTTAAAAAAAATAAAAATTTAATAACAATAAGTTTTGGTAAAATTCGTTTTTTAGTAGAAAAAATGAATTATCTAATGCAAAATAAATATTTATGGAAAGTTAATGTAATTTGAACACTAATTATCTATATTGTTGAAAAACCTGATCTCACTCTGGTTCTTGTGAATGTAAATTAAGTGAAAGTCCACTTCTAGATTTGAGTCAAGTTTCAAAATTCTTAATATACTTAGTGATTTACTATTTATTTATATTAATAAACAATTTAATATTATCCATCTTGTTAATTTATATTATTTAATAGTTATTAAATTAATTCAAATATCTGCAAATTAATCTTAACCTTTTTCATAATTTTGACAAAAAAAAATTTTATTTTGTTTATCTCCGATTTTTTTTCGTGATTTTCAGTCAGAATTAAAATTTTTACCCCTATCCTAATGCTAATATTTCAAGAGATTTTCAATTATAAAAAATAGACAATATTTTTTGAATAAAAGTTTCGAGTTGAAAATTTCAAAAATTATAATTTTACTATTTTTCGAAATTTAATATTTTTTCCAGTACTTTTCATAAAGTTCCCTAACTTTTCCCTAATACGTGCGGCAACACTGGTAATAAATAACATTTTATCGAAAAATATATATTTCTGACAAAACGTTGAATTTTTATTTAATAAAATTTCTGCTTTTTCGAATTTTATAAAGTCAAAATTTTTGTATTTCATCGTATTTAATATTTCATTATCACAAATTGTCATTGCATAGAATTTTTAAAAATCCGGATTCTCATTTGTTTAAACAAATATTTTACAGAAAGATCATGACATCACTAAAATTAATCAATATTGCACTCAGAGAAATAATATATTTGTCTCAGAACAAAATAAATATTTATTTGGTGGAAATAAAAATTTTATTTGCGCTAAACAAAATTTTATTTTTACTAAATTAAATTTTATTATTTGAAACAAATAAAAAGTTATTATACTCTGAAGACAAATATATTTTTATTTTATTCAAATAAATTATTTCTCTGGCTGTGGGAATTATTAATAAAATTCTAATTAGTTATTTAAATTTGTCTTTAAAATGATTCTAAGACAAATGAAAGCTCCAGTAAAATGAAAATTCTTATATAAAAATTCAATCATGTAACAATTTGTAAATGAAAATTTTTTTTCCTATGAATTTGTCAAATAAAAATTCCACCCTACAAATTTTGAAAAACTAAACCCAACAGTCATGTGAATTTTCAAGAAACTAATTACAAAAAACACCAATGGAGAAATAAATATTTAATTAAAAAAAAAATTTTTAAATTTCAATTTTGAAAAAATATTGCAAAAACTTACCATCCAAAGTCTTCTGTTGCGTTTCATTTTTCGGCAGTGTTTCAATTTCTGATTTGTCGCTAGTTTCGCCATTAGTCTTTTGATGAAAATGTTCAGGTTGATTGTGAACAGGCGTTGGTGTTGTACCTCTTGAATTGGCATTTTTCTCATTTGCCTTCCTCTCCCTTTGTTCTTTTGATTCCTTAATCAATGGTGGCATCTCAGGTATGGTAATGGCATTTGGAGGAATATTTGGATTTTGATATTTCCGACGTGATGGCGGCGATGAGCTTGATTTATTTTTGTTGACTAAATTTGGGAATGGATCCTTTGTTGGAACTGGGTTGTTATTATTAGCACCCACGGCAGTAGTGGACGGGATAAGGACATCGGGATTATTTGAGCTCGATGTTGATGAAGGAATTGGAGTTGCCTGAGGTAAATTTGTATTCTTCAATTCAACTTCACTTGCAGGCACGTTCACAACACTGACACCTGGAGGCTGTGTGGGAATTTTATTATTATCTTTATTTGTAATGGTAGTAGTAGCAACAGCAGCAGCAGTAGTTACAGAAGAAGAAACAGCAGTAGCCGAGGAATTTGTTTGAACGTGAAATTGTTCTGCGACAGGTGTTGTCACAATTTTCATCGTATCAATTCCTCGTGGCTGAAATTCTTTGATTAATGGCTGAAGTGGCTTTGAATCCACTTTAACCGGGCACGATTCTAATTGAGCCGCATTACTAGAAGTACCTAACGATTGACTGTGTGACGTTAAAGCGCCGGGTAATGTTTGTTGTGTTGGGGTAGGAGGACCGGTATTAGATTGACTATTAGTAGTGGAATTCGTTTGAACTTTGAGGTTCGATAAACTTTGGGATGTAATTTGGGAACTGGGAGATTCGGGTGCGCTTGATGCCACCGGTGAATCGGAACTTGACTCGGTCGCGGCTTTTGCGACCATTGCCGCAAAGTCAGCTATCACAGCCTTGTCGCAATTCTGCAACAATCATCAAATCTACGTGATAGACAGCGAAGCAATTCAATTTACTTAAACAAATCGAGAATACAATAACAAAAATTTTACTCCTTTAATCAAATAATAAATTTACTACGATAATAACAAAAAAATATATATAATTACACAAACGATAAATTCATTTGCAAATTTATTATTTTAATCATTAAATTCAAATAGTAAATAATTTATCTTATCAATTCGTTTTAAGACAAATTATTTACCATTATTATTATTATTATTAAATTGCAGAAAATATCACTATTGTGTTATTTTCAATATATTTTTTAGCAATAATTTGAATTTACGTTAAAATGAAAATAGAAAATTAAATAATAAAAAATCGTTAATGGAAATATTATTAAGCAACCGATTAGAAGAAGTAATAATTTTTTTTTTTTTACAACACTGCATTAAAGTTAAAAAAAATGTTTGATTAAAGAATATCAGAATTCTTCCAGTCGTTTACTTACTATAATGAAATTTCATAAATACTCACTTGCATTTGAGGAGCCTCTCGATTATCGATATCTCCTTTCTCGGATTCATTATTGTAAATCTCTTCGCTGATTGATTTGCCAGTATCAGGATGTATGATTTCAATGGCTTTCGCCCTTCTCTGCTTTCTACTTGAGATACTAGACGCACCTGATGCACCTCCGTTGTGCCCCGTGAATACTTCTTTAAAAAAAAAAAACAAACCAAACAAAAATTACATAAAAGAAAAATACAAATATTACACTAACACAAATTTTATATAAAAAAAAAAAAAAATCACATACCAAAATACAACTTGTATCTATTATTAGAAACATACATTGTTTATTCAATGTGTTAAAATTTAAAAATTTAAGTAATCAATTAATTAAAATAATTAAATTTTAAATTTACAAAAAACAATTAAAGCACTTAAAAACAAAAAAGCTGTTAATCACAGAAAGTTATAAAACTTTGATGTATTATAGCACACAATCTTCTTGGCGTTGTGCAAGGAACTGCTCAAATCTGCCAGCAACGGAAATTCCGAAAGCCACGGACCTGTTTCAGAACTGTGACTGAAGTTGTGTGAGTGGGTCTCTAAAGCGTTAAGGGTAAAGAACCAACCACGAAAACAGTAGTCCCAAATTCTAAGAAACTCATGCTCCTCGAGAAGAAGTGGGAGGAGGGGAGAGATTGGCTGGTCACATACTTAAAAATGCATTTGCAGTTTCATTTATTTGTACAATGAAAAGAAAAATAAAACTAGCAATTAAAAATCAATTTAGCTTAAATGCTTTTGTCACATTTTCTATTATAATAGTGTGCAATAAACCTTTAGTTACCAGCATTAAATTATATTTTAATTATCTAATTAACTATACATAATATAATGAATAATTTGAATATAATTTCTTTTCCTATTAACTTTTGTTAAGGGTGTTTAGGGACAGTTTCATCAAATCCGGTTAAAAATAAATCAGCGTTTAAATCCCTAATCGACCAATCATGAGCGATTAAATTGTCTTCAATCACTGATTAACTTTTAACCAGAGTTGGTGAAATTCAATTTAACATAATTTCAAACTAAAAGAATTGTTTTTAACAAATAAAAGTATAAAATTAATTTTATTAAATTTTAAAAGTACAATTTTCAAAATAAATTATTTTGCTCAAGAATTTTGTTAAATATTATTTATTTATTAAGCTTCAGCCTTTCGGTCCAAAAGTGAACTTGGTTTAATACAAAATTAAATAAAAAAAAAAAATAACAAATTTTGTTAAATAATTATTTCACTTTGTTTAAATTTGGTTAACAATTGTAATTTTTATCCAATTCTTACAAATAGCTCATTTTGCTTTTTGAGAGATTTTCTACGATCGTTGAATAACAATATTTTTGTTCGAAAGTTAATAAATAAAATTTTTATTTTTTAAAAATCCATTATTAAACAAAAATACAAATTCACAATTGTAGAGAATCATTCAAAGAGAAAAATAAGCTAATGTTTATAAAAATTGGAATCATTCACTAACTTTTTAAGAAAAAAACATAAAATGTTTATTAATTATTATTTGACAACAAATTTTAAGTGAAAAATAATTTTTTTAAAATTGTACTTTCAAATAAGGACGAAATCAATTTTAAATATATTTAGTTCTGTTCAAAACTACATTTTAGTTTGATGTATGTTAATTGATTGAATCTCTTGAAATAAATTTAAAAAATTTTAATTTCAAAAATTGAATTAAATTAAAATTTACAAAATTGAACATTTCTACAAAATGCAAATAGTTACAATTTTTTATTAATAAGAAAAATTTTTGATTTCTCTCAATATTATTTAAAAATATTTTTCTACTATTGTTATTAAAATGTATTGAAAAAAAGAAAGGAATTGTTAAGTGAAAAACAAAGAAAATAATAATAAAAATATAACAATTAAAATTGTTAACAACTGTAAGAAAATGTGATTTTAATATAATCTTGTTTTTTTCAACGAAAAGAGTAATAGAAATAGATACATAGATTAAAAAACTGTAAAATTCTTTTTGAATATTAAATGTTTAAATATAGAAACAGTTTTAATATTATTTACAATAGCCTTGTACTTTTTCAAGTGTGAGGGGAAATTCAAAGACCAAATTGCAAAAATACGAAAAAATATTTTTTTAAAAGAAAACTTACCCGAGGGTGCCACGGATATCATCGTTGGCATTGGTTGAGGTTGTTGTGCAGGTTGCTGAAGGGTACCTTGAGGAACAACAGTACTTCCCTGAGCATTTGTCAATTGTCCTTGCATATGCTGTGCATTACTATTAACAGCATTTGCAGAAGCCGCCCTTATGAATGCATGATTCACTGGATACACGGCAAAATTACCTGCTAAAATAAAATAAAAACAAATTATTATTTCATTTCAAAAAAAAATTACAATCTAATTACCCAAAACTATTTAATTCAAAAAACAATTAATATTAAATACTTACATTGCTGTGAATAAAAAAATGGACTTGGTGTAATAATTGCGGTTGGGGGATGTGGGTACTGATAAAATGGACTTTGTCCTTGATTGTGATGCGGTTGAGGAGGACGCAACTGAAATAAATAATTTTTTTTTTATTTCAATTTTTTAAAAATAAATATTTTTTTTAAATTCATAAATTGAGAAAGTAAAAAATAATTTAGAAATAAAATGAATTACCGGCATGGACATTGGATAATTTACAGGTTGTTGGTGTTGATGTTGAAGATTAGAAAGTTGACTTTGGACGAACATTCCTGGAAAATTATGATGTGAATATTGCATTTGTTGAGCACCCGCACTAGGGGCTCCACCCATGCTTATCACTTGGGTGCTACCGCCACCCTGACCACCTCTGTGATTCATCCCTCTTGGTTGCTGAGGCCTCGGACCCGCTGAATAGTAAGCCTGAGGAAATTATATTAAATTTTACCATCCTACATCTTATTATAACAAATTTTTGTCAATTAAGGACATGTCAAAGGTTATATATTTCATAATAGAGATCTACTTTATCAATTGCTTATTATTATTCTCTCTCTATAATTTATTACAAAAGAAAATTAATATTTAATTTGATTATTTTGTGATTTTCATCTTATTTGAAGTTTTAATTTGGCAAATAATTTATTTTTATTGTAAACTTACTTGTGAGGATGGCCTCTGTTGATTAGTAACAAAAACGGTTTGTAAATGGCCCTGTTTCCCCATTTCTTGAGGTGAAGGTGTATGTACAGGGGGTGTTGTTGTGGGAGTTGGACCCTGAGGTTGTTGAGGCTGTACACCTGGTGTTTGTGCTTGTGGAGGTGGTTGTTGTCCACCAGCTGGACCTCCTGGTGGAATTCCTGTTTGCGTTTGTCCTATAGACTGTATACCTCCTAGAGGAGGACCTCTACCTCCTGGTACACCAACGTTTCCCCCGCCACCACCCACCTGCCCACCTGGCTGGGCACCGTAACTCTGTCCAGGAACATGAAACTCCGATCCTGAAACAAAAATTAATAATTAGTCATAAAATCTCAAAAATTATTTTTTTTTTAAATTCTAGGTTTCTTCATTTAATTTTTCAATTTCTTTTTTTTCACATTTTTACGATGTTTAGAAAACGGAAATAATGTAACACCTATTAAAATGCTATTTATCAAAAAAAAAAAGAGGCGCAACAGGTTACTCCGAGAGTTTTTTTTTATGCTATTAAGTTAAAACTCGATAATATAACACAGCATATTGTATAAAAAACCTACACTTACAAGAGAATGCAGTGATAATATACGTCCAGATGGAAGCAAAGAAAAAAGGATTTCTATCGTTGGGAGAAACTTGAATCACGTGCTCTCATGAAAATAATTTCTTCAGACATTCTTGCAATTGAACGACAAACGTTTTTTTAAAAAAAAAAAAAAGACCAATAATACAAAACAGGTAATTAAGTGTCTCCTTCAATTGACGTTGCTCACACAGACACTAAACACATTGACAACAGTTCCAAGAACTGTATTTTTAGGTTATGTTTTACACTTACACAAAAAAAACCCCTTTTTACTCCAAAATTCAAATATTAACAATAAAAATATTTCAAAAAAAGTTAAAAATAATAAATTACAGTATTCTTTCTTAAATAATCACGTGTTTTTCAATATACAGATTTTATAACGATTTAAAAACATTCGAAAGAGACTATTTAAATTTTACTTCCTGTAAATGCAAAAATAATACTTAAAAAAAAAAAAAAAAAAAAGAACACGAAACACCGGAAATTGTGTGACGTTGACGAAGGAAGTCGCGCGTCGATTGCTCACATACGCGTGTCGAACAATATTTTCTCAATTGTCAATAGGGGGGAATGTGATTTTTTTAATTGTTTAAAAAAAAATCACCATAAAATTAGTCATAAGAGTTTGTTAAAACGTCAAAAAATTAAAATTAATATTAAAAAAAATCCAAGTATATTATCACGCACAAAATAACTAGCGAGAGTGAATGTTCAATGATCACCACTATCCAATGGTAGCAAGTAGCCTTGTTTGCACGTGTGCGTAGGCAAAAGCAGTGCTGCCAACTGGTGTCACCCGGGTATATCACCTACAAGGAAAGAGGGGTGAGGCCATTCAGGGGCGTAACAATTAATTTTTCAAAACAATTACTAAAAAAAAAAAATAAATAAATAAATTCAAATAAAATATTAATATTCAAAATTAAAAATTCCAATTTCAATACAAAAAATAGAATTACAATTTTTTGTATACATTTCTTTTTTTTAAAAACTCCCTAACCTTGATTTTTAAAATTAAATTTTCCAGTTACTGGAAACAATTTAAAATTCTCTGATAATTATTATCTATACTTAAATCAAGATTTAATACATTTTAGGAATGTATTTTATTTTTTTAATCTAATCATTCTCACAGCTAAAATTATTATAAGTTTGACAATTTTTTCGTAAATCAATAAGATAAATTTGTTTTGAAAAATATTTAAAAATTCATATTTTGTCACAAATAATCAAATTAAATGGGGGAAAAAAAAATTAAATACACAAATATTATTTGTGTAAAAAAATTTTATCAAAAAAAAAGGTGGTGGTGGTGGTAAGAAACGTCAATTTTTCAGATAAGAAGATAAATGCGAAATTTTCTCTCTCTCTCTCTTTTTCTAACAACAAAATGGAGACTTGGACATTATAAGCAAGGAACTCAATAGCCTTCTACGAGGTCACGACGTTCATCATAGATTGGCCTAGAGCGCATTCTGGAATGCAAGGGGGGCCGAACCCGTTGCCTACGTCATTTCCCGTTGGCGGAATGACGTAACGGCGTCTGCTCAATGGAATTTTCACGTTACGGACTCTGCGCGAGTACAACTTTTGATTGGAACATCGTCGTCGTCGTCTCCGTCTCTTTACTAAAAAGCTAGAACTTATTATTGATCATCAAAAAAAAAGAGGAACTGTGCTAAAAAAAAACGCGACAAAACTCCAGACACCAAAATCTACCTTTCATATATATAAAAAGCTAGGTCAACTACACACACGTTTATATACACCGCCAAATCTAAAGTTAGATCATCTCAATTTAAAATTAGATAATTCGTGACTAACTTCATCTATTAATAGTATCACACCCTGATTAATCTTTATCCAATGATCGAAAATGTAATAAATATTTTCTCCTACTAAACAAAACAAAAAAAAAAATAACACATAAATATTCCATAAAAATCGTGAGTTCGAATTTTTTCAATTTAATTTATAAAATTAATTTTTTTAAATAATAAAACTAATTTTTATAAATAATTTATAAAATTATTTTTTAAATAATAAAACTAACTTTTTTTAAATAATAAAACTAATTTTTATAAATAATTTATAAAATTAATTTTTTTAAATAATAAAAATAATTTTTTTAAATAATTAATAAAACTAATTTTTATAAATAATTTATAAAATTAATTTTTTTAAATAATAAAACTAATTTTTATAAATAATTTATAAAATTAATTTTTTTAAATAATAAAAATAATTTTTATAAATAATTTATAAAATTAATTTATGATTAATTGAAAGTATTTAAAAAAAAGTTATTTACAGAAATTCTGAAACAGCTAAATAAACATTTTTTTTTTAAATGGTTTGAACATAAAAGGTAACTAACAGGAAAATGACACTTTTTAAACATTATTTGCATAAAATATTCCTTGTGAAACCAGAGAAATACTACAAATTTTTTTTTATATTTACACAGTTTTAATATCAATTGGTGCTTTATTAAATGGAATTAATTTTTATCAAAACAAACAATAATATGGAATAATATTGTTTAATTGGAACATTTTTTAATTTAATTCATAATTTATTAAAAATAAATATAAATTTATAAAATTAATATAAATTTATAAAATTAATAAAAAAATAAAAAAAATTGATTTTTAATATCATATATATATAAAAATGCAATTTAAAGCAAGTGAATTAATCAATAAATCATTCTTGCACATTTAAACCAGTTTCAAGTTAAATGCCATTACATTTGTCACAAGTGTCTTAAAACAATTTGCCACGTGTCGTACGTTAGTTGCACATTATACGATGCAAAACAAAACATGCAGAAATTTGATATTGCCAAGTTTTAACAAAATTGTTATGACAATTGATTCCGTGAGTGGGCAAAATTATTATTCACAATGTTATGCTTTATAAAAGTGATAAATTGACAATTTCTATAATTTATTAAATTTGCCTAAATGTAAATTTCAACCTTGTAAAATTCGATCGAATCATAATAAATAATTATTAATTTAATTAATAATAATAATAAATTTTTGAGGAATATTTATGCGTTTTATCTAATTTTGAAATTTCTTTATGAAAATTTTTAATATTTTATTTTTTGTTTTTCTGTAGAAAAAAAAAGAAATGAAAAAATAAAAAAAAAAATTCCTTAATGATTACAACTAAATGTAAAATTGCAATTTTCTTATTACATAAATAATATATTCATTATGTGAACAATGTCCACGTGTAATAAATATATGACACTAATTCATTATTACATCACACTTTTGACATTGTACTCAACAATTTTTTTTTTCTCTCTCTCTTGTTTCAGGAAAGAAGTTGCGAGATTCAACACATAACTATATAGAAGAGGACAAGATGGAATACATTTATCGATTGACCTATATTGGGAATTGTCTACGGCGCCAGTGATAAAAAAAAAAAAATAATTTCATTCTAAAAATATGAAATTTTTGCTAAATTGAAAATTATTAGAAATTCGTAGAAATCAATATTGAAATCTAAAAATTTTACCTAAAGAAAATTAGATTATCTATATTTGAATTACAAAAAATAAAATATACCTCTCAAGAGGGAATTTTGTTAATTTTGATATTAAAAATTATTACAAAGGATTAATAAATATTTAAAATTAATGAATTATTATAGAAAATTATAATATAGAAAATGACGAATAGAGAAATTACTGTTTGTATAATTTGAAAAAGGAATTTGTAAGCCCCTGTCTCAGGTAATATTGCAATGTCACAAATCATCCCGAAAGGTTTATACAACGATTTACGACCTGAATTTTGAAATCATGAAGAAATTTATGTCTTCTTGTGAGGAAAAAAGAAAAAAAAAAAAAATAAAAGTAAAGCCTGGCCTGACCTAACCAACCTAAAATCAATGGCAGCCCTGCGCGCTGGAACAAGAGGGAAAGGGCTCTTGCGGTACTATCCAATCGCGTTCTGCATGTGCAAATGTTGAGGAAGGACATGAGCACCTGCTTCGCCTGACATGCTGAGCTCAGAATACAATAGAAGAACAGCTCTTTATCCATAACGTTTCAACCTCGTTCCCCCTTTTCATTTTTTTTTTTTTTTTTTGCATTCTTCCATCAATTATTTTTCATTTCCCCATTTTATTCCCCTTACTCTCTAAATCTGAATTAGTAAAAATGTTTGCTAATTTGAATTAGTGACTCACTTTTTGCTTCTGAATTAGTTAAATTTTACTAATTGTTAGTAAATGTTACTAATAAATTAGTAAAATTTAACTAATTCAGAAGCAAAAAGTGAGTCACTAATTCAAATTAGTAAACATTTTTACTAATTCAAATTTAGAGAGTAAAAAATCAGATACAGGAAATAAAAAAATTTTTCAAAAATAAATACCAAAATTTAATAAATATTTATCGTAGAAACAATTAGCAAATAAATATATGTATTCTCTTTCACTAATAAAGGCACATCTTTTTGCGTGGAAATTAAATTCTATTTTTGAAATCAAAAGAGCTTATACATATGGGATGCAAAGTGAACGTGTGTTATTTTCGAGCGAAGAGGTAGTTAATCTGACCCCGTGACCTATCTGCTGAGACAAATGGTTCCGATCTATTTGCAGATGCGTATAAATGAGAGTTCAGGTCAAATATTATGATATCCAAGTGTGAGTGTATATGAATAAAGCTTTAAAAAAAAAAAAAAAACA